AGTACAGGTAGATGATGGAGTAGACATGGTGGTGGTCTAGCTGGGGTCGGTGTAGTTGCAGTACAGGTAGATGATGGAGTAGACATGGTGGTGATCTAGCCGGGGTCAGTGTAGTTGCAGTACAGGTAGATGATGGAGTAGACATGGTGGTGATCTAGCCGGGGTCAGTGTAGTTGCAGTACAGGTAGATGATGGAGTAGACATGGCGGTGGGTCTAGCTGGGGTCAGTGTAGTTGCAGTACAGGTAGATGATGGAGTAGACATGGTGGTGGTCTAGCTGGGGTCGGTGTAGTTGCAGTACAGATAGATGATGGAGTAGACATGGTGGTGGTCTAGCTGGGGTCAGTGTAGTTGCAGTACAGGTAGATGATGAAGTAGACATGGTGGGGGTCTAGGCGGGGTCAGTGTAGTTGCAGTACAGATAGATGATGGAGTAGACATGGTGGTGGTCTAGCTGGGGTCGGTGTAGTTGCAGTACAGGTAGATGATGGAGTAGACATGGTGGTGGTCTAGCTGGGGTCAGTGTAGTTGCAGTACAGATAGATGATGGAGTAGACATGGTGGTGGTCTAGCTGGGGTCAGTGTAGTTGCAGTACAGATAGATGATGGAGTAGACATGGTGGTGGTCTAGCTGGGGTCGGTGTAGTTGCAGTACAGGTAGATGATGGAGTAGACATGGTGGTGGTCTAGGCGGGGTCAGTGTAGTTGCAGTACAGATAGATGATGGAGTAGACATGGCGGTGGTCTAGCTGGGGTCAGTGTAGTTGCAGTACAGGTAGATGATGGAGTAGACATGGTGGTGATCTAGCCGGGGTCAGTGTAGTTGCAGTACAGGTAGATGATGGAGTAGACATGGCGGTGGGTCTAGCTGGGGTCAGTGTAGTTGCAGTACAGGTAGATGATGGAGTAGACATGGCGGTGGGTCTAGCTGGGGTCAGTGTAGTTGCAGTACAGGTAGATGATGGAGTAGACATGGCGGTGGGTCTAGCTGGGGTCAGTGTAGTTGCAGTACAGGTAGATGATGGAGTAGACATGGTGGTGGGTCTAGCTGGGGTCGGTGTAGTTGCAGTACAGGTAGATGATGGAGTAGACATGGTGGTGGTCTAGCTGGGGTCAGTGTAGTTGCAGTACAGGTAGATGATGGAGTAGACATGGTGGTGGTCTAGGCGGGGTCAGTGTAGTTGCAGTACAGATAGATGATGGAGTAGACATGGCGGTGGTCTAGCTGGGGTCAGTGTAGTTGCAGTACAGGTAGATGATGGAGTAGACATGGTGGTGATCTAGCCGGGGTCAGTGTAGTTGCAGTACAGGTAGATGATGGAGTAGACATGGCGGTGGGTCTAGCTGGGGTCAGTGTAGTTGCAGTACAGGTAGATGATGGAGTAGACATGGCGGTGGGTCTAGCTGGGGTCAGTGTAGTTGCAGTACAGATAGATGATGGAGTAGACATGGTGGTGGTCTAGCTGGGGTCAGTGTAGTTGCAGTACAGATAGATGATGGAGTAGACATGGTGGTGGTCTAGCTGGGGTCGGTGTAGTTGCAGTACAGGTAGATGATGGAGTAGACATGGTGGTGGTCTAGCTGGGGTCGGTGTAGTTGCAGTACAGATAGATGATGGAGTAGACATGGTGGTGGTCTAGGCGGGGTCAGTGTAGTTGCAGTACAGATAGATGATGGAGTAGACATGGCGGTGGTCTAGCTGGGGTCAGTGTAGTTGCAGTACAGGTAGATGATGGAGTAGACATGGTGGTGATCTAGCCGGGGTCAGTGTAGTTGCAGTACAGGTAGATGATGGAGTAGACATGGCGGTGGGTCTAGCTGGGGTCAGTGTAGTTGCAGTACAGGTAGATGATGGAGTAGACATGGCGGTGGGTCTAGCTGGGGTCAGTGTAGTTGCAGTACAGGTAGATGATGGAGTAGACATGGCGGTGGGTCTAGCTGGGGTCAGTGTAGTTGCAGTACAGGTAGATGATGGAGTAGACATGGTGGTGGTCTAGCTGGGGTCGGTGTAGTTGCAGTACAGGTAGATGATGGAGTAGACATGGTGGTGATCTAGCCGGGGTCAGTGTAGTTGCAGTACAGGTAGATGATGGAGTAGACATGGTGGTGGTCTAGCTGGGGTCGGTTTAGTTGCAGTACAGGTAGATGATGGAGTAGACATGGCGGTGTGTCTAGCTGGGGTCGGTGTAGTTGCAGTACAGGTAGATGATGGAGTAGACATGGTGGTGGTCTAGCTGGGGTCAGTGTAGTTGCAGTACAGGTAGATGATGGAGTAGACATGGTGGTGGTCTAGCTGGGGTCAGTGTAGTTGCAGTACAGGTAGATGATGGAGTAGACATGGTGGTGGTCTAGCTGGGGTCGGTGTAGTTGCAGTACAGGTAGATGATGGAGTAGACATGGTGGTGGTCTAGCTGGGGTCGGTGTAGTTGCAGTACAGGTAGATGATGGAGTAGACATGGTGGTGGTCTAGCTGGGGTCAGTGTAGTTGCAGTACAGGTAGATGATGGAGTAGACATGGTGGTGGTCTAGCTGGGGTCGGTGTAGTTGCAGTACAGGTAGATGATGGAGTAGACATGGTGGTGGTCTAGGCGGGGTCAGTGTAGTTGCAGTACTGGTAGATGATGGAGTAGACATGGTGGTAGTCTAGCTGGGGTCAGTGTAGTTGCAGTACAGGTAGATGAAGGTCCTGGAGTAGACATGGGAGTGGGTCTAGCTGGGGTCGGTGACTACGATCAGAAGTTATTACTCAAATTCAAACCACCTGGGACAGCTGGGCCCTCATATACACTGATGTATCAACAACAGTGCTAGTTACGGGATCCATAACCACAGCTCCAAACCCCAAGCACATTCGGTTCGCCTGCTTGATGGTCAGTAAGTATTCACTGCTGAATTGGAAACAATTCATCATGCACTTAAAGTCCGGAAGCAAAGGCAGTCGTCCTATCAGACCCGCTAAGTGCACTTCAAGCCATCAGCGGCAGAAACTCAAACTCCAGGCCAAACACGGTCAACATTATTCTTTACGAATATACAAAACTATCGTACCAAGGGCAACAGATGGAGCTGTGTATGATCCCCTCTCACATGGATATTCATGGAAATGAAAAAGCAGACTCACTGGTGAAACTAGCTCTAGACAAAGCGGAAATACAGCCTAATCCCTTTAGCAAACTAGAGAAAAAAAAAGCAAAATCAAAGCCTCTATTGCCCAAAGATGGCAAGCCCATTGAGACGCAAGTAAGATCGGCGGATGGCTATACAAAAGTCAACCCAAGATCCAACAAAAGCCAAACTCAAACTCAAATGAAAGGAAAATTGAAATTGCAATCTCACGCCTCACTCTCAGTCACAAAAAGCACTATCACAAGGTTTGTTAATCTTGCAATCAGGCTGAACCCATTGCTCACGTGTTCCTAGAATGTCAAGACCACGACACAGCCCGGGCTGTCATAGATCCCTTTAAGCCAAGAGATGCAATAGCCAAGGCCAAACTAACTCTATTTCTGAGAGATGGACAGCTACTCGAACGTATGTAAACGTAGCAGCCAAGGATAAAAATTATATTATATCCACAATAGATATGTGTATACATTCAAACACATGAGTTCCAAAGAGGGACAGGTCAGCCCAAATGGCTTAGGCAGACTAAATGCAACAACAACAGCTTGGGTCATAGCAATTGCGGGTTTAAGGTTAGTAGAGTAAGTAACATCGCAGTTCAAGACATTCAGTTCAATTAAACAATTACTGCTACTTCCAGTGCTAATCAAGAATGTTTATATATGTTATATATATATATATATATGTGTGTGTGTGTGTGTGTGTGTGTGTGTGTGTGTGTGTGTGTGTGTGTGTGTGTGTGTGTGTGTGTCTTTGTGCGCATATACTTCACATAAATAAAATACAAGTTCACTTTTCTACAGTATCTTATGTACAGTAAATACGTTTAGAACGAACACGCTGACAACGAACTGACGGATATAACGAACTATTTCTTGGTCCCGTTCATTTGCTGTATATATGTTGTACATATATGCTTATAACGAACTACGGTTATAATAAATCAAAATGAGTGGTCCCTTAGATTTCGTTATAATCGTAGTCTATTGTATTTATCTTTATACAAGTACATAAAGTACATAATGTACCATCTTCCCGAGGCAAGAAAGTTAACTGACTTTAAAAGTCCAGTTCGATTTCGGTGCCCGATTTTGATTGGATTATGCACAGACTCGTTAGTCCAGTCAAAATGTAACCCCATAATACCAGCCAAGTTCGGCAAGGGTGGAAACTGGACTTTTATAGTCAGTTAACTAACTCTCTTGCCTCGGGAAGATGATAACGTACAAGATTACTTTTCTACCTTTCTTGGATCATTCCATTCTGATACTTAGGTAACATAGGGAAGACCAGTCAGTGCCTTCAGCCATTGTTTTAAGATGTGTGACAAATGGGACGTGTAACTAAAGGGAGGATAGTTTTGCATAGTTTTCGGCCTTTGCAAAAGGTTTTGAGCTGCTTAATGCACTCTCTAAAGGATCTCTTTAAAGTATGCACAAGTGGATCTTGCATTGTGCGCTTGATTTTTCAAAACCCCGGTTCTGCAGTTCTGCTGACAAATGTTCATATACTTAGTTTCTTGAAATTTCAAGATCGTATAGAAAAAAATTAAAAACAAAACAAATGGCCCTAAAAGGCTTCCGTATAAAATACACCATATCTATTTTTTAATTTGAGAAAAGAAAACAGATCCCGACAAGTGTCTGTATATCAGTCACTTTAGATAGGTAGAGCAAATGTGATTATGAACATGTCGAAAAATAACTATAGATACACTTCGAACGGCTTTCCAGGTTGCCACATTATTGCGTATGCTTTAATCATTTTGTTCGTGGGGACATAGTTGACTCGATTAGGCAGAAAACGAAAGTACGATTGTAGACATAGAAAACGAAAATAGGAATGTACTGAGGACCTAGTCTTTCGTGGAATGCTCCACAGTGAACATTCTCAGAACACGTCATGATGTCACCAACAGGAAAGTTAGATGTGGGTGTGTTAATATCGTATTCGCAATGAATCGTCGAGGAAAGAGCGGGAGCAATACATACAGGTACATGTTTTCTCTTCTTCTTGTCCATTTAACCACTGCTGTCCATATAACCACAGTTTTAGCGTGAAAACATCCGCCCACCTAACCCAAATTCGATATACTTATAGTGAGTGATGAGATATGAACGACAGGGGAAGGATGTGTTTGTCTGTGGGGAAGGGGTGTTTCTGAACTGCATCTATCCAAGCTCCACTCGATCTGTGCTCTAATTCGTTTCCAAGTTTTCATTTGACCCAAATTTAGAGCTCTCTGAGATTACCAATGCTTAATACTTTGCCAGGGAAATATTTACTGGGTGAACTTATCTGCAACCGTTGTTTTCTGTAACGCCAGTTACCTACATAAGGTAACTCGTTACAAGGTACAGATACATAGTCGGTATATACCTAATCCCATTTCTGTAACCGCGTAGCCTACATCATGTATTTATTTTGCTCTAGTACACAGTTCTGAGGGTATAGATTTTTTCTATGAATAACCCATAGAGTTTGAAATATGAGGGGGCATGTGAGGAGATGTATATACATGTAATTCCGTAACCACCAACAATGACAAGGACAAGCATGCAACAACAAAATAAAATGGATGTTTTTTCATTAAATGACGAACAAATGATTTGGTTTCAAAATTTGAAGACATGGTGGGATATTAAATAATCAATGTAGAATATAAGAATTATAAAGAAGTTCGGCCTGTTAGAACATGTAAAAAGATGAATGGTAACTTGTTTTGACCGGTTCTTTTCATGATTTCTTGAAAAACGTATTTTCGGTTTCTTTTTGTGAGGTATTATGACTCAAGAAAGTAAGAGTTACCTCCCATTGTGTCGTCTGCTCGCGAGTACAGGAAGTGAAGCACGGAACAGCGTTTATCTGTCATGTTATTTTGCATTTTTACTGATTCAGATTGTAGTGAAGATTTTTAGAATGCTAGGGTGATAAACAAGAGTAAATGACAATAACAAGTGAAATGTTATCGATTATGTTTTGCTCAATAGGTGGCGTAGTGAGCAATCGTACTTTCACTTTAGTCTTTAACCTTCCAAAAATAGTTTCCGGGAAATTTTACTGGGAACGATTGACACAGAACATCACCAACACTCATGGCATAGAATAGTGGGACGAAGGTACAACCTTGTAGTTAGTTTACACCAGGTTTGTTGATGTGTTATGCGTAATTGTTAATGTTAAAGTGTTGTCCATTGTTTTCAATTGGGTTTTATTTGCTTACTATGGTTGAATTGTCCCCCTTGATTATTTCATTTGTCATCTCAACTTTGCACTTTCGAAGCAAACAGATTTTCAAGCGTGTAATTCAAGCTCGGTCAATCATAGAAATGCAATTTAGTTTCATATGGCTAACTGACGAGAAACACTGATATATGTTCGAAGATAGACAAGGTTCTTGTCGAATCCTTCCTGAACCAAACTTGCTAAAGAAGGCCTATCAACAAAAATCAGTTGATAATCTTGTACACATGCATTACAGTTTAAACCGAACACCAATCCGCCATGTTTGTTTGATGCAACTAATAATGTATGTTGTATCTACTTTGGTAATTAAAGATTTCATTTACTTATGAACGCATTTAATTAGAGTTGTTGAGTTGGGTGCAAGGCCCCCAAACCCCCTGTTGTTTTTTAACGAGGCGACAAAAATGACGTCAGAAAAACATGGAAACCTTGTGCAAATCCCTTACCAAAATAGTGGAAGGTGTCCAGTATACCGCAAACTTGCCAATAATCTTATGGATATAATAATCCCAAGTCATTGAAAGTTTCAATGCCTAATTCTAAGTGTATTCTTTACATTATTGCAATTAAAAAACAGCCGTTGTTTTTGGATAAACAGCTGTTAAAAATGTGGTGCAGACTTGTTTCATATGACCAATAGTGCATGTGTCAATGCTGATCGGTTCCACATGGAATTAGGGGTCGTCTGCAGTATCTGGGTCCCCACTTTGGCAGTTTCCCCCCTATGGGAGCCGAGATTTTTACGATAGAAAGTGAAGCTGTATTCTCGTGGTTTCAACTTCGTGTTGTTTATGTGCGGTACATAAATTACTTAAGACCTCACATGTCTGATCATGTAACTTCCTTATTTGGACTCCTTACTAAATACTGCAGTCTACCCGGAATTAGTTTTATTCGTAACAAATATTGTTATAATTGCCCACAAACAGTCGAAGATGAGATGCATGTTCGTAGGTTGTGTACCTTGTATGAATATATTAGGATAGAACTTTCGGCTATATCTTTTGAGTACAGTACCACAAATATTTCAAACAGGTCACAATACCCTAAGGCCTGCTGGCTGAATTTATTTTGACACTTTACAACAAATACAAGTGATAGCTTATCGGGGCAAAATGCTGAGGAGACTGGGTTATACGTAGGACTGTATGCCATAATTTGTAATGTTTTTTAGCCAGATACATCGGGGAAACAATGCCCAGTGATGTCAGGGGTCATCAAGTGTGCATGATCTCCTCTCCATGATATATATGCATATATGCATATATATATTTTTTTTCGATTTGTTATTTTTTCATTATTATTCACAGAAGTGCAGTTTATTTGGTATTTAATTATTGATGTTGCACACATGAAATGTTGCAGGTCCGATCACTATTTATCTACCTTGAGACTTCTTTCACAATAAATCAATTAGATTTGTTATGACAAGGATGGATATGAGGCTTTACCAGATGTGTAGGGGGTTGAAGGGGGTTGTACCCCCTTCGAATGCGTGTGAACTGAACACACAAATTGTGAAAATAAATGCGCTTGTTGGGGTATTTTTGTTTATTTATTGTTTTCACATTTAAAGTTGCAGTTATACTTCTCACTGTAGCATGGAGTGAGGTGGATGAAGTAGTTTCATGTCAAATGTTTTGGCTACAGAAAACTATCATGGAATTTCCTCCTAAGCCACTTTCACACACTACACTTTGTCTGTAATGATTCAAAGCTGACTCGCCATGTAGCCATGCCTATACCTTTCTAGTCCCTTACTATGATCCACTTTATCCTTACAAATAAAATAAATTACCAGGCTGCCATCAGGACCCACGCTCTTTAAAAACTGCAAATCCTTTGACATGCAAATTTGCTGTAGGCCTTAAAAATAATCCTAAAGAAATCAACATACACTCCACTGGTGAGTAATGGCACATTTATTCAGGGATTCAGGGATATTCAGTTACTTTCCATCGTCAGCAATTAACATTATTGACAATAACAAGTCAGTTTTGGTAAATCTAAACATTATTTTACCTAAATAGTTTATGTAAGGTATTATCAATGACACAATTTTCATATCAATAATCGTTAATATTTCTTCCCATCAATGATGATTATCAATCTTTTTTACCAGCCCTAGTCCTTACAGTGTGTCTTCCCGCCCTTTTTTTGTCACAAAATCACCTAACAGGTTATTAAAACCCTGTCATTCATGTATACTGTATTCGACGTAATAAGCGCCCCGCTCTAATAAGCGCCCACAGCGATATTTGCTAATAAATTGGCAAGTGAACAATCCCAATTAGCACCCCTTCTGATTGATCAATGTACGCAAGACTTATTTATTCGTGTATAATACGCACTCGTGTGTTATATGCACCCTTAATTATTGGCAATTAAATTCTGGAAAAATATATCTGTCGTATATAAACAGTCAGATCGTCAGCATAACCACAAATTTTATCTTTCAACTCTGTTTTTTCCACCAAAATAATATTCTAATAAGAGCCCCTTATTTCTAATTTTGAGAGCGCCCTGGGCGCTTATTACGTCGAATACGGTACTCGTGAATTCTGATGCCTAAAAGATTCATACTGGCTTGAAAAGGCCTTGAATTTTAAGGTCCCTCTTGAAAAGCTTTGATATTTAGTATCAACCTTAAAAAACCTTAAAAAACCAAGCTTGAAAAGCCTTGAATTTGTACAATGTTTCATATACATGTACATATTATTAAAAGTTTAATTGTGATTTATCTCAGTGATAGATATGGGTTTAGATATGTTTTTTGCAAATATTTACATGTGCATTTGATTAGGTACCCCATTGACTGTAGATGTATGTCAGGGAATAATTCTTCTAAACTTAGGAACTTAACACATAAAGACTTATTACTTTTAAATGCACTGTGAGATTATTGGAATGCTGTTAAGATACACATTAACTGATTGTGGACAAACAAATCCTTTTCAAAACATACACATATCATACCATTATATGTAGTATAGATCAGTGTGGTACATAACTTATTCCTTCCATACAGTCGTAATATAGCTCCAAACAGTTCCGGGGGGTTGCAGTCAAACATGGACAATCATTTATATGACCCTTTCTTAGCTCAAAACAACAAAAGAAAATACTGTCAGTGTATCAATTCATTCATTACTTTCCTTGGGAAGTATTCTAAAGGTACACATTATCAGAGTACATACATACTTGATGTAAATTTCACCAATATACTGCAAGTCAGTCTAGTTTGAATACTTGTAACAACACACTGACATAGCAACTGTAAACAGATTAAGGCTATAAATGTGTTTTGAAAGAATGTTGAAAAAATTAGACAGTAGAAGGATTTGTCCTTTGAAAGGCATTTAGAAGTGATACAGATAAGGAAGATAATTTATGGATGTCAACTTCTTTATTATGAGGAACAAAACGTTTCAGAGTATATGCTTACTCCTTCATCAGGTGGAGGAATGCTATGAGGCAGAGAGCATATATATGTACATGTAAGGACAACAAATTAATAAGATAACAAAAGGTGGAAAATAACAAAGGGTAGAAACTAACAAGAGAAGCCAACAGGTGATTGTACAATTGATACATTATTAATGATATGATATGGTGCCTCAATATCCTGTTTGCATTGGAACTTTCTTGTGTTGTTCTTGCGTTGAACAAACTTGGGTCTATTTACATTGTTTATGTATTAATCCTACACCTGATATATGGTTTGTTATATTTTTATCAGGAAATTATACTGATCTAATCTTACTGTACCAGTTGATTTGATTATTTACACAGAACCCTTGACAAACATGAAAAGCTTGTCTTTGATAAAACTATGGTGCTAGAATACTCCTTCCCATGTTAGGAAGGCAAACATAAATTTTAAGACAAGTGAACTTATACTGATTTCAAACACTGTGTAGTTGTGTATCTACAGGGACCCATACATTATATTTTGGCTTACATGTGCACAAATTCAGCTACATAAAAAGGTCAATTGGTACACACAAAAATTAGCCCCCACACACTAACTAGCCCATAACACATTTTACTTGTCCTCTCCTCCTAACATAATGCTAAAACATTTATTTACAAGTAGACAAATTATCACATGCCCTCCTGTTAAAAGAGGAAGATCAACTTATAAGATAAGTATGACAATTAATACATTTCCTAGGCAAACCAGTTGATACTTGCTGATATTGTGATATGGTTATTAATATCAATTTTCCTAGAGAGAATTCATTATATTAGTAGAAAGTTTTTAAGTATCCACTTAAAGTTAAAGTACTGAAATCACACGCTTCTTAAACAGCTTTCTTAACAAACTTATTTTATTTGGGTGTGTGGCCACAGCGGTGCATGACAAATGTTTTCATTGGCTAATGTGTAGACCTGTTTGCCGTATTTATCTGCCTTGTGATTTCATGCCGCAATACTTATGCAGTTTCTGCTATCTGTTACATTGTTAAATGTGTACAACATTACTTTTGATCTTGATATCGTGAATTATTAAAATAACAATTAACTATCTGTAACTAGCTTTTTATCCCCTGCCACAAAGTAGGGCTGGGGATATAGGAATGGAGTTTGTCTGCCTGTCAAATTTCTCAAAACGTATTTTAGTCAGAGAAATAAAATTTTACACACTGATGTTACTGGTCATGATCTCAAATGTGTTCTGAAATAGGTCTCATAAGTTTATTATTTACAGAGTTATGGCCATTGCTCCATGTTTTGCAACTTAGTGCATAGTGTGTGAAATGGGGACATGTTTTTTTCAGAAACTATTGAAATAATTTGAAGAAAAGTTTGCATGCTCATCTAAGAGATTCTTGTCAAGACTGAAATCGAAACTTGGTCCCATAAATTATTTTTTTACAGAGTTATGTCCCTTGATCCATGTTATTTTACTTGATGCATAAGTCTGCAATGAGGACATGTTTTTTTTTCAGAAACTACTGAAATGATTTGAAGAAAAGTTTGCATGCTTATCTAAGAGATTCTTGTCAAGACTGAAATCGAAACTTGGTCCCATAAATTATTTTTTTACAGAGTTATGTCCCTTGATCCATGTTATTTTAATTGATGCATAAGTCTGCAATGAGGACATGTTTTCTCAGAAACTACTGAAGTTAGCTTATCTAAGATATACTTATCAAAACTGAGCTATGTTTTCAAAGAGAAGGGGCCTTTTGTGTGTATTAATTTCACATTTAGTCATTTTTTCTGATTGACATAAAGCAGCCCAAGTGCCTATGTATCTCTTCTTGAGGCTTTATAGGACTCTTTTTTTTTTATAGGACTCTATTATATAGTTTATATTCACTACTATGTGAAAAAATAAAATTCTAATGTGCCCTGTGGAAGGAGATAGTTATGACTAACATCCATTTTGGGTACTGTAAATCGCCTGCTGCCCTCAGTCTTATTGCACATAATGAATAGCTATCAGCGATTAATAAGTAGACACTACAGCAATCAGCATGTCCATCTTTTTTCCGTTTCTGGAGCAGAACTCTCAAACCGTTTAATATTTCTTGTTGAAACTTGCTATACAGATCAGTCTAATGGTGAACTTGTACCTTTTGATGATTTTGCATTTTTTTAAAAATATTTTTCACAAAGACAGGTTGTACTGCACTAAAAATGAGGCTAGTGCTTGATTCCATAGCTGAACTTCAAAACTATTAAATATTGTTTTGACGATACTTGCTATTCAGATCAGTCTAGCAGTAAACTGATACAATGATACCTATTGATGATTTGGGAAATTGTTTGTTTGTTGTTTAACACCGCACACAGCAATATTCCAGCTATATGACGGCGGTTTGTAAAATAATCAAGTCTAAACCAGATCAACATCATGAGCATCGAGTTGGGATTGATGACATGCATCAACCAAGTCAGTGAGCCTGTCCACCCAAATCCTGTTACGATGTGACATAGGTACTCAGCTGGCTGCAAGGATCTCTGCATATGACCGAGGCATATTTATATTGTTATTTTGGCTTGGATAAACACTGGCTCCTAATCAAATCAAGGTGGCAATTAGTAAATTATATAACTCAGCTGTAAGAAAAACTCGCTTCAATTTGTTTTCCGAGTTTGGCGTCACATGTGCGATAAAAATTATCAAACCCAGATCCGCACAGTGAAGCTGACAATGCAAGCGCTGCGCAGAGTATATTTGCTTTATTATTTCTTGCATGATTTAAAAAGACAAAGAACCATCAACATGCTGTCCCTTTCTGTCCCATAGATTTTTCAGGAAACTATTTTAATAAATTTTTTGTAAGAATTCAGAATGTTATGTCAACACAGTAACATTTAGCAGAAATAATATAATAAAACTTGTTGGAATGCATTATACTTTAACTAGTTCCACTTCTATTTGTTCATTATTGTTTTGCCTCACATGAGCTTACCTCCCATACACCCATGAAGATCTGGGTTAGAATAGTCTGATTTAGGCGCTGAATGGAGCTACATCATCCCTACAAACAAATAACACCCCATCCCCAAAGACCTTGGGTAACAGTGTCTTATTTCAGGACAAGTATAGATACGCCCGTACATAAAACCATTGCCATATTTAAATGATTTTAAATATGATATTCAATGTATATCAATGGAAATTCTGAGTTAGTACATGTTTTTGTTACAGACAATCACAACTGCAACATGAAGTGCTCAGGCAACAGTAAAGATGGGAGTCCTTGTGATTACACTTCAGAGAAGCCATTTAGATTTTGTCCACAATGTGGCGAGTCGCCATTGATAGAGATTCCTTGTCCTGGAAGAGATAATGAACCATGTGGAGAACCAATCACAGTTAAGTTCACGTTTTGCCCAGGGTGTGGATTGAAAATTGATCAGACTTTATTTACAAAACCAAGAAAGAAGTGTCCACAATGTGATGTAGATGTACCTGAAGGAAAGAAATTCTGCGCCGAGTGTGGTGCAAGAATCACATCTACAAATAGTGATTCTGACAAAGGTAAGCATGGCAAGTTCAGTTAACAGTTAATGGTGTACTGAAACTTGATTAGATGGCACAAATCTTCAGTTACTAAGTATGAAGTGACAACCAAGAAATAAGCATGTTGCTTTAATCATGATCAGTTAATTGAGATTGTTTATCATGATAATAAATGACTATGCAAACTCAATGTATGAGTGTAAAATCTACTAGTCATCCAGGACCACATGCCATGCTTTGATACTAACAAGCAAGGTAACAATTGGAGCTGTTTTGTTGTGTTCCAAAAGTGGATGAATTTGGGTTGATATCATTATCAACAGGTTATTGTCAAATTTAGCTGAATTTAGCACATCGTCAGTGAAAGCTTGTGTCTTGGGTCTTTGTTTGCTGTCACTGAATTAAAAAATCACCTGGGCAGTTGGATAGCCTAGTGGTTAAAGCTTTCACTCGTCACGCTGAAGACCCGGGTTTGATTCCCCGACATGGGTACAATGTGTGAAACCTTTTTCTGATGTCCCCTGCCGTGATATTGCTGGAATATTGCGAAAAGCAGTACAAAACCATACTCACTCGCTCACTAAAAAATCACATCCTAATTTACTGAACATTTCAATATTATATCATAAGTTGTAGCAGTATCACGAGGGGTACACATAGTTTTACGTGTCTCGCGTGGGTCACAGTTGGCTAGCCTGCGGTTAATATTCTTCGGCATCCCTTATTGGATCGCTGGCATTGTGCCTGTAGAGCCTGGGCAGCATTGATGATATGATGATCCTGGTGTCGGGAAGCTGGAGTCGTATCCGAAGGATTTAGGCCGCCATGTCAAGGTAGAGTTGGCTGCCCTTGACCAAGCACAGGTTGTTGGAGCCTAGGTGAATGACAAGGGCCCTGGGGCTGCGCCATGTGTCGCCTTGAACTGTGCATCAAGAATGGTGTCCAGTTCCTTCAACCTCATTCCCCTTTGTGCCCTTCAGAAGCAAGTACTGCCGTGCCCTGGCCATGTAGCTGGAGCCCACCATCCAAACTGTAAATGATAAGAAGTGTAGTAAGTACCATATTAAATTTGTTGGTGAGCGTATGTAAGCATTGTAGCAATCTGACTTCCACCTGCCATATTGCTGTATGAGGTGTTCCGGCACCCCGTTCATGGCTGCTGATGTGGCTGCCCCAATGCGGAAGGAGTGAGAAGAATAGCAAGCAGTGTTTATATTGTTTTCGGCCTCCTTCGTGGCACCCAAACGTTATTCTTCAACACCTGGTCTCTGGCGATTACAAACTACAGACAGAAAAGGACTTCGAGACAGTCTTTTTGGTGGCTTTGGCCACTGCTGCACGGGTTAATGAAATTCATGCTTTGAATGTCACTAGGGTCCAGGTTGACAGATCCGGAAGTGGCAAAGCGTTCCTGGGGCTTCGTTGAGATTTCATGGCAAAGAACTAACTTCCCGGCCTACCAGACCGGCTATTTACGATTCCCCCTCTCTCTGCTATTTTGGGATCGAACAACCATGAAAACCTCTCCTTGTGCCCAGTTCGATGGTTCGAATATATCTCGATGCATCTCGCCTCTACAGACATTCCCATAAGAGAGTTTCATCCCATTGTCAACCACGTCTACATCGGAAATTTCTCGTCCGACCCTATCTTTCTGGCTCAACTCCATCATTCTGCGAGTGTTAACTTTCACCAGGCTGCACCCACCTACAACATCCAATCCTTACGAGACTCATGCGGTTGTTTCTACCATGGCCCTCCACAGTAACTGCACCCATTCAATCATCATGGGAGGGTGCTTTTGGAAGTCCGATAGTGTTTTCGTGTCTCACTCCCTTCGCAACATTTTAGTCACAGACATACAAGAGCTCAACAAGTTCGGCCATAAAATTTCTGAGTCCCGTGATGGGATTCGAACCACGTACCTACTGATTAGAGGTCAGACAAGGTAAGGATATCATCTGCGGGATGACTCCACGCCCTGCTACATACTCCCCCGTCAACAGAAGGCACGTCCCAGGCCGCATAGTAGGGTACTGAGGCTTATTTTGCTCAAATTTAATATGAATGTGCTCAGCCCCACGTTGGGCGCCAATGTAGCGGCCATAAAATTTCCGAGTCCCGCAGATTGGATTCGAACCACGGACCTTCTGATCAGAGGTCGGACGCCTTGTCCACATGACCAAAGAGGTTAACCCCGTCAGCAAGCTGACAAGGTAACTTGTCATCTGTGGGATGACTCCACGCCCTGCCACATTGGCACAACAACTGTCTCACCCAAGTTCACGCAGTTAATAAACTTCTTTAATTTTTAATACTTGCGGATTCCAATTGTATATAATTTTTTTATTTGAAGTTTACACGATATACTGCTTTTCCATTGGACGAGAGATCGGTCACATGACCGCGAAATTGACGTTCATAAGTGTATGAACGACACAATTTGACGTTCATAAGTTTTTCACGAGACCGTGTTCTTGAAATGACGTAAACACTGACGGACTACTTCCACATTCCTGGGGAAACCCCTGGGAATTCCCTAGCACGAAAACATGCATAAGCGTTCTTTCTGATCATTTAGAACCTTTATTCTTGGTCTCAGCGTTTCAGTATACTTTGAGAAATGTCAAAGAGCGTGACTGCATGATTGTTCACGAATATCCTCGCTACGGCCCATCCTAATGAACAAACGAAGAAATGCACATCTAAACTATCGTAGTATCGAATCGATCCGTGCCTATGCTGACATTGACCGCCTCCAGCAATCTATGAATTTACCTTTGTGTCTGTTTGAGGCATCTTTATTCACCTTTCAATGATCGGCCAGTTGATCAATGATGACTAACACATGTAACCGCCAAAGGTTCATCAACAACTTCGGAAATCTCTCCCGTCACGTTTATCGTGTCGGCCATTTTGACGTCTTGTACTTGATGTAAATGTATTACGACGCGCTGTCATTGTGACTGACTTACTGAGGTAGTTCTTTACAGACCTTTCTCATCTAATGAGGATATGATTTGAACACATGTGCTGCGTAAGATGTTTCTGGGGAGCAAGTTGTGCATCAATACGCCCATATCACCTCTCTTTTTGAGGAACTATTTTACTCCGCGATATAGCTGGTTGTTGTATGGCTGTCAGTGTAAACATGAAGTCACACATACTAAATAAAATTGTGTTTAGATCTAGGCCTACATCTTTTGAGGTAAGAAATTGTGATAAAAAAATTATAAGAATTGACCTTCACTTTGTGTGAGTTCATTGGAGTATGAACCTTCATAGAGTGAGGGCCAAACATTGTATAAACGTCGTCGCAAGCTCCGACGTTCATACAGTTTGGCCCTCACTCTATGAAGGTTCATACTCCAATGAACTCACACAAAGTGAAGGTCAATTCGTAAATATACAGAATAAATCATTGAACATTTACGTTGTATTATGTGTTTTTGGATGTTTGATTTTTCCCAGATAGAGGGTGCATTAGCTTGTCTATAGAGACCTTAATTTACGAAGTGACCATTTGGTGTGGTTGATCATATACATTCAGTCACAATCGTACAAGAGCTCGACAAGTTCGGCTGGTGTTGGCACAACAACTGTCATGCCCCAGTTCACACAGAACATAAACTGTTATACTATGTAATCCTTGTGGGTTACAATTGTATATACAGAATAAATCATTAAACATTTACATGGTGTTACATGTTGTTTTTATTGTTCGGGTTTCCCAGATTGAGTCCCTTTTGGAGGGTGGATTATCTCGTCTGTAGAGACTTTTTAGTCTTAATTTATGAAGACACCATGCAGTACAGCCGATCCCCCCAAAAAAAGAAGGAAAAAAAGAAGAAAGATCAGTGTCCCAAACCTTTATTCCGCTCACCTCTGCCTCAGGTATCTGTGATGTATGGTTTTGGTTCGAAGGTCCATTGCTATGGAATATTGTCAATCGTTTCTCTTCTCGTTTTGGTTCGCTTCATACACTCAATTGTGTTTGACAACCATGATGAAGCGTGAAAAGAGTTACCAAACCTAGCACACTCTATGGTCAGTGGGAGATAGTTGCTGTGTTTTGTTTGAAGAATCGATGCCTTTCCAGAATCGATTTTAAGTCGTTTTCACTTATGCGTTTACAGTACGCTGTTGTTCTACATGTACATACGAGAAAAAACGTTTGGCATGTACAACCGATCTCATGTTGTTTCGTTTGAGTAATTTATCAGGATCGTTAACACTGTTTGATTGTGTGTTTTTTCCTGCTCACAAGTTCATGTCTTTTAGACGTTAGACAGTTTTCAAAATTCTAAAACAAATTCAAAATTACACTGTCTCGAGCCAGCTTCCTCGTGCATATCTGTCGGTTGTATTCCATACAGGCTAGGGTATCTGCGGCTCACCATTCAACCATGGGATAAAATGCAAAGTGTGAGATAGGATAAGTTTAAAAAATATTGAAATTTTAGTATAAATTGTATATTTATATACTTATCCTATCTCACATGCGATAGGCCCACCCAACCATCCCCTCCTCTCATTTACCCTAGCCTTATAAGCTCTGCGAAAGAGAATGAATTGGTAGAGGCGCACACGTTGTCAGTTCAAGTAGGCACGGCGTGCACGAGAGGCACGTAATTGACTTAGCTTTTGGACATAACCATGGAGATGCAGGGGGGCTTGGGGGGCTATTTTTATTTTCAGAAGCTGGAAACATGATTCAATCACGTTCCCACATAGGATAGAAGAAGAAAGGAGAAATGCAAAGTGTGAGATAAATATAAATATACAATTTATACTAAAATTTTGAATACTATAGTGGCAGTAGGTTTATCATCCAATTTACGTATACAGAAGATATTATGACAGTTCTGGGACAGGGGTCCGAGGTCATTCTGACTGGCAAGTTTTCATTATCATGTTGCTTGATCATGCCATCAGTGTCAAGGGATTTTATATTCCGATGTTTACAGGGGTCATACTAGAATCAATCATATGTTTAATTCCATGCTTACATCAGAATTTGGCTTCATCACCCTTTGACATCCATAGGAGGTGATGTGTTAACGTCATTCATTCCGAGTGTATTGCTGACATGGTTTCAATGCTGGTTTCAGCCTAGTTCGTACACTTTCAAGGTGTAAAGCTTGTTTTTAGTTACATGACAATGACAATTGTGGGAGGGATACAGCTAAGTACCAGATCCTAAAGCCATGATGTTGGAGACAATGCTGGGCGACTCAGGTTTCTAGTACAGTTGAGAGTCAGTACGGTGTCTCGGGACCTTGTAAAAGATTTCAGTTCATTGAATTATTTATAAACTCATCTTTGAACTTTATGTACTTGTGTGATCCTTCTGCTTTTCTCTAATTCTTATGTTCATATTAAACTTAGTTGATCATTGTAATATTTTTTCACTAAACCTCATCGTTAAGCTCTGGTATCTATTTTGTCACATTTTGTGACTAGTGGCAGCATCTATATATTTAAGTAGTTTGTCCACTGGTAATTATTGACCAATCTTTCACTGTTCTGTTTAAAGAATAATGATAGAGTGACTTGAGTAGGCTGGTTTTAGCAATATTCCAGGAATTTCATGTCCTGGAACATGAAAAATAGGCCTCATACATTGCACCCATGTGTGGAAGGAAACTAGGGCCTTCAACATGTTCAAGTTGAGAAAGTAAACACTTTAACCGTTGATACTGTTGCTCAAAACCCAATTGGTCCACAGGTCTTTTTCAGACTAGTGGTTTTTGTAAAATATCTCATTTTAGAAGGCTTTCACATGAAGGCATCTCAGTGATGTTTCTTAGTTACTAATGGTTTGAATTTATCGAAACTTTTCTGCTTTGCAGTTTCTCTGTCATTCTTCAAAATATATTGAATCACAAAATTTGTGTTTGATAGGAATTTACCATTTCTTAAGTGCAAGTGATTAATTTTATTGCTTTTTTTCGGATTTGTTAAAAATGTATTCATTATCTAAATAATAAACAACACATGTAATTATCAGATTGCGAAATCAGTATAAAAACACTTATTTCAAATTCAATATTCAGAGCTCCAATTAACTTTTTGAGCAATTGAGTTTTTACTCGAAGGTTTCTATTTTAATTGGGTTATTACATTTTTCATTGGGTAACCAATATTTTTTTCACTCAACTATTCATCACTCCCTTTGGTTTTTAAAAAAATGAGTAGGCATTTTGAGATTTAAAAAGAAATTGAATAATGTTTTAGATGTTATATAACGGTTCTAAACATAGGCTTGACTGGGAAAGTAAATTTGCTCGTAATTGTGTTTCTGAAATTAGCTCCGTTGTACACATGCTGAAAAAGCTTCAATGGGTATTTACACATGCTGTTTTCAAACAATAGAGTTTTCCATTTAATGCATGCATTTCTGTACTCAAGTTAATTGAAAGTATTTGGGTTTTGAATTGTTTTGGGGCGTATTTTACACAAGTATGCAGCTTATCTGTAGCCCTGAATATTTAAAGTCATTTGGAAACACCAAGCATCATAATGTGATCATAAATGCAAACAATCATTGTCCAGCTAGTCCACAAGATTACAACTAGCAAAAAACAGACCATGAAATATTGACTGGTTATATGACTTTGAGTGGCTGTGTTATGTTCTTTTTTAATGTCATTAAATGACATTTACAGGCGAAAGTTAGTAATGTTTGGGGGATTAGTAATTTTTGGTTCTGCCAGTCCCTATGACAAGCCTATCAATGATCCCCACCAGAAACACTGGTATACACAAGCATGAGCTAATCCTTGAGATAAGTTACATAACCATTGGGACTATTTCAGAAAAAAGAAACTGATATCTGTTAATTTTGTTCACAGATGAAAACAAGAACAAGAAGACAACACAACAGGATGAAGCTGATATAAATGCTAATGCCAGTGGAGTAGCAGAGCCATTTAAAGTGAGCTATCCCCCTGTTGGAATACAGGAGACATCTCTTACATCTGAGCCCAAACAACATCAGCAGCCCGCTGATATTGCTCCTTCAAATCCTGCGTCAATTGTGTCAACTGTGATACCTGAGCCCAAACAACATCAGCAGCCCACTGATACTGTTCCTTCAAATCCTGCGTCCAATGTGTCAACTGTGACACGTGAGTCGAAACAACATCAGCAGCCCACTGATAGAGTTCCAACAAACACTGCATCCAATGTGTCCTATGTAACTATTGTGCAAGCTGAGACTTCTCCCAACATGAAGAGAAGCATATCTCCTGAACTGATGACTGATCCAAAAAAAACACGATCCACATCAAACCTCTCAAATGATGCTGGAAGTGTTTCATACAATTTGTCCACAACTGCTACTACCACATCAGCTGACACAACTAAGACTGCTGATAAAACAGCTGCGGCCACTGCAATTGTTGCTAGTGATATTGCAACTATGAATGTGATTCCAAATGAGCTTGTTGCTACTGATCCTGACAGTAGCCACGGTGAAGGTCATTTAAGGGATGGTCGAAATTCACAAAGCAACATTTCTGGGGTTGATGATAGCTCTGGAAATAATATTGCTGACAGAGTCAAGAAAGGGAGGAATGTGATCAGCAATCAAGCAGAAATAGAAGGTCTTTCAAACACAAATAATTCAAACAGCAAAACACTGGTTGGATCAAAGGCCACATATTCAACTACAGATCCCCTGTCAAGAAACACACCTAAGGAAGTAGAAGACACTGCAGATTCTTCAAATGCAAAATCTTTTGAAAATAAGGGAGGCCAGATTCAGTCAAACAATGAGGATAAAAAACCACAAACATATAGTAGTGTTGCTGCAAAGTCAACAACCAATAAGAATGCCTCACAGAACAAGGTAAAGAAAGGAAAAAAACTCAACTAGACAATTCATTGAAACCTTCAACATTAACACTATAATTTTAGAGTTTTGAATATAATTGATCAATTATGATCAATGAATTAGGTCTATGAATAATAAAACAGGAACACACTTTTCACCTTACGGACACAATCTATTATTAGATTTTCATCCATTTTATTTTTTAAATTGAGGTGAGCGGCTTTTTATGACATGCAGGTTCAGACATGAATTGTATTTTTACAAGGCATCTGCACATTAACTGCCAAAGAATGTCATTCAGGACAAATGTTTGGTAGGACTATGCATTTTTTGTATCACATTAAGTGAAGACACACTTACCAGTAACTTGTTTCTTCATCTGTAGATGTACAATAAATGACGTGAGATGGGTGTTTTAAGTGAGGCATGCAGAGGTGAAAATGTAACAGAACTTAATATGGTCTAACGTATTGGTCACTACCTTTAGTAAAAAAATGCTTGTAAGTCAGAAATCATCATCAAGACAGACACTTTATCTCTGATGTCTCAATTTAGGTAATTATTATTGAAAGTTTGGACACACCACTCACAAGTTTCAGTGATTGATGAAATCCAAATTGGTTCCCAACACTAATTTCCAGCAGCCAATGTCAGGAAGGGCTTCTTCAAGCTGTTTTTTTTATACAACTGTACAACCTTCTTTCATAAAAAGTTTTCTAAAGCGACTGGAGGCAGTTTTACTCTTAAGTAATGTCAGATAAATTTAGACAATGATAAATAAAGAATCAGCCTTGCTAGTAAATGAAATTGGACTCATCTATTTTGAAAATGTGAATATTGATCATGACAGTGACACTGAATGCACGTCACTACTGATAATATGTGATGGGCAATACTATTTTAGCAATAATTAACAAGGTGTTATTTTTATTTGTACAGAAAGGTGGAAAGGGTGCAGGTAAAGAAGCGGTAAAGGGAAAGCCAAATGCAAGGTAATGAAATATCTTAGATTTACTTTTTTATCTTTTTTTTTTGACATGAATACATTTCCATGTTTCCTTTCTCTTCATTCAAATTCCTGTGAAGAGTAAGAAAAAGAGTATGTAAAAGGTTCATATGTATTCAGATAAAAAGCACATGAATCCATAAGTTAAACAGCAGATATTATTTTTTAACAATTGTTAAGTTTTTAAAGGTCATTACCATTGTAGTGTTCAATTATTGTTATCATATAAAACAATTATAGCAATGAGAACTTTCATTACAATATACTCATAAAACATGTAGTCCTCCAGAACTGCGGCTAACTTTTTGTTTTTATTTGAAAAATACATTCATACATCTTCAAAATCATACAATTCATTTGATCAACTTTATAAGATGTCATTGTTTTTAGATTAAATGGTTTGCTATAACTGATATTTTGCTATACATGGACATGCCTCTTATTTCATCCTAGTTAATCCGTTCTTTACATTACAAGTCAACATTAATATGTTCCAGACTTTGTTGCATGTTATATATATGTACACTTTTCCGTTTGTTGTTGTTGTTTTGGGTTTTTTTGGGGGGGAGGGGGAGGGCGGCTTTAGTAATAATTTGAATGAGCTAGACCTTGGCAAGGTTCTGTTTGCAGTCGTCGAACAATTGAATCCATACATAAATTGTGTTGAATGACCTTGACCTTGGAATAAGTTTTTTGTTGAAGAGTTCAACATTCTTTGAACAAAACGGGAGATTAATTATCGCTGGACAACTGTCAAACTGGTGTATGACAATTATTTCAATTTAACAGGTGAGAAATCTCCTTTTAAACCAATATGCATTTAAGGAATTTCCGAAATCCTTTTACGTTGTGAATTTTATCTAATTTTAGAAAATCAGCAAGGGAAAGTGATGTTGAGGTTGTTTTCCATGCTCTCATATCAGAGGAAATGAAGCTTGATAGAAAAGAAGAGGATGTGTACATACGATTCGGACCTCCAAGTCTAGGTGGATTTGAGAACAGTGTTTGGAAAATGGACTATTTCAGGTACATTAAAAAAATTCATGTTTAGAATTCAGATTTATGTTTACATGATATTCTCAATCAATAATGGGAAAGTTGTTTTCAGTATGGGTTCAATAAACAACTTTACTTAAGATAATATTCATAATTTCCATAACTGGTGTCATTCATTAATCGCCAATCCTGAATACTGAGACTTTAACACAAGTGAAAGTAAACATAAAAATCCATGTAAGTCACAAAATATAGTCAGCTAATTTGTTTGAGGAGTCAAATGTGTGATCTAGTAAGTCAGTGACCTTGAAATTACCGATTTCTTAATCCCAGACATACACTGGGATCGGCAAATGTATATGTTATGATCGGTTGTTAGAAGAAAGATAAGCTTTGAAAAATGACTGCCAGAGATAGAACCCAAACCTAGTGCCTCAACACACCCAAAACATTGCATGTTCAACATGCAAATCCTATATGCACATGGGCAGGGGTTCATTCTTGTGAAAGGTCATCAAACCATTTATAGTATTGTTGATTTTCATTTTCTACAGTAACATGTAACCTTTGCATTTATCCAGTATTTGTGATCAGATTGGTAATGCATTGTCTACAACGTGGTGAACACCTTAGGGCTATTGGCATGCTTCAAACTGGTAGACCTCACAGAGAGGTAGCCAATATGTTAATGTGTCTCAGTCTGTGATTTGCTGACATCAGAAAAGGTTTTACAGATACATAATGTTAATCATTAATGATTGGCCGAGCACAGGGTGCTGTTACTGGGGATGTCAGGGTTTTGGAGATTGTATTTCCCTTCTATCCCAGCAACTGATTCTCACCACACCTTGTCTCAGATGATGTAGCTCATTCAAATCAGAAGTCAGGTTTCTTGTTCAATTCCATTTATTGTAGAATGTAGGATGAGCATTACACATATGTATTTCTGTTGCCATATATTCACAACACATATCTAAATGATGCACTGAAGAGCCCAGTAATACTTCAAATCAGCTCTTGACTTTTAGTAGTCCAACTTCCAAAATACAGAGACAGAACACTTTCTGGTCTGTGGGGAGACTCAAGCTTCCGCTCCCTTCTCTGAGCTAACTAAATACTATCATCATAATTTTTAGCTCCTCCCACTGAAATTAGTCTTAACTCTTTGTCTCTTTGTTTCATTAGTAACAGAACTGTAATGAGTCATAACTCTGAGTCTTTTTGTCTCTTTGTTACAACAAGATTTTCTCAACTTCTGGATGAGATTCAAACAATACTACCAAATTTCTTCTGACTAACACACTCCTATTACTTGTCTGGTCACTTTTGCACACAAAGAAAATCAAGAATATGGCTGACTGGCTGGCGCCAGAAGATATTAAAAGTGCTCTCAGGTACATATCAGGTAACACACCATGATATTGCTGGAATATTGCTAAAAGTGGCGTAAAACCAAACTCACTCACTCATTAGCTAACTACTATCCAACACATGATATCCATACATATTTCAAATAAAGAAATCCCATCCGAATTTCCGAACCTCAGAATTTCATAAAATGTTTGTATTTAAAGTGCATACCAAAATACCCTGAAAATGATGTGCCTGAGGTCACAACACATGTCAAGGATTGGTTGATCAGAAACAAGACTTTCAGAAACTGAGCACAGACAGCTAATCAAATCGTTGTTCAGTTGTGCCAGGCCAACAGAGTTCAAATTACTGACCGGACTACATTGTATGAGAAAACACTTGTATGCAGTTCATCTGCATGCTCCAGTCCCTGCTGTATTCCTCAGGCCCCCCAAAATTAGAATTCTGCAACCAAATTTGGATAACGTTGCACACAATTCTACAAACGTTTTAGCTAAGTTTTTGTGAGTTTTGTTGTTTTGCACCTGTCTGACTTGTTGCAGGCATTTGTTTGATAAACATATTCATGACTAGCCTTTAGAATAGCTTATTGAAGTGAATCTGGAGATAACTAGTGTAAACATACAGACATGCACTTTCAGTAAGCTATTATACAAAAGTCAACTTCAAAGCAAAATCAATATCAATTTACTCGTTTAAGAGCAGCTTTCAACCCACATGTTGCACAAAATGTGATTTTTCTGCAAGGTATTCCACAACCACAGAGGAATCATGGCTATGCCATTTGTGACTATATCTCCGTTTCCCATCACTCGATGAGAGAAACATAATATTTCATGAGACACATGCAATATCCTTTTTATTATATACCGTATTCGACGTAATAAGCGCCCAGGGCGCTCTCAAAATTAGAAATAGGGGGCTCTTATTAGAATGTTATTTTGGTGAAAAAAACAGAGTTGAAAGATAAATTTCATGGTTGATGCTGACAGCCTGAAATGTTTATGTACGACAGATATATTTTTCCAGAATTAAATGCCCATAATTATTGGTGCATATAACACACGAGTGGGTTTTATACGCGAATAAATAAGTCTTGTGTACATTGATCAATCGGAAGGGGAGCTAATTGGGATTGTTCACTAGCCAATATCTTAGCAAATGTCGACGTGGGCGCTTAATAGAGCGGGGCGCTTATAACGTCGAATACGGTACCTTTTTTTTTTTAGTTGTCTACAAGAAAATTAAAATATTTCATTACAAATGTAAAACCTTTAAACGTAGATTATCCCTACCTAAAACACAGTGTCCTTTCACCACCCATTGTAATTACGACTAAAATAGTAGTTCCTTTTCTTTAAAATCCTAAAAAATATAAACAAGGTGACAAAAAATATTTGATGTCACTCAAATTCTTTACCATACAATTGGATATGATTACATAAAAAATCAACTTCATCCTAAAATATTCTTGAAATCTACGAAACTGTTGTTGGTAGTGAAAGCGAACAGTCTCGATGAGTTAAATGAGAAATTTACAGTTTACAACGAAACATTTTCAAGAAAATAACAAATGGCAAGAAGCTATAATATCTCCATTAATGACTGTTCGTCATTATTTTGCCCTGTCAATGTAGAACTAAAATTAATATGAGTTCAACAGTTTGTGTATGGGCTAGACACTAACGATAAAGGGGTGATATTTTGCATTCAGTTAACTCTTGTAAGACAATAGTTCCATCAAAGTGATATGTTGATTGCAGTCAAATATCAAGTGTTAACTTCACTGCAGTGAAATAACAAGTGTTATGTTCACTGCAATGAAAATATCACTTTTCTCAACTTCAGAAAGCTCAGTCTTTCACACTAGAGTATATAATAATGCGTAGACTGATCCCCATGACCACTTGTTATGCCACCGCAAAAAAAATCAACACATTCTAACCAGATACCAATGATGTTTAATTTCATAGTAACTGATGGAAATGCCAATGGTCTCTAAATGACAGTGTTAAGAAATTGGAAAGTCAAAAGAAAAATAATGTCTGGATCTGAAAGTAGATGATGTTGGTAACGTCATGCAGAACTTGCATGTTTGTAAGACATGCACAGATATACGGTATTGTAATTTATCAAATTTGCAGAAGGAATTGCTGACTTAGCCATGAAGTTGAGAACTTAGATTGTCAGTACAGATTCCTTTTTACCTTGTCTGAAGATTATTTCCTGAAATCAATAAATTTCCACACTATTTCCTCAATAAATATTTGCATTACCACAGGAGTGGTTAAATAGAAAGCAAAGTGAAAACAACTGAAAGTGATTGGTGACATGTCATGCACAAGATTATGACTTCAGACTTGACTTATTTCATAAAACCAAATGAATTGCAAATCTAGTATGTGACAGATTATGTATTACAATTCCCACATATGTAGCTGCATGTTGCTTATATATATAGCTATCAATGTTTGATATTATATTTCCAGAGAAGCAATGGATGGCGTTCATGAGTATATTGCTCACATACCCATGTCCAGAGATCAGCGAAACAAGACATTCAAATACAAATATATCATACAAACCAGTCCAGGTGATGTTAGGTGGGAAGAACCATACTACAGGAAGAAAGCCTACCATGGAAGCGCCATGGTAAATCGTCAGTTTGATTTGCCAAGTACATGGAAACAGATGCAAGGTAACCAAATCTGTTTGTTCCTTTATATGCACTTGGTACACTGTATCTCATAACTACAAACACAATAGTTGATATGAAGGATTTCTTTTTTCTGATTGGATTTTTGAACTGCTTTGAACATGTTGGGTAAGGTTATTTCTGCCATTTAATGTTCATGATAAAAGGGATGCAGCTTAATGTGTTTGCTAAATTTAAAGTCTACTGCAATTGGTTGTCTCAACCACTCGCTTATTACAGATAAAATAGACTTCATACCTCATATGCCCTCCGTAGATCCCTTGGCAATTTTTCTGACATATGATTGCAAGACATTTAAGGTCAAGGTCACTTGATATGAACTTGACATTTAAAAGGTTTTGCACATGATAATTTGAGTATCTAAGGTCGGAGTATGACTAAACTTAGTATTTCTAGGGCGGTGTCTATGCATAAGGTCAAGGTTCCTCGAGGTCACATTTTGGATGAATTCATGAAAAATCAAAGCACTTTCCAATCATTTATGACAGATTCTAAGTCACTTACTCAGCACATGATCTCTAGGTAGGGGTTGTATTTGAGAAGATTCTCAATCACCTCCAATGAAGGTTAAGGTCACTAAAAAGCATAATGTCCAAACATGGAATATTTTGATTCATGATAATACAATGCATGTTTTAGTCTGTTCTCAGTCGTACAAATGGGTATTCTCATACCCTCACGTCTAGTCGCACGTTTAAAAGGAAGCCAGAAGCTGAAATGTAAACATTAAACTTGTTTCCGTCCGTTTGCGCACGCACCTCCCTATGACATGTCACAAATCTCCCAGAGCGCCTCTGAGCTAGTCGCTTGAGAAAGTCTTTCACGGTAGACTGCTAGTTTGTATTCTACTAGTACTTATCGCTTGTCTACAGTTGTTGTTCTAATACAGTAATAATAAATATGTCTTCCCTGTAGACTCCTGGAATGTAATCCTTGGTAATCCATTGATTGTGTTCAACACTTTCACTGTTAGACTTGATTATACACGTGGCAACATGTCGGGCATTGGTGCCTGGTGTCAAAGAAAACTGTCTAAAGTAGACCCTCACAAGTATTGTCCTTCCTGCATCAATAAAGACGGGTTTTCAACGTGTTCGTGGGATAAACGTGAAGAATGTGAGCACTTTATAAACTTTAACTTGTATCTTCGTGCGTTGGCGAAGCAGACTGCTGACCAGCGCTACAAGCAGAGAAGGTCATCGGGTGGGACGCGGTGGTGATGAGGACTAGGAGGGTTCTACCAACGATGATAGGGACGTTGTGCGGGACGACAGTGGACAGCGTCATAGTGAAGATAATGACAGAACACTGCCCTCGTCTCACTTTCATATCGACCCGGCTTTGATAGCCCAGATCCCGGCGGTGGTCCTCGCCTTGACGGCGTCGACCAAGAAGGATTCGACTGCCTCGGGGGTCCATGGACCGTCAACCAGTACACCAGCTCCTTCATCTACGTCTCCACAATCGACGTTGACGTCTCGGATGTCCTCGCCTAGTCCCGATATGTATCGGGCCAGATTACTATGGCACATTGCCATGGTTACATTGACTGCACTGAACTACCTGATCATCATGGCAGGACACTCTTATGAGCCCCGTGGTCATCGCAACAGTTGTTTGACGGTTGTACCAACGAAGTTCTGGACAAGTACTCCAGGGAAGCCGAGCGTGACATGATCATTTCGGCTTCATACAACCTGTCCAGACGGCAGCGAGAGTATCGGAAATACATGCCATTGACGTCGGTCGGCACAGTTCATGCGCTTCGTATTTACCTGCAGCGATCTGAACAGCTACAACAACATTTTTGACGGCTGTTCATACCGCTCTCAACCAATGCAAAGAAAGAGATTACATGTAATACTCTCTCTGAGCGGTCATTCTCAGAGCTTACGAGGTGCAAGGACTCGCACCTCCCACCTCCTCTCATCCGCACGAAGTTCGAGCCATAGCTTCAGCATTAGCACTCCACAGTAATTGTTTGCTGCAAGCTATTATATGGAGGGATGGCTGGGTGGGAACGTACGACTGAAAACAGACCAATAAAACATCGTTTTTAATCAGAAAAACCCATTTTTCAATGATTAATAATATACAAACCCTCTCTCCTCTATTTGGCATGTCAAGGTCATTCACACATTGAAAGGTAAAGACTTGTGAACAGTAGTATTCAGACTGTATTTACAGTATTCTACAGTAATTTTACCTTTTGCAATGTGCAAGTGTTTTCCTCATGAGATCAGAAACAGTGAAAGCCTGTACACTTTCAGTTTATAGCTCAAGACTCATCTGCTCCTGACAGCCTATGATCAAGAGAGCTTTTAAGCACTAGTCTGGAAGGGGATTTGTGAAAAGATTCTGATTTCTTATTATTAAATACAGAATTTATGTCAGGAAATGTTTATACTTGAGTTATAAAGTAACAGGTGAGGAGGTGTTGACTACAGATACCTTTCTAGTTTGATCTTAGTTGTTGAAACATAGTTTTCACTGAGTTGAGTGGTGAACACAAAAATCACATGGGTGAACAGCTTAAGCTACCATATAATTACATTCTACATTGTAAATTGACAGTCATAAAATGAAAGCGACAAATAGACCTCAACCTGTTTTAAACAGAAAAAAAATGAAAAAATATTCCTTATGTTATTTCTTTTTCTCAATTGTTTTTAAGGAGTTTGGCATCAATATGATGGATTTGTGTATCCCAAAAAGGAGAAAGGATGGTGGAATGCAGTTAAAAGTTTATGGAAAGGAAGCTTTGAAGACAAGATTCTAGCTGATACAGAACTAGCCACTGAATTATTTATGCCAAGCAAAGATGAAATCCTGAAATGTTTGTCCCAGGAATTGCCCCAAGAATCAAAAACAGCAGAGGATTTGTTGAGGGTAGTATTTATGGTCTTTTCAAGTATGAAGGTCCAAATGCTGGACAGAGACCTGAGAAATGCTGATGATGACCTCAGAACCAAGGTAAATGTGTATTTTACATAGATATTTGTCAGTAATCATTGTTAATAGAGATAGTTTATTTTGTTACAATGTAGCATTGATTCATTTTCCATCCATGATAGTTCCATGTAGACAGTTTACATCTTAATAGTCTCCAAAATATGTTTATTCAAAAAGGTAAATTATTCAGTCATCAAATCAACATTGTTTTATTGACCGACATTTCTTGCCAATTTGTGTATGTTTGCTAACCATAGTGTGGATTAATTAAATGATGTGCATCAGTATGCATTGCAGCACTCACATAACAAGTGATAGTGACATATTCACCTGGCAAAGTTCAGCAGCACCTTAAAGTTTTACAAATTCACTGGACATCATTCTGCTTCAGCAAATGGGTAGCATGTGGTGAGCATCACTCTTGTGTAAATTGGTTAATCACATAACCAGTCATCTGAGGCACCACAATTCAGTGTGCAGTGTTGCACCTCTTGGATAAGCCAGGAACCACTAATTCTTCAGAATCCTCCACCTCTATTATATCATTGCCAAATTCCTGTATTTTTAGGTGCAATCAAACAAAAAGTAATCTTCATATTCTTCAAGAGAAGTTCCTTCACTAGCTGTCAACTATACAGAGGCCGATTTAACTGCTTGCCCATTAGCCCGTGGCCAGTTAAGATCACGAAAGACTTGCTGAAACATACAGTAGATGGCCTGTCTGACTGGTCAAAATTTCACCCCTTTTTTGTGTATGTTTACTGTTTTAAATGGGACACTGCTCGTGAATCGTGTAATTTCGATGAGAAACTCTTATTGGAGAGGAGGTTGTGTGAATGGTTAACTCAAAGATCATCTTGGAAGCATGACACAACCAAAATGTAATGTTGCGTACAACAACTTCTTTATTTGCTCATAAATTACCATGAAATGAGGCACATGGGAGACATCATTTAATCTCAGAGTGCAGGGAAAAGAATTTCGGGATGAGGAGCTCTAACATTTTCGGAGCCCCCTGGGTAACTCAGTCACAGCCTCCAGTATTTAGTTTTAGGCCAGTCAGTTTGGAGAAGAGCGAGTAACTTTTGAAAGGATCAAGCCCTGATAGCTACATTTGTTCTTAAATCTACCCCTACTATTACACAACTAGTTGTCACCGCATTAACACCAATCAGCATACAACTCTTCAATGGTGAGAAATCCTCACTTCTTTCCTCTGTGTGCTAGAGTGAACATCAGCTTTTGACTGAGTACAATCTCTGACACAAAGGTTGTGTAGTCACACTAGCTAGCTAATTTTTAGTTTATTAGTTGTTATCTTAGGAAGTCATTTCAGTAAGTAGTTGATTTGCTTGGTACTCAAGTAAGTGTAAAGTTTCGTGTGAGTCGATCTCAACACCCAGCTTGCAAATTATATGGTCATTTTATGATTTCGGGAGACCCTTATCCTGCCTGCTGGAAGTGCAGTAGACTAACATTTAGTCTATGAAATCTTATATTACACAGTTCTCGACTCTAAAATTGAACAAATAATTGTGGAATAGAACTAGCTAGAGCTGGCTAGACATGCTTTTGTATACATATCTAGATTGTTTGTTTTTTTTATAAAAGAAATATATTCCACAGTCATGGTGCAGGACTAGAAGTGCAGGGACGACTCGTTGTGAGTTGTGCACGTCCCTATTTAAGTCGGCCTTCAACAAGTTGTTGGGCTTGTTGCGATGCCTTAGCCTCCTGCTCAACCAATTCCGACTCCTGCCTTGTCCATCAGCCTGTTGAAGCAACTTTTCAAGAAGCAGATGGCGACAGCATCATTGTCCGCTTCTCGCCTGGCAGCCATACACCGAGGTGGAGCACTGTTGAAGCATCATCAATTAGAACAGGCTACGAAGAATCCCCAGTCAAAGAGGCCGCATGGGGGACAGCCACAGGATAAGCCTGACTCGTCTGCCACCAAGGCCATACGGCTGTCTGAGGAAGCACCTGACTCATCACCTGCTGGCCATGTTGGTAGAAGGCAGCAGGCTTTACCTACTCAAGAACCAGGGCCGGCATAGTCTCCACTCAGTAGTCAATACCGACATAGAGAAAAGCAACCTTCCGGACTGACTGCTGCTTGTTTCCTGCTCGGACAAGACGGGCACCAAGCCAATCACTGTTCAAACCACAAGACAAAAACCATTATGAAGTCTCAGCCACTGCATGACTCCAGCCACTAGCCTACAGATGATCAGGCTTCCCCAAAACACACGGCATCCGCTATGGACACTAAACAGGAAACAGTGTTCATTGACGACAATCAAGACCAAGCCAAGTGCCCTAACTATGGCATGAATTCACAGATTCCACAGACCTTGATCCTCCCACCCTTTGGACGATGATACTCTCGAGGAACACGCGGATCCCATGACAGCTTTGGTTACCAAGCGTCATTACTCTTCACTCCCGGGGATGAACTTTCATTCTACAGCAGAGGGGATTGAAGAGGAATATACAGAGTCAATCTATTCTCACTTGCGAGATTATGACCCTAGCCAATTAGAACAATTGGAGCTATCGTCTAATGCCAGTCATATAACAGAAGATTGAGGAAACAGAGGTATAACAAATACCTGAATACACAGGCTGTCACGCCCAAGGTCTGTCTTCACATGTACATCATACTCTCCCATGGCCAAGTTATGCACATAAGATTATCAACCATGTGTCCGAGAACCTACTGAAGCTTAGACTTAACGACCGTCTCCCCTTACCATCTCTGAAGAAGAAGCTTTATCAAACCCAAGACTGTCCGATCCTGGAGTCTAAGGTTTTGGACAAAGACTTCCTTAAACTGGTTCATTCCCCTTACACCAGAATCTTGTTACCCTCAGCACTATTAAAGGACACTCAGTCTCTATGGACATCGGGGTGTATATATAAATTAGTTTGTGACCAGAGTACTATGAAGAGATTACTGCAGGTACACAATTTTTCCATCAGAATGGACCAAGTCAGTTTAATTCACAGCCTAATAAATACAATAAATTTTATGCAGGAGGACTTGCTATCTACACAAGTCTGGGTGTCTTCACAACTAATGTGGATTCAAAGACAACAACTCATATCCCAGATAAGCTCCTGAGCAGTCACACACCATGCCACAATCATGGTTATGTCTCAACCAATTAGGGTACCCAAGATATTTAACAACATACTTGGCGAAGGAAGTGAGACAGGATACACTGGAGCGATTCCAAGTATCCACCCTTAAAATGGTAGTCATGGCATATGGATCGTCTTTTTCATCCATGCGTGCAGGAGATTCCACCCATATCGTCTTTTCCATCTATGCGTGCAGGAGATTCCACCCATGATACCACCTTCAGGGAACCCATTAGGAAGAGGTTTGTTCATTCTGGGAATGATTCATTTCACGCCAGTCAAACTCTCAACAAAATATGTCAACTCAGGGTCCAGTCTTTTGTCATACATTGAAAATTGGAAGCAGATCACTTCTGATCACTGGATTCACAATGTCATATCAAAGGGTACAGATTTCACTTCCGTTACCATCCAGTATGCTGAAGATTCATTCTTGAAGGTACTAAACTACAGGCAGCCGATCTGGTCATTGGGGCTCTACTAGTCAAGATGGCCATACAGAAACTTCAGGATACCGATGTCCCGCTTATGAGTTTAGTTATAACCATGCCTGAGTGGTATTATCTGATTTCATAACAGAACTGTTTGAAATTCAAGTTAAAATGGTAATTTATTATTTTAGTTTGTGCAGGGACAAAACAAACTTACACTAGCCATATCGACAGGTATCATTACCTACTTAGTCATATGCGTACTTCTTTATCCAGTCTATTATACCCTGTAATTTCCTCACCATAGTTATACTCTTCAATAGCAAGTACATGCTTATGTCTTACATTTACCTACCCTCACTTCTAGTATTTTATTTCACGTCACATCATTAGCCATGCTTTTCTGTTATGTATAAGGTTACTATTTTCATGTCCCACAATGCATTAATTTATCAGCTACGCATGCTCAGAAAGGTTCCTGTGATGTCTGCCTTGAGGCTTTTTAACCCCAAAGATTTTGCCTTGTCTTTCTTGTCAATTCTATTGTCATGGCGTAATGCTCTCCCACCATCCTCCCCTGCTTGCTGCCTTGTAGGGGGGCCTTCAGCTCATTCAGTGCTTTTAATTGCCACTACGGAAGCTCAAAATGGCAGGACACTATCTACATGAGCTTCCCGATCTTACGACCAGGAAACGTCCATAGGGATGTCCGGGTCCACAACCCCAGGGCAACTAATCCCACCATTAGGTCCTCGCCATCCTAACCGCGGGTCCACGACCTACATGTTACTTAGATTCCTAGACCCTTGCCTTCTAAACGCCGGTCCACGACCTACAGGTTACCCTTCATATCTAACATACCCAGGGTTTGCGACCATTATACTAATCATGGGTTTACGACCCTCCTGCAACCAAAGTAGCCCCCTCAATTCTCCAAAATGTTGTAAATCAATCTCATTAAAACCAGACCTTAGTTCTCGCTACCGCTGAACAAAGAGTTTCAAAGATCTGAAGACATCCCATAAGGGGTCACGTCAGACTGACCTTTCATCCGACTAATCAGAGAGTCGCTTACCAGATTATGAAAGTGACAGTCGGAATGTGATTTCTACCTCGAAAACTTTAACACGGGATATTCCGAATGATAGTTACGGGTTTAACGACTGAATCCATACAATCTAGATCATCTATTAGCCATTTCAGAATGTTCTTTTGTTCAGGTTTCAATTTGTAATCGAGAACTGTTCAAAACATGTTTCGAAGCGTAGTCGCCAATTTGAAATTGGTGCCGTAAAGCACGAGAAAGCTCCCTTTCGATTGGTCAATCCATTGATCAGTCAAAGTTTGCACAAGGTCAGTCTGACGTGACCCGTAATGGGATGTCTTCAGATCTTTGTTTAGTGGTAGCGAGAACTAAGATCTGATTTTATGGAGATTGGTTGTAAATAAATATATCTTTACCCACATCATGTCTTTATTGTTTCTGCACAAAGCCACATTAATCCAGAAATCAAGCAAAGCTGCATTCCTACTTGCCATGGCCATGACAGTCAGTATCTAACAAATTCCCGCCCTAGACTACCGGGGTACTCAATTCTTACTCATGCCGAGGATTGGAGTCATAGAACCAGACAGTAAAATACTTTTCATCTCTTGCAAGACCTTTTCTGGACAAAGACACTACTGAAGCCACAGTGGCAAGATGCCTCAAGCCTACTTTAGCTGAAAGTTATTGTCAAACCCTTGATATCAAATTGACCTGGAAATACGAAATAGATTGAAAGTGACGTCATGGATAAGAAGTGACATCATAACCGGAAGTGATGTAATTACTGTTTGTGACATCAAAATAGGGAGTGATGAAGAAACAGGTAGTGACTTCATAAACCGGAAATAACGTCATATCAGACCAGAAATGATATCATTGTGAAGAATTAGAATGGAAGTGATGTCACAGATGGTGAGAACAGGAAGTGATGTCATAAGACATTACATCTGGGTAAAAATTTCAACTGTGTAAACATTTCCCACAATATTTCATTTCATTTCCATGTGTATTTGCCGGTAGATTACCTTTCTTAAAATTATAGGGGCAGTCAGGTGCCCTAGTGGTTAAAGCGGTAGCTAGTGGCACCGAAGACCTGGGTTCGATTCCTGACATGGGTACAATGTGTGAAGGCCATTTCTGGTGTCCCCCGCCGTGATAGTGATGGATTATTGCTAAAAGTGATGGAAAATCAAACTCACTCACTCATCTCTTAAAATGTGAAATGCTTAGAAAATGCACTTTCAAGTTTATTTGTTTTTGTTTATTAGCAAATAATTTCCTGGATTTACCTGAAACATGGCTATCAAAATTGTAACTAATTTTCTTTTTCAGACACTCAAATGAACAAAGATTACATGTATCCTATCATTTTTAGAAATTAAATGAGTTTGGAAGAAAGATGTCACTCAAAAAGCACTCAACTCTGTTGCAAAGTAACAATACTCAAAACATAACTGAGCTATGGGGAGATGGAACTCTCATACGCTTGCTCGTTTTCTAAGCCTCAAGTCTGTTACATTGTCTAAAGATCTATATCTCATTCTAGTGTAATTCACTTTTTACCGATAAAATGGTTTGTAAGGCTAATTTAGCAATGAGTATTTTAATTTAAATAAAAAGCAAAGCAAAATGGGATATGAGCCATAACTAAGGTTTCTAACTCCGTTACATGCCGGTTCATTATCTGTTTTTGATGTTTGGAGATTATGTGGGTTATCCTACAGACGCTGCATTGCTCTTTTTTAAACAAGCTGTTTGATGTTAAACATTTATTTTAGTGGGGTTTGTGCTTATATATTGCAACATCTAAGCAAAGGGTTGAACATTAGTAGACCTACTTTTGTATGTCATTACCGCAGTAACTGGCTTATAAATCATGAGTATCAAAGCCCTGACAAGTAACACATTACAGTACCGGGTATTTTCACATTTCATCTCCAAAAGGATGAAAAGGTTGTTATTTTATGCTACATAGCAATAACAAAATATATGAGTTACAGCTCTGTTACATCAGGCTTGTTTCATAGATGATAAATTTTAACTTTAGATTAGTATTAGTGATAATATTTTTTGGAACAGAATATGAAAATAACCATATTTAGGAAACCGTCTTTCATATATTTGACATTGTTGTCTATGCAAACATTTTAACATATGCAAGGAGCACTTACAAATGTCCAATCATACATTTTATAATCCAGTTTCCATTTGTATTAACAGTGAAATGGATTCACACTAAAAGTTAATTGTTGAATATGATTTTATATACCACCGTAACCTAGCACTATTAAAATTATTTTTCAGTTTGCGAGCTGTAACTTCTTAGATGATTAGGCTAATTCATTTAATAATTTTCTAATTAATTAAACATATCAATGCACTGTATTGATCAAGAAAGTACTTCTCAAGTATCATATTCTCGAAATATCAAGAGAAAAATTACATTAACAGGGTTAGAAACTAACAGTTTTTGTCCACTAGTCCTTATAATGATAACATATAGTAAAACCCTTAAAATGGGCCAATTTCTACTAGTCTTTAGGATACCTTTACTATTGGGCAGTTTGGTAAGGCCTATAGGACTAGTGCCAATTTCTAACGCTGATTAAGGACGTTGATGATCAGAAAAAAATTCAGTTTTGATACTTTTACCCATTTACACCAGAAGTGACATCACAAACAGGAAATGACAGTCTGAGAGATGGTTTTAGAACATCTCATGAAGTCATTAACATGCATAACACCAAATATTATGGTCATTCAAGTGAAGGTACCACATATTTGTATGTTTTCATGTAGTTTCTCAGGTCCTCTTCAGGTGATTCAGTAGCAGTTATACCTAATAGGGTTTGGAAACAACTATAAACAGATGGAATCACAAGGGATCTTGGATCTACTGTCAACTATACTGGGAGTTACTAGCGGCAGAGCCCACCTTTCCCCCTGGTATATTCTGGCAAAGATATAGTAGAGGTAGAGGATTAATAAGAATTATAGGAACAATAGTAATCATTGTAAATAATTCTAAGAATACTACCTCTATTACATGAGAAGTACTGACATAAGAAATTGTTAAAGCAGAAGGTAACCTCTTAAACACTTAAAGCAACAAAAGCATCACTATGGCTGGGATATGACAAGTTGAGTTGATGGAGTCGCAGACAGGAACTCTACAAGTCTTTCTTGATGGGTTCGCTTACTCCAAGAATTTAACCACAGGCCAGACCACACAATGGAGATGTCTTAACAAGACTTGCAGAGGAAAATGTTCAGCTGTTGGGGACTTCCTGAAAGATGTCTCGGGTCACTGCCATCAACTCCGTCAAGTTAGTTAGTACTCTGAGATAACGTGCCAGGGAAGAAGTAATACCTGTCCAGGCCATCTACAATGCAGAGGTAGGCTGCCAGACGCCAGAAGACGTTCCAGATCTTCTATCTTTCCTCAGTTTGATGAGTGCTTGCTACCGACATCGCAGAACAACAATCCCCGTCTTTCCACAGACCAGAGCTGAAATTAACCTTGAGGAACAGTTGACCACTACCATGGACGGGAGAAGAATCCTCCTCTGCACAGACAGTGAAGATGAGAAGATCCTGGTGTGTTCCACAGATGAGCAGCTGACATGCCTCCAAGAGGCTGACACAGTGTACATGGATGGTACATTTTCCTGTTGCCTATACTTATAGAACCAGCTGTATACAGTACGTTCCTGCAGTGGATACACCATGTACTCCCTTGTACGGCCTGAGGACATTCATGACTACATGGTGATGACATGGGTTGATGACAAGGCGCTTTTCCGACTCCCACTCTGGCATCATCACCATACCGTCAGACCCAGAACAAACAACAACCTGGATGGTTTCAATGCTTATGTAACCCGCAGTCTCCCACATCAGCACCCCAACCTCCACCGATTTGTGGAACTGGTTCATGGAATCGAGAAGTCTGAAGGTGCAAAGCTGACTCAGATATTCTTAGTTGTTCTCCCACCCAGGAAGAAGGTGTACAGACAGTCTGTAGGGGAGACGGGTGCATCCCAGCCATAGTGATGCTCTTGTTGAATTTTTGGATGCAGTTGGACATTTGCTGAAGCCGGGTTCTGTCAGTGGTTCTGGACCAATTTGTTATGAACTGTGATTCATATAGTGATATCATGTTGATAATGATACGATGCTGTGATAGGGTCTAGGCCTCTTCTTCTTTCCCAACCACCTGCGTCATCTGCACTTCATTGAGGGCCTGCTCCTTGACCATTTTATGGTGTGGAATTATTATTGGTACTGAGTGAGAAGCCTGTGTATTGCTATTTACCAGGCCTAATCCAATTTCAGCCTATAATTTGTTTGTTGTTTTCAGTAAACCATATTAATTAATAATAATGTGAATGAGAAGCCAACGCCTTGTTATTTACTGGTCCTAATCCAATCCAAGACTATTTTAAGTAAATTAATCCAATCCACTGTGTTAGAAGCCTGTCTATTGCTATTTACTAATCCAATTTCAGCCTATAATTAGTTTGTTGTTTTAAGTGTTTTTGTAGTTCTTTTTGTTGGAGGGGGAGTGACCTCAATAATATTTTGATGAAGGAATCATATATTTCAGGAATTTTTATCATTATCATGATTATAACAGGATATATAGCCAAGCAGTAAATTTATTCCAAATCTCAAAATTCCCAAATTCTATATAAGCAACCCCTAAACCCCCCTCTTGGGTTGCACAGACCACTTTCGCCCCTTTCGGAAACACATTAAATGGCCTGGCCGGGCCCGTGTGCGAAATACGCATCAGTCGGAAAGCACACGTTAAATCTCCAAAGTAAGTAAGTAAGTAAGCAGTAAATTATTCAGTCAGATTGTGTATATGTGTGTGATAAAGACAAGATAATGGTGAGTTTTTGTACCCTTGGCATTCCAGGTTTTATTGCTTAGCAAGAGCTGAGACTTGCTGTCATTTAGTGCAAAGGAAAGTATTTGGGGGATAACTTAATGTTATATCTTCCTTGCAGATTGCAGCAGATGTGAGTCCATCAAGACAAAGGTCTGGACACAAGTAAAGACGTTATCACAATTGATAATGTCATGCTTTGTTTCAGGTATTTCTGAAGTTCTTCAAACCACTACAGGAGCACCTCTTAATGGGCCTTGACCAGAAAAGTCCAGTGTCTCCAGACAGATCCAGATTGGTTTTGGCTTCATTTCTATTACTTTTGGCCTGGGAGAATGATATGTCACACATCCTGCAGACCGATAAGAGACTACCACAAGCATTTCTGCCTCAACCAGACTTTGAAAAGAAAGAATGCTCAGACATTGCATCTTTGAAGAATCACTTCAGAGCCAAGGCATCAAAGTACAATAGTATTTTCATTTACTTAGAATCTATGTGTATAAGGTTGTATGATAGGGTGACCAAATGAAAGTCTTCAAATGATCAATGATTAATCCCTTTAGTGAAGTAAAGAGACCATTATAACATCAAGAATTGTGTAAGCTGATATTTCATAGGCCAGCTATTAGCTGCCAGAGAACATAGAGTGATTTTATCTTCTTCTCAAAGGCAAACTGTCCAAAAGACATAAAGCTTTGTAGATGTTATTTGACTAACTTTTGTATTGCCATTAATTTATAGCTCACCTGAATCAAAAGTGAACTGAAGTTATTGCATATTGTTTGTCTGATAATCCATATGATCAAATTGTTTGATAGGCTTAGAAGTTAATGGATGACAAAGTAGACACAATTTATGGATAACAACTTCTTTAATACTGTAAAGGCAACGTTTCGGTTAAGATCCTTATACCGTTGTCAAGCAAGACTGAATGAGGAGAGAGAGAGATTTAGGGATTTTACGACCGCTTCAGCCGTCGGCTATTTCGCAGTCGGGGCCAGACGGGTTTAATGTAATTATATAATATTTGGGGAATAAAGATGTTATCGGCTGGCCCAAAAAACTGTAAATAAAGGGGTGTAAAGAAGAAAGAAATACAGTATAGGTGGTAGAATGGGATAAGAGAGCTTAGTGACAGTATGTGGCAGCTGTGAGAAACCTAGTCTACTGGGAGCACCTAGGGGGAAAGATTTATAATTTGTATGTGATCAGTTAGGCTGATATGTTAATATAATAGTATAACTACTATGAGATAAAAAGGAAAAAAACAGTGGTGGGGTGGGAAACCTAGTCTAATAAACGTTGGGCTTACTTGGCTGGGGGGAGGGGAGGCGGGTGTCAGGGGTGAGTGGCCGTCGTGAGCGTGTTGGCTTGGCTTGAGTAAGCGGCTGGATGAACGAGCATGGTTATATGTGGCTGGATATGGGCGAATTTATCGCGCGGACGTCGGAGAAGGCAATCCGCACTAGGAATTTGGATCCCGATCCTAAATTGCAAAAGTGGTCATTTTGTATATGGTTTGTTTATAAGGTTTGTTGATTTAAGGAATTTGGCTATATGGGTATATTTAGAGGGGTTATTAGCCGGGTTAAGTAGTAGACTGATGTTGTTTTTGTACTGGGGGGGGGGGGGGGGGGGAGGGAGTTGTATAGCTGTATTTGTTGTTGTTTGTATTGTATGCAGTAGTTAAATATGTGGTCTAGGTTTTCAGGTGTTTTGCAATGGGAGCAGTTGGGGTGTGGGTGTCTGTTTTGTTTATGTAGTGTTTGGTTGAGGTTGATTTGGCCACTGAGCATTCTGTTTATCATTTTATCCGTGATGATAGATTTAGTAAAATTGCGTCATTTGGTAACAGGTTTAGTGAAAAGAGCTTTTATCCATGCGGATTTAGAATTTTGAATATTAATTTGGAAATTTTGACTCTGAATGTTTTTTCTGATTATTGATTTGATTTCGGCCTTACTTGTGGTGAAGTTTATGCAAGGTGATGGGTGTGTGGTGGCTAATTTTGCTGCTGTGTCTGCTAAATGGTTGCCTTGTATTCCAGTGTGTGCAGGTGCCCAAAGTATTGTTATTGTTTTGTTTGTTTCTGTGATGTTATTATGTATGTCTATAATATTGTTTATAATGTCTTGACGCGATTTTGATGTTTTGTTTTGAATTTGGGATAATGAGCCAAGTGAGTCCGAAATGATTAAGAAGTTGGTGTCCTTGGATTGTTTAATATAGTGATATGCACATTGGATGGCTAGTAGTTCTGCTGTAGTGGTGTGTGTGTAGTTAGTGTAGTGAAAGTTAGTGGTAATGGAAACTGGTTGTGTAATTTGGATTCCTAAGCCTGTGATGTTGTTGTCGTTTTGGGAGGCGTCAGTATAGATGTGTGTGTGATTTGGCCAGTTTTGTTGTATATAATGATCTGTTTTTTGCTGTTTGTCTGTTTTAGTTAAGTCGGTTTGTGTAGTGAATAGTTTGTGGAGTGTTAAGTCTGTATTAGGTGCCGGTTTGTCGTTGATGTATATGTGAGATGGGGGAGTTTGTCTGATATTTTCAAGTTTGTGGGTTTTGATAAGTTTACATAGATGTGTTAGGTGTGGGGCTAAGTTGTGGTTGTTTTTGAACTTTTTGAGTGTGGCAGGTCTAAGGTTTGTGTATTTCTCTGTAATTTGTTTGAATATGGGGTTATGTTGAGCCCCAGCCCAGTAATTTAGAGTAGTTTGATTACATCTTAGCTTGATTGTTGTGGTGCTGGAGATGAATTGGAGTGAATTAAGGGAGGCACTGGTTCTGGTCCCCAGGGCTATTTTTAGGGCTTTATACTGGATAGAAGTGAGTTTTTTGTCTAGTTTTTCCTTGATAGAGTGAAGGACCGGGGCGGCGTAGTCAATTTTGGGTAGTATGAGTGATTTATATATGTTGAGTAATGTTTGTTTGTCAGCGCCCCAATCAGAGCCACTAATGGCTCTCATTAGATTAAGATCTTTCTGACATGATGTGACCAAGTTATGAATATGGGGGCCCATGTTAGTTGTTGGTCGAAAGTAACTCCTAGGAATTTTGCTTCATTTTTGAATGTGATAAGTTCGTTATTAAGGGTGAGTTTGGGTGTATAATTTTGCATGCGTCTTTTTTTTAAGAGTAAGCCAATGTTTTTTTGGCATGCCCAGTTTTGTACATGGGTAAGCAGGGGTTGGATTCTTTTTTGAATTTCTTTTATTGATGTAGACGACGTCCAAAACGAGATGTCGTCAGCAAATTTAGCAGTTGTAGTGTTTTTAGATTTAGGCGGAAATATGTCGTCTATCATGAAATTGAAAAGAGTTGGAGAAATGATGCGTCCCTGTGGGGTGCCGTTTTCTAAAAGGTGTGGATCAGATAATGAGTTGTTAGTTTTAATTGTGATGTTTCTGTCAGTTAGAAAGGAGTGGATGAAATTTAGAATCCTACCATCTATGGCTTTTTCTTTAAGTTTTTGTATCAGGCCGTTATGCCAAACCATGTCAAATGCTTTACTAAAATCAATGAAAATGGCCAGGGTGTATTGTTTCTGGGCAAGTGCTGTTTTAACGTCATGTTCCAAATGTAAAATGTGGTCTAAAGTTTGTCGATTTGCCCTAAAGCCGCTCTGGTCCTCATGTAAGAAGTTTTGGGATGAAATTTGGAATTTAAGTCTCTTATTAATGATGGATTCCATTATTTTACAAATATGGGACGTGAGGGAGATAGGCCTGTAGGAATCCGAATCTCGTGGGGGTTTCCCTGGTTTGAGAACCGGTACCACCTGGGCTGTTTTCCAAGATTGGGGTATAGTGCCGGAGGTCCAAATCTGGTTATATAGTTGTAAGAGTAATTTTTGAATTTTTAAAGGGAGGTGGTTAAGGATAATATAGCTGATATTGTCTGGTCCCGTGGCTGGGGCTGTATTTTTACTGTAGATTGCTGTTTGTAATTCATGTATGTTGATTATTTTGTTGAATGCCTTATGGGTGAGGGTGGTCTGTGTGTGTAGATAGGGGGATTTTTTATTATGTTTTGCATGTTTGGTGTGTGGTTGGTGGAGCTACTAGTTGCCGAGAAGTGAGCAGCCATGGCATTAGCCTTTTCTTTATCAGTATTTAAGTTAGGAAAAGTGGGGGCTGAATATAGGCTTTAGTGTTTCCTTTAATTGCTTTAAGTTTTTTCCATAGTATTTTAGTGTTTTGTTTCCCCATTTTCAAGGTGCTTGTGAAATTTTCCCAATGTTTTCTTTTGGCTGCTCTTATTAGTTGCTTGGTTGAGTTTCTAAGAGCTTTGGCCAAGGGGATTTTGGTTTTATCCCGCTTGGCCTTGTTTAATCCCTTTTTCCTTAGTTTTCTTGATTTTTCAATATCTGGGCTCCACAAGGGAACAGGTGTGTGGTTTGGTGATGTTTTGATTGTGGGAATGCATTGAGTGGCTATTTTGTGTATGGTGTTGGTAAAGTTAGTGTTGAATATGTCGTTATCTTGGTTGTGTATGTGTTGGATATCTGTCTGGTTACACAGTGTTTTGAATTTTTTCCATTCAGCTTTTTGAAAATTGAATTTTGATTGTTGGGAGGGTTGGTCTAAAGGGGGATGATGGGGAATTTAGACTAGATGTGGTTATAGTGGTGGAAATTTTGATGGGCAGGTGGTCACTGCCCCAGGTATCTGAATGGACCTCCCAACTGAGTTTTGATTGGAGAGGGGATGTGCTGATGGTTAAGTCGATAGAGGTGGGGGTTTGAGGGGGATTCTGGTTGGTTGGTTATTATTTAGACAAATGAGGTCATTGGTGTCGATCCAGTTATTGATGAGTGTACCAAATTTGTCGGAATAGTTTTTAGTGCCCCACAGTTGGTGGTGAGCGTTGAAATCACCTAGAAAGAGTGTATTTTGGTCAATAAATTTGGTTAATATTTCCAGATCCTCTCCTAAAACAGGTTTTGTTTTAGTATGGTATACATTTGTGATAGTCATATTAGTTTTGTTGATAATAGTTTTGATGGCCAGGCATTCAAGATTTTGGGTTGGAATGTTAATAATTTCGTAGTTGAGGTGTTCTTTAATGAATATGCCGAGGCCTCCATGTGGTGGTCCCGGGAGATTTAGTGGACGTGGTCTGTCCTGTCGAATGAAAACATAGCCTGGTATTTTGAAGGCTTTTTTGGGTGAGATTTTTGTTTCCTGAATTGCAATTATTAAAGGTTTGATTTTCCCAAGGGCTAAGAGTAAATTTCGTAGTTGAGGTGTTCTTTAATGAATATGCCGAGGCCTCCATGTGGTGGTCCCGGGAGATTTAGTGGACGTGGTCTGTCCTGTCGAATGAAAACATAGCCTGGTATTTTGAAGGCTTTTTTGGGTGAGATTTTTGTTTCCTGAATTGCAATTATTAAAGGTTTGATTTTCCCAAGGGCTAAGAGTGCCTTAAGCTCATGCCCATTGGTGGTGATTCCATTGCAGTTCCACTGTATGAACACCATATTCGGGTTTTAGAATGAGGGGAGAATGAGGAACATTGTACAGAATATATATAGTAGGTGGAGGATTAAAAGTAACAACAATTGCATACATGAGTGGGATAACATGAGTAAGTAATGACAACAGAAGGATAATACTGTCACAACATGATGGACAGAGAACACATAGGTGGAAGTCAATGGGACATGAAGCCAATTAAACAAGATAACTTTGCATAGGTAGGTGATTATTGCTTTATGAGTTCATAGTAGGCCATCTTGCCGAGGCAAGGGAGGTAAATGACTTTAAAAGTCCAGTTTCCACCCTTGCCGAAATAGGCTGGAATTCTTGGGCTCGATTGTAGCGCAACCTGTAGCTATTATGAGTTATGTCCTTCCATGCCTCTCCTATGGACCAATCGGATTCCACCTCTCATATCACTTGCATTTGCTTCAAAGAAAATGACGGCGCCCAGTCAATACGATCTGATCGATAATCAAAATCTATATTGAAATAAAACGAGTGCATCAAATCACGTGAGCACCTTGATTAAAAACAGGAAAAGATTTAGAAAATATCTGTTGACAACGATTTTGCGGTGCAAGTGCTTTCCAAATCCTGCAATCGACCAAAATCTGCATGACAGTTTACGAACCGGATTTTGATTTCATTGCGCAATTTTGATTGGACTATGCACAGACTCGTTAGTCCAGCCAAAATGTAACTCCTTAATACCAGCCTAGTTCGGCAAGGGGGGAAACTGGACTTTTATAGTCAGTTAACTCTCTTGTCTCGGGAAGATGATAGTAGGCGGATGGGATGAAATAGCCTTTGCTATCCATAAATTGTGTCTTCTTTGTAATCCATATGATCATTCTAAACTTTTCCATTTTCTGTATCTCTAGGATGATGCCGGGAAATATATACTTGATATGTAGATTGGAATTCAGTAGGATTGTGTGTGATAATGAGCTAATTGTATCTTGTGTCCTTCACATTCCACATTCATTCTCACTGCCACAAAATATCACCCACAATTAACACAGGTTTGGTATATAGCTCCTCAAAAACCATTGACTAAGTGACCGAAATATTTATTTATTTTTCTGTAATGACAACCACTTTTGAGGTGAAAAATTGCTTAGCAGATTCCTGATATGATATTAACCATATAATGCCATATTGAAATACTGATATACCTGTAGCTGTTGAATGTTTTTACATACCAGTTCAGCACTTCTCTGAATATTCTTGTTCATTATTGCAGTTTTTGTTTCATAATCAACTCATTGACTAATGGTATTATCATTTCAGAGAGCTTGTGGACTGTTTACGATGGTCAATAAGTCAACATTGTCAAAACTTTTCATATGGAAGCGCATCACATTATCAACAATGTGCCGAGTCACAGTGGTTATATTTGGTGCCGCTCCTACACTTTTTGAGGAAAGATTCAGAGCCATTCAAAACAGTCTTTGACACTGATCACACAAAAAGAACATGGTGGGGCCATGAAGACATTGACCGCACAAAAGACACCTTGAAAGGGCTGTATAAATGGTCAATGTAAGTATTGTTCCCTGGAATAAATGGAGTGAAAATTGAGCATGAATATGACCTAGAACTATTAATATTTTCAAAAGAGCAGTCCAAGTGCTGTACCATTTCAACTGTGCAGTCAAGATTGACACTGCCATCTTTGGGAGAGGTCTATATATGATTTATAGCACAACTTCTATTACTCAGTCTTGATAAGTATCTCTTAGATACCTAACTTCAGGAGTTTCTGAGAAAACTTGCCCCCATTGCAGACACGATGCAATTTGTAAATCTATGAATCAATCAATTATATGAATCAATCATATGAATATTAATTCTCTGGTAATACCCTTTGAAATAAAATACTTATGATATTAATTCCTAAAGACAATATTTAGAATTTACAAGCCCAAATCTAACTTTTGACATGTTTTTCATTTGACTTTAGTTGTAATATATGGACTATTGTTTGATGAGCTTACTTGACTCAATTTTTACTTGACTAGTGGCTACGTTTAGAAATTGCATTATTTTGAATAAGATACAGTGCATATGTGTAATGTACATACACAGGCCATGTGTCAGCACACAAAATGGTCTGAGCTGAGTTCATTGTAAATGTTTTTTAATTTGTCAATTTCAAGGTATGTACAACTTCATTGTTGGCTACAGTATTGCAAGTGTATAATTTTAACAGAAAAATTCTAATTCTTTATTTCTAGAAACTGTCAATATCATAAATCATGTCATATATACACAGTATCATATTTCATCTCTTTTATATTTTTGTTGACAACCTACAGTCCTGCAGGTAACATTGCTGGAGATCTGGAACATTTGTTTGAAGTTGACCATTTGCTACCAAGAACGCTGATGGCATGTGTATCCAGTTCACATTTGCTGGATGCAGATTTTCTGAACAAAATACCACCTGAAGTCACTTCAGCAACAATCTGCTACTACCTGAAAGCTCAATATTACACGAGGGAGGGCAAGGTGGTGAGAATAATATCTTTTCATCACACCACAAATATACAATAATCAAGCCTTTTTAGTGCTTTAAGACCCCAATGTCTGCATTCTTGAAAATCATCTATGTTCAGTCATAACATTGCTGTTTAATATGGCTGACGGCTCGATCGCACAAGTGTACTCACAATCAAGCCTAGACGGAAGTTCGTCTAGTAATCCAAGATGGCGTCGCACATTGTACAAATGTTTGCCTCTGACCAGAATCAAACCGATGTCTGAAGAATAATCTTTCAGACAAGATCTACCATTCAAAAGCTTCCATTTCCTTTTTAATACCGTAAATCTTGAAATTAATACGACTGCTGACCCATAACCAAAAATGTGATTCTCCCACCCCATCTTCAGTGGAATGCATACCTTACCTTCCCTTACCTTAACCCAACCTTACATGTACCTTAATCCAATCAAATACATTTAGCACCGCTTATTAGTTCTGAGTAGAGCACTTCCGTAAAAACTGAGTTTGTCTACCAGTATATTTTCAAGTTGGTATTTCAGCTTTTCAAAGTATGCAAATATGCCGTCTTATTCTTGATAGTTATTTTGGAGATATGGATGCAAAGTTTCATTAATGCAAAAAAAATTGTAAATTAGTAAATAACCCATTTGTAAATTAGGGGTGTCTTTGATTGAAAAAAAATAGTATCATTATAACGACTCTAAAGCGGCGATAGAAACTAACAGTTTTAGTCCACTAGTCCTTACAATGATAACATATAGCAAAACTCTTAAAATAGGCAAATTTCTTCTAGTCCTTATGATACCTTAACTAATGGGCAGTTTGGCAAGGACAATAAGACTAGTGCCAATTTCTATAATTTCTATAAGTATAATGATATATCAAATGATAATAAAAATAATTATTGTGTATATGTATAGATACAGATTACCTGTGTAGACCTGCACTTAATCTAGTTCATGCTATATATGATCTAGGCTGATCAGGGAAATGTTCTGTATTTAATTTTTGGCCTTCTCACTGTCCATAGTAATCTTATTATAAATGTAAACAATTCTTACGAAACTTCCAACTCTATTACATCTTTGCCATAAATCCTGTATTTCGGCTTCAGTCACACTAAATAAAATTTTCAGATTTTCAGCAGACGTCCTCTTCACTGTCAATCACTCAATTAGTTGTTCCCCATATAGCACAATAGCAACCGAAGCTATGACGTGCGTAATGGCGGGAATCTCAATTCTTTTCTGTGTGTGCTAGAGTCAACACCTATTTTTATAGTTGTAACCATCTAGCTATTGGTAGTAGTCAAATTAGTCTAAGATTATTCTGATAGTTTTCAATAAAACAGACACAGTAAGTCAATATTAATAGTTTCTAATTGGAGTGACAATCGTACGCATGTGAGTATAAGCTAGTGTGAGGTACGTTGTAGGTCGTAATGGAGTCTCCCTTTACTCCTGGTTGCAAGAAGTGTGGTCATTCATGATCACGGCAGATCCTCATCAAACCTGCTGGAAGTGCATAGAGGTCATATGTACAGAGGAGGCTAGATCCGAGCAGTGTACCAACATCTAAGACAGCCTTCTAAATTGTTAGCTGAGGCTGTAACTAAGGCTAAAAGTCGTGAAGTGGTCAAGAAGAAAGTGATCAGTGACAATGATCAGACCTCTGACTCTACCCCAGTGCCTCCTTCATCTCCAGCAAGAAATCATCTCCTGCGATCTCCATGAGCCTGATACAACAATTATTGAAGAATAGACTGACAGCGCTGGCTAAGAAGAGTTCCCAGGTCAAGAGACCACATGGGAGACAGCCATCTGCAACACACACGGCTGTAGGGCCTACCCCAGCCAACTGTATAGACCAGGAGACCTTCCAGCCAGGCCTTTAACGAAGATATGAGATGATAAGAATAGACAGACAGCTCTGGCTATGAAGAGTTCCCAGGTCAAGCATGGGGGACAGCCATCTTTTACCCCACCGACCGTTCTGACCAGCCAACCATCAAGACAGCCTGCCAGCCAGCTGTCCAGCCAGCTGATCAGTCGTAGGCCATATCAACCAAATTTCAACATTGAAACAATGTTGTGCCTGCTGGATTTTTTAGCAAACATCCTCTTCACTGTCAGCTATCCAAAGTAGTTACAATGGAAACAGCATTAAAACTGCTCTACTGCGCCTGTGCAAGGAGGAAAAATGTCACTTCTTTCCTGTGTGAGCTAATGAAAACAAGGACAATTTTCCCGAGTCATAATGAGCTCACAAAATTGGTTTGATCTTCACACTGTAATTTTCTATAAGGTTTTTCTCAGTTATTGATAGTTTTTACTAGTTATTTCTTTTCTTGTAAGCGGATACTCACATGCATAGGTTTTTTTTTGGAACGTGTTTGAGAATTGATTCTCCATTACTTTGCCAAGATTGTGGCACTAACAAAATTTCCTTGGGCCCACATCTATCATGTTTCAACAGCACAAATGTTATCTGCACACTGGATTCTAACTGTGAAGAAGAAGGTACATTGCAAGAGAACGTCAAATGGTCCTGTCCACTTCGATATGGAACAGAGATATGGACGAGATTCCTTTTGTGCGCCATCCTGGAAGGACGAGCCAACTTGTTAGTTTTCCAACAACAGAGAGGATACTAACTTCCAACAATGCCACAGGGGCAAAAAAAAGCCCATTTCTAGGGGTCCCTAAACTGTGCGCCGAAACTGACACCTTACAAGTCTTTGAAAGGCATTCATAAGTTGGAAGAACATAAATACATGACACTTCTTACGGATAACAGCTTCTTTTATTCTTTGTCACAACATTTCAGAGCTACTTCTTGTTCCTTCAGCAGGTGAATACTGAGTAAGCGCATAGTGTTAATATATATACAGGGTTAGAACTAAACTCAAAAGCTTCACTAGCCTAGATAAAGATAAAATGCCCTTGTAATGTTAAAACAATGGTGAAATTGGGAAATTTGTACTAGCCCACAGGAATTTGTGCTAGTCCAAGGCTAGCGGGCTAGTGTTAATTGCTATCCCTGATATATATACATCATTCCTTAGTACTGGTGGCGATTGACAATATCTCTGTGGTAGCCTACATCTAAGGGCAAGGAGGGATGTGTTCACAGAGATTACACATTTGTTCGGATTGGCACACTTCATAGAGCTGGGACACTCCACATATTGATCTCTTTGCAACATGTCTAAACAACAAGTTCCAGTTTATGTCAGCCCGGTAACAGACCCACAAGCTTGACAGGTTGACGCACTGTCCATGAGATGGAAGGGCCTCTTTGCCTATGTGTTCCCTCCTTGAGTACTCAAGAAGGAGACAGACTGTATCATCATTCTAATAGCTCCTGCATAGCCAGAGCCTGGTAGCTCAGACTATTCTCACTACTGAAAAACGTCTGAAACTCAAGGTTTTCTGTGCTAATAAAGATCAGACATACATTACGGAAACCTCCAGTACCTCCAACTACATGCTTGGATTTATCTTGTCGAAGGTGCAGGCTGCAGGATTCTCCAGGTCTGCCTCTGCAGCAGTGGCTCACTCTTGGAGACCTTCATCATCCGCCATATATGGTATAAGAAGTTCTGCCAGTGGAAAAGAGCAGGAGGATCAGGAGAGGTGGAGAAAACCATTCCAAAAGTTGCTGATTTATTCCTACATCTAAGACAGAGAAGGAATTTTTCGGCATGGCACTATTGAGGGCATCAGATTAAGAACCTATCCATTGTCTTGTATGATTTACTAGAAGTACCTTACGAACCGATGCATAAAGCTAATCTTTTACAGGTGTCAAAGAAAACAGTTTTCTCCTAACCATGACAACAGCAGCCAGAGTTACATGCCATCAATTTCTCCTCCCAAATTCATGCTGAAGATTAGTGCAGGATAACTTTGCAAACCCTTTCAGTGTTCATCACCAAAAACCAGTCAGCAGCTGCAGGTCTGCTTGGACATAGGCAGTTCTCTATATCAGCATGAACAAAGTTGTGGACGGAAATGTTTGTTCTTATCCTGCAAATCTAAGTGTCAAGGACATCACAAAGGCAACAGTAGCAGAGTGTCCAAACTGCTATTACAGACAGTTGTCAGCATGCCCAACTATCCACTCCTATACTTGGTAACGGCAGAGTCCACAAGATTCGAGCCATAGCTACAAGCTTAGCTTCATGTAGCTCCATATCTATAGGACAAAGTTGTGTCAAGCTGTCAGTCATATTCTCAAGTCATGTTCACAAACTTCAACCTAGGTGATGTACAAGCATATCTTGCAGGCCTGTATCCACTGAGACCACTCATGGCAGCCAAGTCTACAGTGTCATTGTAGCTCTGGTCCCCCTTTTTTCAGAAGAATGAGGGTGGCGGTGTCTTTTGACCTATGTTTGACTCTTGATATTCACGTACCCCAAATAATACAGTGCTATAACTGATATCAGTGTATGTTACATACAGTAGCATGTTAACTATTATAGTTTGATTTTTTCCCCTGAAATGACTTTTTGCCATACATATGTTACCTCATTAATCTATTGATATTGTAGTTTTGACATCAGATTTCGGCCAATTATTTATGTATCAGTCAGTAAATCAAAATACAGTGTGTTGATCTACTGTGCTAAACTGACAATGTGATCCCTTGAATACTTGATGACCTTCATGTAGCTCATTGACCATGATTTAGTGATATCACATTTTTCAGATTTCTTCAAAACTACTGTTCATAAAGCTGACATTTTGTGTGTGTAACTCGAGAAAGGATGTTGTTAAACTCTTCAAATAAAGCAAATTGTACTGTCAGAGATACTGTGTAATTTAGAATAAAAATATATATAAGTAAGAGAATAAGTTTTGGGCATGATAATATGATAATTTGTCACAGGCTGTTAACTTTTTATTTTATATTCTGGAGACCTTCATAATCATTTGTTGCAGAAATTACTGTAAAAAGATAATTTTGCATGAGGTATTAGGTACCAAAATCATTTGTTCACTGAATGTCCTACTTAAAGGTAGTGTGGGTGAAAAAAGAAACTGGTTTAACTCCTTTGCAGGGTAAGAGAAAACTATTTTATCTCTAACAATAATCGCAGGCCCCCTCCAGAATATCAAATGGTTGCCCCCTTATCATATATGGCTTAATTGAAAGTTTTGTATGACAAGCTAGTGTGTGAGATAATGAATGTTTTTATTTTTATACAGGCAATCTCCAAACAATTGCAAGTTGTGGCTCAGACATACCGACAAAGATGGGAGCGGATGAAGGATATGTCACTCAATGCAAGGTTTGTATATATAGCCATATACTAGTAGCTAGTGGCAACAAGTCATTCACATTACTATGCTAACTTAAAATGTATGTATATTATATACCTGGGTACCTTGTAGAAGCAAAATGACAAAACACAAACCTTCATCAACATCATTGGCTTGTCATCTTCTGATGCTGTCATGTGACATGCACATTCTTGTCCCCAGTAAACTTCCTATTCTCATCTTGTATATCATCTAGCTCTCTTAAAATTTCCAATACTGCTGCATGTGATCTTTTATAAGATTGGTCCTTTTTTCTTCATGCTTGCCATTTGTTTTGGTCTTTTCTCTCCTCCAGGCATATAGTTTCAGCTCACTTTGACATTAGTTTTAATAGGAGTTTATGTCATGAGTCATGAGGGGCATCTAAGAAGTTCTGAGTCTAACTACGAAGGATGTCTAGTACGTCCATAACAGTTTGCATGTATCATGTACAATACCTTCAATACCTACAGGCTGCATTTGAACCAAATGCACAACCTGGCAGCATATTTATGCCGGCATCAAACGACTAGGTATTCTCTGTTGATGAAAATGAACAAAATTGGTTACCAACAGCCATCCATGCAGACATGTCAACTTTAGGGGATGTTTGTTTTGAAGTGTGTTTTGGATAGAAAGTGGCAAGTTGGAAAAAATACTAATGATGTTATTGTAAGTTTATAAAACCTGAACAACCATACCTTTTGCATATTAATGAGGACAGCAAAAATAATTCTAGTTAGCCAGGTAAATTACATGGCCTTAAAGCTTTCAGTGATGATAAATAAATCCTACTTTTAGTTTCTTGGAATAAAAGATTATTCTTATGGAACCCTCAGAGTTTCAGCCACTAGTCTAGCAAATTGTCTTTGGTCTAGTAGGCTTGGTTAACGGCAGCCCATGTATGTAAGGACTGAAAAATGTTTTGAAGCACATGTTTGTGTTAGTAGACTCACAATTTTGATACACACTAAAATCATGCCAAATACTCTGAAATCAGAATGTAAACATGACAGGTTAAGCAATGTTTTGAAATGTTATTTGCCAACATCACACTGATCAAAAGAATACTTTATTCTGTTCTTGATGTTATTTTCTACAGAGTTCTTGAACAACATATGGCACAAGCAAACCTTGGTATGAGGACAGCCTTTGAGGTTTTTACCATTTCTCTGAAAGAGAGATATGAAATCACAGACCTTGTAGTCTCTGCTGCCAATCTCTTCCTGAGCAGTCTTTGGGATGGACAACTTATGTATCAAGATGTGAAACTGACTCCTCAGCTTCAAATTGAGTTGAACAAATGTGTAGAGTATCATCATTCCAGTCTGCGTGGTACCATTGACATGCTCCTCACATGGTTGGATCGTCGTTTTGATTTTTTTCAGGTGCACTATGTGAAAAGGTCTCTTGAGGTGAGCTATAACATTGTTGTTCTTTGATGTCCTTCTCTAGCATAACAAAATAGTTGTGGTACACTTTTATTTGATATTTGTTCGAAGTATTATTTAAAAAAGTTGCATTTCATATATACTCAACAACAAAAGTTCCTGTGACACCAATATTTTAGTGTATTTTTCAAACAAGTAAAGTTTGGTTTTCAATATTGTAGTACGAGTATGGAATCAAGTCACAAAAACGCAACTGCAACAGAAAAGCATGCATTCCATGCAAAAGTGGACTTTTATGCAAGCCCAATGCATTTCACTACCCAAGAATGGGTATAAAAACATGTGCGTTATCGGGAATCCATATGCATTGTTTAGCATCGTGCTGACAACAACCACTCAGAAAAACAACAAAATTACTCAATTATTCAACATTACGAAATGCCACGCCTGACCAAAAATGAACGTCTGTGGGCCATTGGTATGCTTGAAGCAGGATCGAGTCAACATGATGTTGCAAGACAATTTAGTGAGTGAGTGAGTGAGTATGGTTTTACGCCGCTTTTAGCAATATCATGGCGGAGGACACCAGAAATGGGCTTCACACATTGTACCCATGTCGGGAATCGAACCCGGGTCTACGGCGTGATGAACGAACGCTTTAACCACTAGGCTACCCAACCGCCCCTCAAGACAATTTAAAGTCCACAGAAACACCATTTGGTGTTTATGGCAACGTTGGCAAAAGACAAATGCAGACAGAGACCATCCTCGGAGTGGCAGGCCACACGTAACCAATAATCGACAAGACAACTGGATTCGAACAACAAAATCAATTCCAGCCAGCAACAGTGACTGCAAGATGCATCCCTGGCCTTCGACGACTATCTTCACAAACCGTACGTCATCGCCTCAGATGTGAGGATATTGTCGCCAGAAAACCCGCCAGATGTCCCATTTTGACAGGAAACCACCACCAAGCATGTCTACACTGGTGCAGACAGCGTCTACGCTGGACGGCCATGCAGCTGGGACAAGTTCTATTCACTGACGAGTCTCGTTTTCACCTCAGCCACAGCAATGGATGGATTCGAGTGTACCGACGCCGAGGTGAACGTTACGTCAATCATTGTGTCATGGAAGAAGATCGGTTCGGGGGCGGCAGCGTTATGGTATGGGGTTGGATTACAGCAAGACAGAGGACCTGTTTGATAGTGGTAGAGGGAAATCTCAATGGTCAGCGCTACCGCGACGAGATCATCGGCCCTGTTGTTCTACTGTTTTTTCGTCAACATGACAACGCCCGGCCTCATATTGCTCGACTTGTTCAGGATTCCCTTCAACAAAACAACGTGAATGTCATCCCCTGGCCAGCTCGCTCCCCTGATCTCTCACCAATCGAGCACATGTGGGATGAGATGGATCGACGCCTTCAATGTCAATCACGTGTTCCTAAGACACTCCAGGAACTTTGAAACATGCTCCAGCAGATATGGACAGATATCCCACAGGACTTTGTGGGATGCCTGGTCCATTCCATGAGACGAAGATGTGTTGCTTGCATCGCAACCAGAGGTGGACACACACACTATTGATTTGTAAATTGACATTTTGGCATGTTCATGTTTTTTATGAAATCACGCATTTTCTGAAGTCAGTATGGCAAATTAAACCATTTGAACACTTACAGGAGTCTTTTATCTGTTTCAAACCGAAATTGTTTCAGATTTGGTAAAAAACATAACTTTGCATTAAATCTTATTCAATGTCACAGGAACTTTTGTTGTTCAGTATAGATATTGCAAAAGTGTAAACATTTTATTTAGGATGATTTGTTACTTCATCAACAACTAGAAGTTTCTTCCAGGTGTAGAAGTTATTCTACATTATCTGTGTGTAGTTAGTCACTGATTGTGTCACAATGTCTAGGGTCTATTTTTCTTTATTTCCTCTTTTGAGAAGGTGCTTTGTGCTGTGAATTCAATGAAATGAAAACCAAATGATCCTGGACATTTTTTGAGAAGCATGTAGGTCATGCATGGATGGAAAACCTATGTACTGAAAATATTTCATCAATGCATATCTAAATGTATGCCAACATTCCCACAAGCAAATCAGTGGGGAAAAACCAAACACCAAACATAATACTGCAACCATTTCCAAAATTACAATATATTTATAGAATAGATTAAAGCTGTTGTTATTTATATGGGCTTCAGGCATTCAAATTTACAAACAAAAGATATGATTATTATTTTCATTTCCAAACCACTTATATAATCAATTTTCTCTTCCATTGATTTCCAAAATATCTGTAATGAGGTTATGACACCAGTCTGTGAAATAAGCATTGAGTCTACTAGCCATTATTTTCTGTAGATTTTAGTATCATTATCGGGAGTTCCTGAGCTGAGCGTACTTGACCAAACAAAATATTACTATACTGACTAGCACTTCAGATTCTTTTGTTCTGTCATAGCCAATTTTATTCTTCCCTTAAAATGGTCAATGGCAAATTAGAGGAATTAAGATGTACATAATATTTTGTTTTCACAATGGGACAATACCATCTTGTACAAGTCGACTTTATGCTTTTATTAATAACATCATTATGACCTTAGCATTGGTTGTGTTTGCAGTTTTGGAATGAATTGGTTAATGTGACAGTTGCCTTTCCTGCCTTCCAAAAAGAATGGAAAGATACCCTTCTTGATGCTTTTGAGAAAATTCTATCAAAGGTGAGATTGCATGAATTTTCATTTACTTGATTGTGTAAAAGGGTTTAGTTAAAGTTACACAAAGATCATAATAATTCCTTTTTATGAAACCAGATGACAACCATTATCTCAATTACATCACATTAGAATTCTCACAACAGTGTATAAAATCATCAACAATCAATGTCCATCTTATCTTACAGAGCTGTTACCTATTGTTTCATCTAGAACAATATACAATTTATGAAACAACTTACATATTACTCTTCCATTAGCTTGGACTAACACTCTTTAAAGTGTTTTAATTTAGTGTTATATTTTTAGATGCATTACAAAACTGGAACAAAATTTCAGTTTTGAGTTCAGGAAAAGTTTTTCATCAGACTTATGGTCAATTGAAAGGAAAACTCTTCTGTTACTTGGTACTATGACTGTGGAAAACCTTTTTTAAACATCCTGCACACTCATACAATAATCAAATAACAAGATATATCACTTTTGATGAGACAAAGCATGGCAATAAAACCACATTAGTTTACTTACAGGTTGTTTTTTTACCCCCAAAATGACCTCTAAATTTGTTATTGATAATCAACATCATCTGTCAATCGATAATCACTTGTTTATTGACAGTGAGTGTTGACAAGGTCTCAGAAGTTCATGATTTTATTGTACATGTGCATTTCCGGTGCAAGTGGGCTAGAATTACTTTCCATTCTGTATGTAAGATTTCTGCCCATATCTTTTCCATTGACGCAATTACTTCCATACGTATTTTACATAAACATGATTTCTTCCCCAGACTAACCTCCCCAAAATGCTATAAACATTAACAATATTTTTTCAGATGAAACCTCATGACTGTTTAGAGCTACACATGGAGGATTACCAAACAATCACTCTTTCAACATCCCTGGAGGAAAGGATGACAAGTGCTGCATTCTCTTCTTTTGACAAGCTTGTGGTACAGTATTCTTTAATAAAACCTAGAACCATGTATAAATCTTCTGTATGATGGGACCATGTGTCGAAATGGTTTTGCTCAAGTAAAAGGTCAGTTTATTATGAAAGGTAGTTAATTATCCTTGTAAGTTGCTGAGGCACTGATACCAAAGACAATTATCTGAACAAATCCTGCCATATCAGATGTTGGCAGTGTGCTCATTGAGAAAGCGGTTGTGTCACTGCCTTTTCATTGATACTGTGTAAATACCTAAGACTTAGTAGGTTTTATGTCTCAGGAAGTTTTAATCAGTGTGATCACTGTCAAGGTCACAACAAGCTCGGAGTAAAATAATGTTTACACGGGTGTTATTGTTATTATAAATGGAATCACGGAAACCACACTCTCCATGCTCTTGATCTACCTCAGTCTTCACATTCCCCATGAACACACCACGGTAGCCAGGAAAGGACTCAACAAGAACCTTTGATGACATCATTTCATGACTATAAGGTCAGCATGGTCACAGCACGATCACAACACAAAATCCATGTGTAAGAGGAAACAGTCTACAGTGCCCATTACTGTGAGGGAAGCAGGAATTGCTCATGCTCCTAAGAAATTACCTGTATCTGCCATGGCCACCAGCATGGATGCCATGCTTACATCAGCCAGCCAGCCAGCCACCTTGCAATGGTCCGTTTGCTGCCACTACATGGGAGGTATGAGTCAGCAGTTTCCTTCACTTGAGAGATATTTACTTGAAACTTGGTCACTATTGGATACCAAGCTGCACGGAGATTTGCTTATGGACAACAACTTATTTCTTGAAGACAATTTGTAGGATTAATTTCAGGGAGTACGGACTGGGTTTTCCAATTCTGATTCTGCACTTGGTGGTGATATCATGTTCAACTCTGATAGTTCCCCATGTATGGATTATGATCCAGGTCACTACTTATCCGATCTTTTTGAGGAATTATATCATGTTCGAAGGTGGAAGAAGAAAGCTCACCCCACATGCTTGAGTATGCTTCGCAAACAACCATGTGATTCTTCCCTGGACAAAGCCTCTAGGGGCACTGCCAGAAAGACCTTTTTCCCTTCTGGGAAGGATTCATTTCCAAGATGAGCCTTTGTCACTTTGACCAGTTACAGAGGAAGCAAATCGCCATCTTTGACAATCCAATTCAAACCACTCACATGTTCCTATTCCCATTGGAATGGTTTTAACTATGGACTACTATTTTCTGACACTGGACTTCAACATAATGCCAACTATGTCTTTTGTCATATGTTGAAAATTTGAAGCAGGTGACGTTTGGCATGAAAGATATGCAAACTCCATTTCCATCGGCTGCTAGTTATTGCATCCCGGCCACACAGCCTCCTTGGCCATTGGAACATTAGTAGAAAATAATGCCATTCAGGAATTAACACCAACAAGACAACAAGGGTTCTATTTGCCAATATTTCTTGTCTCGAAAAAGAATTCAACGGAAATGCAAAAGATTATATACTGAACCACAAAAGAAACATCACCATAGATAGATATATGAGAAGTCTTATTTGTCCAAACACTGTAAACATACTTTGAGACATAATAAAAAGATTAAACTTGGCAAAACTGATCATTGAGGTTGAAATTAAAGTGTCAAATGTTCTTAAAGTGAAACACAACACTAGTCTCTGAGAAAATGGCATCACAAGTCAGTATCTCGTGTGTCCGCCATGTGCATTGATGATTGCCGTGCAACGTCGATACATGGAATGGATGAGACGGTTGATGAAGGCCATAGGCAGTTGATCCCACACCCCTGACGCAGTTCAGCTGCAGTTGTCGGCCTTGGTCGGACGTCATTCAGCCGTCTTGAATCTCGTCCCACAGGTGCTCAATGGGATTTAAATTGGGACTGAGGGCAGGCCACTGCATGGTTCTGATGCCTATCTGCGGGAGGAAGTCTCTTGTTGCTCTCGCAGTGTGGGCACGGGTGTTATCATGCTGAAACTCGTGGTTGCGGCGACATGCCAAATGAGGTTTTGCGTGTGGTCTCAAGTCTTGATCTTTGTACTGAGCTGCTGTGACACCATTGCCTCTCCCTGGACCGATGTTCTGGAAGACCACAGGGCTGACCCTCTGTGCAAGACCAATTCCACCCCACACCATGATGCTCAGACCACCCCACAAGTCTCTCTCAACAACAAAAGCATCCGAATAACGTTCCCCATGGCGTCGCAAGACTTTCTCTCTGCCATCTGCTGTTGAGATACAGTAACGTCTCTCGTCTGAGAAGAGGACTCTTCTCCACTGCTGGTGGCGCCAATGTTGGTGCTGTGTTGCCCACTGAAGACGGTCCTGGCGATGACGTGGTGTCAGAATGGGTCCTCGGTGTGGCCTGTGACAGTGGAGGTGTCTGCTCGTCAATCGTCGATGCACGGTGTCTGCACTAATGTGTCGCTGGTGTGTCCCCATGGTCTGTCGAGCAGTTTCCGCAGCAGTAACAAAGCGATCTTGAAGATGCTGTCGCGCAATCTGACGATCCTGACGTTGGGTGGTGACCCTTGGTCTTCCACTACTACTACTTCATCTGTAGTGTTGGTGGTCTGGTACCGTTGCTGGAGCCTGTATATGGTCCTTACGTGGACTTGAAATGCATTGGCTACTTGCCGGGCTTGTCCAGCTTGCAATCGTCCAAGGCCTTGGTGTCGCTGATTTCTTGTCAATCTTGGCATGCGGTAGCAACCTAATAACGAATGAATGTTATCCGATCTGGGTGGATTTTTATAGGGCAAGAAATGGGGGAATGCATGTGCGTTTCAATTTGCACGGAACTCACGTGCATCGGGTTACCGTTTGGGCAGTTTCGGTTTTATTGTCATCTGCTTTGTCTATTTATCATCAAATTTCATTTTTCCAGACGAGGTAATGTTTAATTTTAGAAACTTTGACAAAAATTACCGAGATATTTAAATTACAACTTTTCATGCAATGTAACTTGGGGTGATGTTTCTTTTGCGGTTCAGTATAGATCTCAAGTTCCTCAACAAGTCATTCCTCGTTTGTCTTCCCAAGTTACGCTTTACCCTCAGGATTGGAGATTGGATGATAAATCTGAATCTTCAGGATGACAATCTCAATGTGCCAATTCATATGGGGTTCAGGGAAGTATCTCCACTTCAGAATCAATGAATGCTAAATTCCAAGTCCTCCCATTTGGAATATAGATTGCACATTACCTCAAAACATTGTCTATGGTAGACATTAATTGGTATATGTCCAAACAGGGGAACCAGACATATTCTTCAGGACTTGATGTACGGTGATGATTTACAGTTACATCTAATACAAATGTGGATCAACAAGAAGATATGCCTTTAGTTGGACTCCACTCTAAACATGATCATGGACCTCAACTGGTGGATCAGAGAGACAATGTCATAAAGGGAATGCCACTCATGTTTCCATCGCCCAATCATCACTTGTTTTCATCGCCCAATCATCACTTGTTTTCATGGATGCATCTAATTCAGGGTGGGTGCCCTCATCGACAACCTGTCTGTCTAGCGGATGTGGACACCACGAAAGTTTGAGATACTTCTCACCTGGATCTTTCTGCTACTTGCCTTTATCACAGTCTACCAGTATGTCATTCCAGTTCCAGATCCGCAGGCACTGCAAGAGGACGCCTTATCCATGGTTTGGAAGGGGATGATACCTTACACCTTCTCTCCCTAGTCTCTTCTCAACCTTGTCATACAGAAGTTGGAAGTGATGGATTGTATGGTTATACTGATAGCCTCTGTTTGGCCCTGACAGTCGTGGTTACCAAGGATCTTCCCACTGCACATTGACAAAGCTCTCAAGCTTCCTTTACATCCAGATCTCCTGTCAACCTCGTATGGACATCTTCCATCGGAACCTATCCAGTCTCCACCATCACGCTTGGAGATTATTGTGTCTAAAATGCAGGCTTCAGGTTTCTTCAAGTGACATCTACGACACCAAATGGGATAAGTTCAATAATTGGAGAAGAGGACATGGATTGGGAGATTTCTATTCCAGTGGTGGCAGCTTTCCTCCTACATTTAGGACAAGAGAACATGTTTCGACATGGCACTGCAGAAGAGTATTGTTCAGCTTTAGCATTTTTCAACAACATGATGGACTGTCTATTGGAAGTCATCCAGTACTTAATAGGCTTATAAAATCATTTCTATTGGAGGATGTAGGTACACCTAGAATCTTCTCAAAATGGAATCTCTGTGTTGTCCTTTCGACTCTTCTGGAAGATCCATATGAACCACTTACAAAGGCCACTCTACACCAAAAGTCACTGGAAGCTGTGTTTCTACAAGCTATGGCCACAATTGCTAGGGTATCTGAAATTCATGCTTTGGATTATCCAGGAATCACTCACACTGCAGACTGGAGCTCCATCACCACCAGGTCCCTCCAAGATTTTGTAACAAAGAATCAGGCCAAGTCTATGGAGGTCCGCTTCGCAATAGGGATAAATTTTCTCAAAATCTATTTAAGTTAGAGAAATTTAAGTTAGAGAATACTGATGTTACTTGTCAGGATCTCAAATGAGTTTGAAAAATGGTGAATTAACTTCAATTTTTTACAGAGTTATGGCTCTTTCCCCATACTTTTCAACTTAGTTCACATTTAACTTCCATGTTATTCACTAGTTTATGAACAAACAATATTCTAATGTGCCTCATGGCGGGTGAGGGGGGCACAGTCGTCTAAGGTGCCACAACCTATGATCGTGGGTTTGAATCCAAGTTCATCCTGATTATGTTTCTAGGTTTGTCAGCACCATACCCATGCTTGTAGGTTTCACCAAAGTAGTTAACATCTGAGACCTGCATCGCTTCGAGCTTTCCTCACACATTAAGCTGACACGCTGTGATATAACTGGAATATTGTTCAAAGTGGTGTTTAACCCGACTCACTCACTCATGGTGGGAGATAGTGATACATGTAACACTATTTTCTTGTTTCCTGTAAAACGCACTCTGATAAGTACTTACTAATAGCCACTGTTGCCAGTTGGTTGAAGTCTACAATATCGGAGGGTTACCGGCATCATTCGCCTCCGTATTTGGAACCTGTTCAGCTCATGAATTGATAGTCTAGTTATTTTACTGTCCTTTGTTGACACCAACACAGGATTATGGCAGTTATAATTATTTCCAAAAGATAACTTTTTTTTCATTTTCCTCAGAAACTACTGAAACTTTGAAGCCAAAATTTCATAAACTTTTTCCCACCAATGATGACCCACCATTTGTTCTATATGTTCAAATCAGATATTCCGTTTGGCCACCTTTGCAGCCATATTGAAAAATTTGTCAATGATTTTTATACAAAATGGAATTACATTTGGTACATGAGTAGTTAGTAGTGGGGCTCAACATATATAATCTGGATAGTTTTAAATATTACTTTTTTTTAACATGATTAGATCTTTCCACTTTGACCATGCTCTTTGGTTTTCTGAACATGCATTTTCTGTGCATTTTCTGGCAGTGTAAACATCATCTCCTCAGAAAACACTGAACCAATGAAGCTGAGACTTCACATGCTTGTTCCTGCCACTCATGATGACACCTGAATTTGTTCAAGAGCTTTTAATATGATTATCAGAGTTGCCACCACTGTAGCTATATTAACAAAATTTATTCATGGCCATTATTCAATCATTTCTGTACACAATGTAATCAAAATCAGGTATTTGTTTAGTAGGATTGAACACATATGTCTGAATTTTCTAATATCAATACTCACAGCAACTTTTGTATAGTCCTTGCCACTTGAAATAGAATCACAAATTATGGCAATGATTATAAACAAAGATAGCTGCTAATACTTATAAAGTGAAAACAAGCCATTCCGTCGGTAAGGAATATTACCTACAGTCACAATAATTTGTCATGTCCATTTCTTAGCGATAAACATCATCACTGAGTTTTTATCACATGGTTTCATTCCAGGTGAGCGTCGACAGTCAGGTGACTGTGAGCGGTTATATTTAGCTGTGACCTTGGTCCATAGCGCTTTATGTACTACACATGCGCATACTTTCTTTCAGTTCATGTTGGTAATGTTCATACGCTGCACACGCTGCTAATTATAGTCACTCATATTCACCTGAATGGTGATACTCAGTCGGAATATAATCAAGTGATCAAAATTCAATGATGTATATCCCTAAGAAAATGGAAATTTCTTGAAAAGCACACTTTGGAGTTTATGTCATTACAGTAGGTATTTTTCCTCATCAGCTGAATGACTTGTTTTAGTAATAGCACACATGCAGCTATCTTTGTTAATTACTCATCGCAATATTTCGTGATTCTATTTCAAGTGGTGACAACTATAGTGGCTATTGACATTTTAGTATGTTGACTACATATCCAGTGAACTACAGTGCAGTGGCACTAATTCTTTTAGTTTTACTGTCTACTTTACTTAGGTCGTAATTATAAGATAAGTCTCAGCTGTAGAGTCAGTAGTCTGATTTATCCAACTATTAATGTGATCATGTGATTAATTCTCTCTGGTCTCCGTGAATCGTGAATACAAATTCTTCTTCGTTATTTTATAGAAAGACGGATATTTCAACTCATATTCATGGACTACCATGAGTAAGAAATTTGGAGAACTAATGTCAAAACTATTGGAAAGACATTGGCCACAAGATGAGACAACTGAAACACAAGTCATGGAATTTGTCCTCTCCTGGAAGCCCCTGAAGCACTATTTTGAACGGTTCTGTGAGTGATCTGTTTCTGTACTCTTCATAAGTAGGATAAAGGACCTGCTTGACATTAGCTTAACTCTTCACAAACCAGCTGTGCTGCCATTATGGTTGTCATAATGCTTTTCTGCTGTTTCCCAAGAAATATATGGTTGCCAATTGTTTAAAATTAAGAATTAACGTCAGGTGAAAGTCAATCCCTATTAAAACTCTAATGTTAAAAACAAAAGATTTAGAGGGTCCCTATAGATTACATTTCACTGCTTTATTGATGTTGTGTTTGTTGTGTTTGTCCTATAGCTAAGGTATTTAGTCATGTTTCTGTTTGCTGTCTGATGCAATAAGGAAGCCACATGGGCTTGCTTCTAGGCAATAATAAAGCCATATTATATGTCAGTGTTTGAAATTTAGGGGGTCCTAGGGTCCTTGTGATTTACTGCTTTAGTATTTGAATCTAGGGACCCCCGAAATCTCCAACTATGGCCAGGAGACCTTTACATGTATGTTTCATTTATGCCTATGTAAGTTATAATTTTATCATTTTACCTTATCCTGACTCATAACATTTGGTTATCTTATCTCATTTTTGTAAGGTAGTGGAACCTTCCTGTGCTGTGTTCCCAAAGAACAGAGTAAACATCTCACTTGAACACACCCGTCTCCCGCAAAAGCCACGTGACCAAGCCTGGTGTTTCGTTACATTCTCATTTTTAAGCCAACTGTGTAGTTGTGAATTTGTTTTCTGTGCCTCGTAATCCGAGCCATCCAGTCAAAATAAACCTTTTTTTTCAATAAATGTTGGATTACGTTCTTCTAACCTTTATCTATAATACTGTAAATCTTGAAATTAACGCGAGTGTGAATTAAATGTGAAAAATATGAGTGGTCTTTGCTCGCATTATTAAACATCACATTTATATCAACAATAATAAATTTTGGAACGCAGATACCAACGTAGACAAACGCTGAAAACAAACAACTATGTATTCCAAATCACTGTTGATTGAGCAGCACTTAACAAGTTTATAAACAATGTCATTCAAACACTAATAAACATCCTGTGAATTGTCACTGCTGGGGTCAAGACAAGAGTTCTACTCACTTATGTCATCACTGATTATACCTGCAAGTCCAGACAGACGCCACCCACGCAGCACAGCGTCTTTGTTCTTTACGTCTGCGTCAAAGGCCGACATGAGCCAGCGTGCATGTATTGTTTTAGCGGAAGTACTCTACTCAGTGCTAAATAGCGGTGCAATTTGGTGTGTGATTAGATTAATGTAAGGTGAGGATTCTCCTGTAAACCTGACAGAGACATTTTCTTTAAATATAAATCCACGGATGGTTGATAGGAGGGGGTTATCGCATTGGTATTGAGTTGCAATTTTTGGCTAGGGGCCAGTGGTCACATTCTTCTGGAGACACATTAATTTAATGATTTAAAGGTATTCATCGGTTGTTATTTTTTTTATTTTGACCTACATTTTTCATATTTTTTTACTTTAAAAGTACACTTTTTTCTGTCTGTGTAAAGAATTATATATTCAGCCTTGATGTCCCAGAGACAGTTTTGATTTCATAATTCTTATGACGACCGTTATTCTTATGCTTCGACAATCGGTTAGGGAGCGCACTTATTAGATCTACATGTGACCAGGTGTTGGTTCGCAGACAAACAAAATCTCCACATCAAGAATTTGGTGGATATATTTGCAACAGACAGATAACAATTTTTGTCTCACGATTACGGGACCCTCAGGCTTGGACCATCGATGCACTGGCATTATCTTGGGAGGGACTTCACGCATATGCGTTCCGTCCACCAGCATTGATATCCTGATATTACAGAAGATCCTACTCACAAAGAACCTGCAACTGCTATTGTTCCCGCCTAATTTGCCAGTGAGGGCATGGTTTCTTGACCTCATCACATTAGAAGTCCAGCTCTAAAACTCCTGAACAGCCTCACAAGACAAGGATATTGCGCAAGAGCAGCTGAGGCAGTTTCCTTAGCTCTTTGTAGATCAAAGAGGAATTTATATGATGACAAATGGAATAGGTTTGACCAGAGATCCAAAGGGTTTCCATCAGCTAAAGCTACTTCTCAACAAGTAGAGGATTACTTGTGCCATTTAAGAAGGACAAGAAATCTCAAAGGTTGAACTCTAGGCACTTACCTGGCAGCTATCAGTTCTGTTCTGACTATGTTTAACGGAGTAAAGCTTACAAAAGTTCCCAAACTAATAGCCCTACTGAGATTTTACAGACTTGAAGATCAGCTTGGGTCCTAATCATAGTGCTACAACATCTTACTACTGATGTATACGACATCAATCTGATTTTGGCACTAGCCATGGCGGCATGTCTGAGATACATGCAATCAACTTCAGTCACTCCAGATTTGACAGCGATGATCACACATCGGCCCACTTCAGGTTAAGATGGGATTTCATCGCGAAGAATCAGCTGCCTGGACAGCCTGATAGACAGCTTCATTTCCCAGCACTCTCCTCCATCTTTGGAGCAGAAGACACTGAAGTCTTGTCCCTATGCCCAGCTAGGGCCTTACTTTTTGTTACTTTTATTAAGAAATGCTTCATCAGAAGTTTCCAGAACAACCATCTCCTTATGAATGAGAGCAGTCATACTCAGAGCCTACAGGGCAACAGGTTTGGACCCTCAATCAGCCCACATGAAGTCATACCTATAGCCTCCACTCTAGCCCTACTGCTCCATCCCAACGATTATGGAAAGTTGTTTCTGAAGATTGGACAGGGTCTTCGCGAACCATTGTCTCAGAGATTTCGCCATAGAAGATGTCTCAGGCATTCGGACCTCAGTTTGGACCTCAAGTAGTTAGTTGCCTAGCAACTAAAGGTTTCTTCTAGAAGATAGATTAACATATTACACTCACCCACAATCACGTAGACTATGTGATCAGGTTACTGGCCCATTACCAACGACAGCGAGTCCATGCCACCTCTCTAACCACCTAACGCAGCACAGGAATGATAACGATTGTGTTAAGTTTATGCTCTTCTCTTAACATGTCTGCTCTGGAGAGGGGTGCATTCGAGTGAGATGGGAACACAGCACAGGAAGTTCCCACTACCTTTCGAAGATGAGATGGGATAAGCAAATAGTATTAGTCATTATATGTATAAATGATATTTTTACCCTAAAATATACACATATATTATTTATAAGTAAAATTCATTTTGATACTATTTACCAGTCATACGCTTTTTATCGAAATATATATTTGACTTACCGGTATCCAACATTGACTCATTGGTGGTCAAATGATAAGAGAGATGCGTTCATATCCATGCCATAATCCACTGATATATGGTTTGAATCAGATTTCTCTCAGTCATTATCCTTAGTTTTGATCTATCAGTAACATACCTATGCTTGTTGGTTTCACCAAAGTGGTAAATGTTAAAAGACCTGCTGTTGCATCCCATATGTCTTTCCTCCAACAATAAGCTGACGTGCCTTGATATGACTAAAATACTGTTATCACTGATAATAATTACATTATCCTTGTTTTATTTTATTTTGCAGATACAAAAACCAATCCAAGTGAGCTGTTGTCAGTTGACTGCATTGCTCACCTTACACAGACTGCCACTCTTCTGGACAGTTTAAAAGATGACTTATGCAGTGGAAACATCACAATTCCACAGCTGAGACTGATTCTTGGAGACAGTCACAACTTCTTACAACTTTGGGTTGCTGTGAAGACAAACTTTCTTGGTGAAGATGAAAAACAATTTGGAAAAGAACACCTTCAATACATCCTTCAGGCCAGAGATAGAGAACTTAAATCCTGTGAACTTTGTCTGCAGAAAGTGAAAATTCTTCTGAAGATGTGTGTGCATATTGTCAAAGGTATTCATACGTTAAGACATTTCTGCTGCATTGTTGTGTAAATTTAAGTTGATCTAAGGTCCATTTATCATCCTAGAATTGACATGTCATATTTACACATTTTTACCAAATTTGGAATAAAAATAGTTTGATACCAGGATTTCGAATTTTAAGAAATCAGAGATAACTTTACATTGATTAAAGCTAGTCTTCGTTCGGTTTCATGATGATAACTTGTACTAAGAAAGGTTAATGAAGTTTGGAAAAATGTCGTTTGATATTTGTGTTTGGTGGCCAGTGAGCCAAAGGTCACATGCTAATGACTTGAACCAGCCTGAGACTATCTGGATGAGATAAAGTGATGGGTTTTGACCAAAACAAAACAAATTTTCTTGTCCCAGATAAACAACTCAGATTTGATTGTGAGGCAATTTGACCCATATTTTGTTTGTTAAATATATCATAACCAGACTTCGATGGTGTTTGACTAGTTTCTGGACAGAAGTTTGTGGACTTAATTCACTATGATGGAATGTTACATATATTTTTTTTTATGAGAAAATTTTATAAGCAGTGTAATTGGAAAGAATTAAGTTGTTTAGAGGTCATTCACTTGTTTACATGATGTTTTTTCAACAAGGCAATTGACACCTATGAAAATGATTTCAGATTTGATATTCTGTCTACAGTGTTCCCAAAACTTGATTCTTTGCATCATTTTCAGTATATTTTTTGTGTTACTATGCATGCTATATGGACCAAACACAATGTTTCCTGATTCGGGCTTTGTGTTTTGCTAAGGTCAATGATATATGTTCCAATAAGTTAGCTAAAGAGCCTTAATTAACTCCCTGTATTTGTCATTTTAGTGGATTCAAATGCACTTTATGAACGAGCTACAGAAGTGGACAAGATGCTGGAGGTGGGAAGAGTAAAAGAAATTTGCAAACCACTGAATTTGGACATGTACCCTGGAAGTCTTGAAAACTACCAAGTCAGACTCTGTGTGTTTGACATTCCAGATGAGGTCTTAGCTATTGTCCCTGAACTTGAAAAGTGGAGACAGAGTATGATCTTTCAAAAGATTTGGGAACAGAAAGCAAGTGATATTCAACAAGGGACTGATTTGAACATGGCCATCTTGAAAGTATGGAATACAGTCAAATCAACATGGTTGTCACTGTGCACCCAATTTGCTAATGGGTCTGCAACATTCCGACTTGTCCAAAAGCATGTACTCATGTTTGATAGAGACAGCAAGAAAATTAAAAGAGAGTTTAAGCTGATGAGTGCAGACGTGCAATCAACTGCTTGGATTGAGGAAAGAGTGATGCAGCTCAGTTCATATGAAGTGTTGCAAGATTGTCAGAAAGCTGCTGATATCATATTGGACATAAAAGATATCTATGATATTTCTGGAAACTTTGCCCCTGTTCAAGCAGTCAAACTGCTGGTAGGTATAATTTTGTTATATTCTAATATATTTGCTAAACTAGTGAGATCTAAATTTAGAGCTTATAGAATTGCCCGTCCATTTGCTATCCCGCTAGTATGTTTGGTTTCTTTCTAACACACAAGACATTTGTTGAATTTCAACCAATTTTGTCTTGTTGAAAATCCCATGCTTTTGCCTGTTATAATTCCATCCATCTGTTAGGACTGCATTTCAAAATAGCTATTCTCGTAAATCTCTGATCATTTCATAGTCATGTTTACACAACATTTTATGCATGTCCATGGTAACAATAATTTACTTGTTAGAAAGATTCTGTATCTTGAAAATATTTAAAATGGCCATTTCAGTTACACATTTTAATGAAGAATACATGCTTTGCACTAATCGCTCCTCAGAAATCATTGTACATTTTGTTTTCAAATGTTATGGGGATGATCAACATCTTGAACTTTCTTTACAATGAAGAAAGGTGTTCATTTGGAAGAACATGACCATCATGGCAGTTGGTAGAACTAGGATATGTGAAATCAGTTCATTATCTTATTTTGTTGTCCACAAAATCACTCATACAAAATATGTTTAAGTGACCTCTGTGGCATATCATTGATTGACTTGACGATCATGGTCACTGCCTACGAAGTAAGAATCCAAACATCATATGGCTTGGCATACATCAGGGATAAATATTAGCAGTCGCCCAGTTGCCATTGACGACAAGAATTTCATCAGGGCAGTTAAAACTAAAATTTGTGTCGTCAAGTTGGCGAATGCACTGACATTACTGTGAGCATGTAACACCGGAAATACCTTGAAAAAAAATCTGTACTGAAGTTCGCAAATAATCCTATTATTATTCTATCTGGTTATAAGTGTATATTGTATATCTGAACTAATGTTTGTAATCTTTCCTTTTTTTATATATATATTTAAAATTAGTCAGTATTGTTTACATTAATTTTTGCGAAGTCATATGTGAAGTTATTGGCAGATCACACCAACTCACCATTCTTTACCAGTAACAAGATTACCGCTATTGACGCTTTGAAATGAACTTTAGTTGACAGAGAATGGATACATTTATGATAAAGGCCATTCTTTGACTCATTAAAAGTCATATTTGTTGTAGTTTGATTATTATACGTCAACATAACGACTGTGAGGCATTGTTCAATATGTTAAAAACATCCGACAATAGCAATCAGCCGGACCAAAGTGCTATGCTCAGGGTTATTATTAATTACAATATGTATAGTAAAGTATAGTAAAGTTGCGACAATATTGGAATATATTAATCCTGATGAAATAATTGTTACCGATACACTTTTTTCGATCATTGCATCAAAATTCTTTGATTTCATTGGGTATTTTGTAACCGAATAACCAGTAGATTGGGAGAAAATGTGTGTACAGCTGATTGCTATTTCCGGCTTAGTTTATGAGAAATACAAATGGAAATCTTAACCTCTGCATATAAAATAATGCCTTGCGGAACAGGAAATACGATTTAGATAGTAAATCATCTTGTCTAGTGATGTTTTATCTCAACTTCCATTTTTTCTATCAAAATATGGTAATTTGTGTGCAATATTATATCATTGTCAGTAGTTAAAATCATTTTTGTTAAATATGCACAGCATATAATACTCTTTTAAAAAGAGTAGGGGTCATGCAATATGAATGTTAATACCAGGTATTAGAACAAAGATAAGTGTTGATGTCAAACATCCCATGCAAGAACGTTTATGTCATCAAACTTAACACCAAAACACATCCAATAGTTTGCACTTGCTTCACACACTAGTGCCATACACGTGCATAGGGTGCCATTCCTCATTTTGACACTTATCAAGGAAGGTCAATTAATCAGTGGACCATTATTTCTGTCAATCTTATTGATTCTGCTTATCATACAGTTTGGATTTATTTGATTTCAAACATTGTTTGTGTGTGAACTAGCGATGTGGCGTCTGCAATGCGCGGAGTGTCAACGGGCTATTGGCATGCTGGAAAAACTGGCAGAAATCAGCGTGCAGTGGCTAATACGTTATGTTTCACAGTCTGTGATTAGCAGACTGTGTAACAGGTACCAACAAATCCAAAATGTTGACAATTGACCCTGTTCAGGGTGTCGCAGGCCAAAGACAAGAGTACAGGATAGATTGACCTGAAACCAGGTTCTTCCCGTTTCATATTGTACACTAGAATTCTATGGAATTTCATAAATGTTGCAGTTCTTGCAAATCCTCTACCTCTGTTACATCTTTTCCATAAATCCTGTTTTTTGGCTTCAGTCACAATAACTAAAATTTTCAGATTTTCAACAGATGTCCTCTTCACTGTCATTAACACACAGTTTATCCCAATATAGCACTATAGCAACCCAAGCTATGACATGCGTAATGGTTTGGAAACCTCACTTCTTTCCTGTGTGTGAGTCAACACCTGTTGTTATAGTTGTAACGATCTAGCACTTGGTAGTGGTCACATTAATCCAAGATTGTTCTAATAGTTTTCTAAAATCAAACACCTTATAGCTGCTAATTGTAGTGACGATCATACTGATGTAAGTATAAAGCTGCTGTGAGGTGTTTGTGAGGTTGTAAGGGAGTCTCCCACTACTCCTACTTGCAAGAAGTGTGGTCATTTTATGATCACGGGAGATCCTGATAACAACTGCTGGAAATGCAGAGGCAAAATGCACAGATGAGGCAAGATGCGACCAGTGCTCAACTCTATCTAAGATAGCCTTCACCAAGCTAGCTGAAGCTTTGACTAAAGCTAGAAGACAAGAAGCAGCTAAGAAGAAAGTCGACATCATTGCGGCTACTGACGCTAACTTAGCCTCTGACTCCATCTCAGCGCCCCTACCACCTACTCCGGCGAATGAATCATATCCTGTGTACTCAGTGAACTTGATAGAACAACTCTTCAAACAACAAAAGGAGATGATGGATGTTTGAGTCACGCTTCTCAGCTATAAGTCAGGACATGGATATGCTTTAGAAGAAGCAGACAGCATTGGCTAAGAAGAATCATCCGGCCAAGAGGTCGCATGGGGGGCAGCCATCTGTTTATGCCACAGCCACGGCCACATGACCTACCCCAGCCAACCATACTGACAACCATAGCGACCAGCCAGGCAGAAGCTCTCAATCTCTACCCTCCCTGCGGTACACTGGCATCTACATCTCCCACTTGGGTCCCGTCAGCGTACTCCAAGGCCATACTCCCCAGATAAGAAGAGATTGATAATGTCAATATCTGCTCCCAAGACGTTCAACGGCAAATTGGGACATGTCATAGATGAGATCAGACAAGATACAACTGAACGATTTCAAGTATCAACTATCAACCTAACTGCCAAGGCACATGGATCTTCCTATCCCCATAAGCGTTACTGGGATTAGAAGAACTCGGTATATAAACAAGCACCTAAGAAGAAGTTTGTCCCCTCCGGGAAGGATTCGTTCCAACCGAGTAGAGGGTACGACAAGTGTCAGTCTTCTCAGGAGTCTTTTTGTCAAGAAACGAGGATCCTATCGCAGGGGCAGATCCGGGGGCAGAGGTGAACGCAGGTTCTGACTTCATTGCCACTCACTCTGCCGTTGTAGACCCTTTCGACCTGGTTATGTCTTTTCTCTGCGATTTACGCCTACCCATCTTTAAAAATAATGCCAACTCCGGGGCCAGTGGGAGGCATCTTCTGTCATACGCTGAACATTGGAAGCAGATTACGCCTGACAGCTGGTTCCTAGACATCGTGGCTCGTGGATACAAACTGCATACCACGAAGCATCCCATCCTAAAATCTCAATCCGTCGGGCACAGATTTCATCTAGTCGGAGCCAAGCTAGAGGCAGCAGATCTGGCCATCAAGAAGCTACTAAAGAAGCGAGCCATTCAGAAACTAACAGAGACCAACAAGACCAAAGGATTTTATTCCTTGGTATTTCTTGTTCTGAAAAAAGAATTTGAGGATGATAATTGACTTAAAGATCCTCGACACAAAATCCTGGTACCTCCTCCAAAGTTCCAGATGGAATCCGTAGGGAAGTTGCTGTCGACTTTGAGGAAAGGAGATTGGCTCATCAGCCTCGACCTACAAGACGCCTATCTTCACGTCCCGATACACCCATCGTCACAAATGCCTGCACTTAGCAATCAATGGTTGACGTTACGAGTCCAAGTCTTACCATTCCGGATATCAATAGCCCCTTGTCTGTCAACCAGGATTACAGCTCCAGTCATCAGGGTTGCCCACCCCCACCTAGTATGAATCCATGGGTACCTGGACGATTTCCTGGCAGCAGACCAAGAGGAAGCTCAGTTACACCAGAACAGGCTATTTCTGGTCCAGCTTGTTACCTACCTTGGCTTCCTAGTCAATCCCTTCAAGTCCAAGACCACTCTGGTTCAAGACATCGTATACATCGGAGCACGTTTCCAATTACACAAGGGATATCTATGTCCACCAGAGGATCGATTTGTCAAGACTATTACGATGTTTCAATCCCTGTCAAGTCAACCCAGCAGGTCTCTAAGGTGGTGGAAGTCTCTTCTCGGCAACCTACAGGATATGACCTTCAGAGGAAGGTTGATGTTATGTCCTCTACAGACAGGGATAAACTCACTAAGATCCTACACCCTAGAGTTCAAGACTCAGTTACCTCTCAACTTATTACAGGACCTTCATTGGTGAACTCACAGAGAGCATGTGATGAGACCCATTCCTCTGACTTCTCTGACACCTGAAAACCATCTATTCACAGACGCCTCAGATTCGGGATGGGGAGCCGATGTGGACGATCTCACGATACAAAGATCTTGGAGCAACAGAGAGAGAGAGGATTCTACATATCAACACTGCACCTAGATCTATTTGCCACCTGCCAGAACCATCAGCTTCCCGTTTATGTCAGTCCAGTTCCCGACCCAATGGCTCACCAGATCGATGCGCTATCGATGGATTGGACGGGTCTGTTTGCATTCCCACCATGGTTGGACCCGTGAAGATCCGGGGTAGAATAGGTCTTCATGCTTGCCGTAAAAGGTGCCTATGCTTGTCGTAAAAGGCAACTAACAGGATCAGGTGGTCAGGCTCGCTGACTTGGTTGATGCATGTCATTGATCCCAATTGCGTGGATCGATGTTCATGATGTAAATCACTGGATTGTCTGGTCCAGACTAGATTATTTACAGACCCCTTTCATATAGCTGGAATATTGCCGAGTGCGGCGTAAAACAATAAACCAAACTAAACCAAACCAAAACCAATCCCACCATGGTCTCTCCTAGACAAGGACATCCACAAGGTTGAGGAGACGGATTGCATGATTATCTTGATAGCACCAGTCTGGCCAAGCAGAGCGTGGTTCCCCAGATTATTAAGTCTATTATTGGAAGAACCTCTCCAGTTACCTCTCCGTCAAGATCTGTTACGACAATCTGCCCAGCCAACATTTAACCGCCTGGAAGTCATCACGCAAAAGATGCAGACATCCAGGTATTCTGAGCTTGCCTCGGAAGCTGTGGCAAGATCATGGAGACCTTCATCCTCCTTATATATGACAACAGATTGGATAAGTTTGTACGGTCCAAAGACAACAAGGGATTATAACTAATACAACATCCATCCCTTTCTTCTACATCTATGTCAATAAGTTCCGACATGGGACGATAGAAGGTTACAGATTGGCACTTCACTCTGTACTGCAACATGATGGACTCTCAATTGTAAACCATCCAATTCTAAACAGACAAATGAGATGCTTTCTGCTAGAAGATGTTCGCACACCTCGCATCTTTTCCAAGTGGAATCTATTTGTTGTGTCATCGGCACTTTTAACAGAACCTTACGAGCCCATGGCTAAGGCCACCTTACTCCAAAAAATCCAGGAAATAATCCTTCCTCCTAGACATGGCGACAGCAGCAAGTGTTTCAGAACTCCATGCTGTGGACTATTCTAGTCTCACCTACGAGTCTCACTTCATGGACATCCGTTTCTGTGGAACAAGTAGTGTCTAGCTGTCAGTGGGCCTTAAAAAATACCTTCACCAGTTTTTACTTGCGTGACATGCAGCCGGACCTAGAGGGCATATATATACATTGGGCCCATTCTTGTGGCGCACACTATCATCCACCGATAGTCTCCCCCCTTCTATTGAAAAAAAGGGGGGAGGGGGGGCGAGGATCCGACACCAGCAGCATCAGAGGGTGAGAACACACTTGATTATCCTGTCTATTAGGTGTACGATGGATAAGGAGCACCTTGAGTATCAACTGCTTACAGTACTAAGTGCAGATGACCCGAAGTGACGTCAGAACCGGAGGGGGGATAGAACCGGAAGTGATGTCATCACCGAAAGTGACATTGGAAATAGCAGTACAGGGTCCATCTGATCAGGAAGTTAAGTATTTTTGTAGAAATAGACCATGAGAGACGTCATTATCCAGTAAAAGGGGAGTGACAAACCAGAAGTGACGTCACAACCGGATGTTAGGTCAGAACCGGAAGTGAGGTCAGCACCGGAAATAGAGTCACAAATCCAATTTCAACAAGAAATGACGTCATTTGGTAGAAATAGACCAGAAATGGCATCATTATTACTTACAAGATCAGCAAATACAACGGTAATTCTAGTGAAGGTGTCACATATTTGACTGATTCTTGATGAATTCTGATTTTCAAGTCCTCAGGAGGAATTTCAGAGGAAATTATTTCAAATTAGGATTAGAATAAGTGATTAAACTGTTTCTAGAAGAAGATTACTGTCAATTGCACAGGGAATTACTAGAGGCAGATCCAGCCGGGTCCATCTGGTATATTCTGGCAAAGATGTAATAGAGGTAGAGGATTTGCAAGAATTATCGAACAATAGTTATCATTGTTAATAATTCTAAGAAAGCTACCTCTATTACATCAGAAGTACTCCCACCTATCTCCCAAATTCATCTACCTCTAGTGGTTAGATGTGGGAAAGAAGTGAGGTTTCCTGCAATGGTTGCTATAGTACTATATTGTGAACAACTAATTGTGTGTGATTGACAGTAAAGATTACGTCTGTTAGTTAGTTAGTGTGACTGAAGCCAAACTACAGGATTTATGGCAAAAATGTTATAGAGGTAGTATTCTTAGAATTATTAACAATGATAACTATTGGTCGATTTTTACACATTATTTACAAAAATACTCAATATTTGCTTTATTTAACCAACCAATCAAGCCATGGCGTGGTTCCAGAGAGTGCTCTGACCAATGAGAGCTCAGATTTCATCAGACAAACAGCAATATTTTTCGTGATATCAGGCAACAGTTTGCTCAAAATTTATGTATTGAGTAAGGCTCATTTGACTTTCATGAGTTATACCCAGCCTCGGGATCAGCAGTCAGGTGACTGCGTACGGTTATATTTAGCAGTGAACTTAGTCAATAGCGCTTTAAATACTACATCTGAATGGTTTTTTCTTTCAGTTTGTGCTGGCAATGTGCGTTCACTGCACATGCTGCTAAATATAGCCTAAATATAGTCACCTGACTGTCGATTCTTACCCAGATTGTAACCACCTGGTCAAAACTCAGTGATGATGTTTATCAATAACAAAATGGATATTTCTTGAAAAGCGCACGTTGCTATTTTTGTCATTACTGTAAGTAATATTTCTTATTGGCGGGATGGCTTGTTTTCATTTTAAAAGTATGAGCACACATGCAGCTATCTTCATTAATTAATCATCATGATAGTATATGATTCTTTTTCAAGTAGCGAAGACAATAGCAACTTCATTTCATTTAGGCAGTATGTGTTTAGAGGTGATGTAGGAACGTATTGTATGTTCAAATCTGTGAAGTATTGAGGATTGGTGCAATCTTGTCATTAATGCACATTTTGTAGATAATTGGCCACATAAGATATGCAACAATCTCAAAAAGAATCCATAACTGCATGTTGCATGACAATTATATTTTGACATCAAAATTAGATTTGTATGTTATATAAATAGATTGCAGTAAATATGTTTTCTCTTTATATTTCACAAAATTTCAATGAATTTTGACTGAGTTCATAGATACTAGCACATGTTAACAAGTCATATATTTCCAGCAACATCAGCCATGATAATGAATCAATCAGTGATCACTCATGACTTATTGAGGCAAACATATTCTGAGGGATTTGTTCTGTTTTACTAAAGGACTTGAGAGAGAAAAAGTTGATTCATAAGCAGATCAAGGTTATGTCCAGACTAAGTGTTCAATATTAGGGGGTCAAATGTCAAAAAAGAGTTTCTCCCCTCTGCAGAACACTGAAATTAAGGAAATATTTACATCCATAGGGCAGCAATCGTGATCAGCCTATGAGCACCATGGATGGATCTGTTTTGAAAACCTGTGATGTTCTTAAAGGCCTGAACGATGAAACGAAACAGGCATGTATCAAGGCTTTCAAAGACAGTAAACAGCTAGTAGACTGGCTGAGAGACTCAATGAAAGGTAAGTAACTTCTCTCTTTAGCACAACTATCAGAAAACAAATGTATGCATTGAAACCTTTTGTCCAAACACTGTTACTTTGGATGAAATAGTTGGGAAGGTCTGTGTACATAAAAGTTTGTTAAACCTCGAAATTTTGTTAATCTGGATGATTTTGATGGGAATGATTGTGTTAGGTATGACACTTATGGCAGAGTATATTCACTGTATATGTATGGTAAGGGTATCAAATATGGCGATTACAATTTACATGACTACAACCTCTTAACTCACTAATGCTTCATGATCCAAGAATAGGATGTTAACAATGCAAGAAGTGAATCATCCTGTTTGAAAATGGCTGATAGACCCAGAGACGTGGTGGTTAGGAGGAGAGAGCATTCTGTTTTTGCAAGTTGATAAGTTCTTCAGAACATCTTATTTGATGTTGACATTTCTTCTTGTCACATTAAAGGTAAGGTCACTGACAATCATGCTGCCATTATGTTTTCTTCAGGTTTTATGTTATGTTATTTATTTCAGCTTTGAGTAAGCCACTCCCATGTGTATATAAGTTGCCCCACTGTTTTTTAACACTGCTTGGGGAATTTTGTTGAGACATTTCAGTCATGTCCAGAGTCAAGGTCATCTTCAAGATCAGATGTTGAAGGGGGGTAATTTATCACCTGACTCAAAGAAGCAGTGTTTGATGTTGTAGGATAAAATACTGGGTGGTTCATGTAATTTATCAGACCACAAATAATGTCATCAGACTAAAATGCATTCAGGTTCCTCATAATGTAAGCTTGAGGCAAGGTACTGTTTTCTGCTCTGAGATCGTAGTATATAGGCATGTACTTCCCCAATATTAAGGTAATGTTATCAGATTAGTAATGGTGATATGTAATGGTTTCACAGGGCATTGTAATGGTCTCACAGGACATTCTAGAAATGGCAGTGAAAAGGGGGCTTCTTCTGTTTTTGTGGGGATGTTTTGGTAAACACTTTTCTTGTTTTGTCAGTAAGATATAAAGAGCTGTACTCTAAAGATACATGAACTGCCAGTTTCCAACCTTTGCCACAAGTACAGTGCCTGGTCAAAACTTCTTGCCGATTATAAGGGGCTTTTCTTAAGACAGTCTGTATGTAAGGAGTGAAAAGACAGGAAGGACAAGTTTGAACTACTAATTACTGGGGAAACTCAGACATTTGGAAGGTCAAATATTTAAAGGTCACAGAGCCCCAATTCATAGAAACAGCTTTCCAGCTATTCTATTAAAATATTATATATGAAATTAGTCTGGTGTTGAAACATATTTGGAACAAGAAATCCATGCTTTTTAGTAAATACAGTCTCTTTGATTTTATAAGATGGCGTGAAGGAACTGAAGGTGTTTGTGGACCTGGCATTTATCTCAGCTGGAGAGGAACCGATGGAGATACACAAAGTCAACTGTTTCCACTCAGCAACCACTGGATATGCTCCACTGATCTTCAACACACCACAGACTGCAGACTATGACTCTTTCCTCAAGAATTGCGAACTTGTCTGGCAAGAACTGAGATCAGACAGAAAGTTACCTGAAAAATTGGTCAGAATTTTTTTATTGACTTTATTGATTAAAAGCAAAATTTATGCAAATCTTTAGATAGAAATGTTGTTTACAGCAGTACAATTGGAGATGAAACTAAAAAATGTACATAAACTCACTTTTCATGGGTCTCATTCTTGAACAAATAGTGTTGATGCTTTCAATTTTCTTAATATTGATACCTAAATATGGTTAATATTGCAACTGCTATAGTGTATATAATGGAAATTATCAGTAGATGGAACTTGTCATTGTAAACACACATGTTGTTTGTTGTGACAGGTCATGCACGTCATTCATTACTACATTGTCATTAAAGAGGGGCAGTTAAGGCCGGATTTTGTCAAAATTGTGTACTTAGGTTAGGTAGTTTGCATATTGACATAGATTGCCCTTGGGATTTTAAAGGAAATGAGTGGAAAACTGCAATCTGTGCTGCTGGTATTGCCTCAAGCAGAGTTGGTGATTCCTTCACCATGTTTACCCACCAGGCCTATGTTCAGTATAAGGAAACAGAAGCAAATAAAGAAGATCCTTTCCGAAGCTGGTATGCGCCAAAGTCACCTGCTTAACCCCAGTTTCACTACAGGTTCCCTGTTCTTTCAACCTTCTTGTGCCTGGTAGATGCAATTCAGAAAGCAGATTTCCCGAAGTATGCAGCAGCATTTGTCAGGTTAATGGCTTGCAGTTCACAGATATGTCTGCCTTGTCTGTAGAACACCCACCAAAAATGAAACTGACATTCTCTGCTATGGCACAAGATCAGACTCATGAACAAGTCAATGAGTTGGTGAAAGGAGATGGAGGTGCAGTTGATAATGTGTATAAAATGACAAGATAACTATAATATATGTAGTATAGAATGATATCCTTAGAGATTTCAGCCATGCTGGCAGTCATCTTGGATTTTCTACCATCAGGGGGCACTGCAAACTATATTTGAATTTTATACAGCTTTGTTGCAATTAATTATGAATACATTACAATGGATATCTGTTTAAATTGATCAGATGCTTATGATATATTGGGAATAGACTGAAATCGTTAGAGGTTTCAGCCATGTTGGTGGCCAACTTGGATTTTCTACCACCACTGTGTGCTGCTGAGGTGGATCCATACCCAGAAATGTTTGGAATGGTTAAATGTATAAGTGTGCCAAGTTTGGTACTTTTAACACAGAGCTCGAGTGCACAAGTTCAGCCTTAGCCGCCCAACTGTTAATGATGAAGTTGACTGATTGATAAAGATATCTGTTCACAATTACAGAATTAAAAATTGTACGAATTTACGAAGTACGAATGTGTGATTTGACTACATGTACCGATATACATGTATGGTGTTCTTTCATCAAGTATTTAAAAGACCGCCTCTGTGGTCTAGTGGTAGAGCGTCTACCCGGAGAGCGGAAGGTCGAGGGTTCGATCCCAGGCTGTGTCATACTAAAAGATGTTGTTACACTTGTTGTTACCCTCCCTGGCACTCTGCAATAAGGGCTAAAACAAGGACTGGTCAGCTCGGAGTCAGTATGCTTTGGGGTATTCATGTTAAATTGCAGTATGGTATCTCAGTGGGCTAACGCTATAAAATCGTCATTAGTCCGGACTAATTCAAGCAGTCACAAACACATCAAGCATGCATGTAGCTATATCAGTGCAATGATCTTTGATGCGACGTTAAAATCCATTTCACCACACCTCATCAAGTATGCACTCATCACAGCGATGTTCTTTTTCTGTTGATATTATTTATATTTACAGATTGTAATCAAGTACTAAACTTTCAGCTGAAACAACAAACAATCAAACATGTACATATAAGTTAATATTAATTATTCCATGATGTAAATAGTATTTGAGGGTTTATGTGTGTAATAGTTGTTACCATTGCTTACTGGTTGTCACGGCAGATATGACCAAGATTTTTTTGCTGATGGAGACAGGACAGGAAATAGCCCACTACCTAACCTTTAACACTACAATAATACATTTCATAATCTTGAACATTTGTTTTTGATCAGGTTGATACATGTCGTCATCTACGGTGGCTGAAAGAAGTAAAACAGTCACATGGCTCTGTGGAAGTAACAGCACTCACACAGGCTTCAATGATCAACACAAGAGGATTATACAGGATTGGACATCTGAACAAGCTTGATACAGCTTCTGATATGGTAAATCAGTTTTAGAAATTTAGGGTGTCCTGGAATGCTTGAGATTTTCTACCATATGACAAGGATCCATTGCTTTCCATTCTTTGAACCCTAAAAAATCTTGTTAAGTATTTCTAACATGTAAGTAATAACAAGACCCAGAAAGTTTCTTGCACAGATTTGGATTCATGAGGGGTAAATGACATGTGTATGAAATACATTCAAGAATGCCATAGTATTTTCATAATATATGAACCAAGATTTCTCAAGCAGTTACCATTTTGTTTCATTCAAGTGTCATGAAACTGTTTTGGTCAGATTTGGTAGTCCTACCTTTTGATTATGGAATATAACATCTAAACAGGATCATTGTTGAGTCCTGGTTGATAATGTTTAACATATCCATATAGCTTTAGATCATAATGAATTCTCATGAATTTGGATAATCTACATACATGTATGGGACAATAATGATAATTAGTGTGATGCAGTTAGTTCATGACTTTATTTCATATTTTGTTTTGTTTGTAAGATGCTGACCAATGTGATCAGTTTACATGTGTCAAAAGACACTGAGGACAATACTTCACGAAAGTACAGCTACGACCAGTTGGTGGATCTGCAGAGCAGACTCATGCTGGTTGCAGGACAGGCTGAAATTGGCAATGAAAATGTTGATCACTTCATTATGGTAATTAGATTCAGATGTAAATTTTATGCTTCTATATGAAATAGCTACGCTATAAATCGCTAAGAACAGTGAAGAACGAAGTGTGGTTTATTTCATGATAAAACATTGTTCTATCAGGACATCATTTCTGGAGATTCCTATATGCGCTAGCTACTTGATGACGTTATATAATGGACAGCATTAGTTTTGAGAGGGAAGTGTCTAGTAAGTTGTTCCCCATAGATTTAGCTGGGCTATGCAGATAAACGCTGTGGCTGAACAATTGGATGCAAAAGTGGGAGAGAAATGACAATCGGTATTAGGAGAAAAGGTACAGATAATTGACATGAGGATTGTGAGAATATGCGGGAAATACTAAACTTAAGTCACCTTTGTAAAATGGACTTGTCCAACATTTCACTAAAAAAAGCGTGTGTATGAATACATCGATAGCCTACATATCGATTCATAAAAAAATGGCTGCGGATCGATCACTCCCATATGAACTGTAAAACGTATCTATATTTCCTCTATTACACGCTGGGTCTATAATACAAGCCAGGTCTCTTATACACGCCGAGTCAACGGCTCTCGCTAAAATTAATAGACAGCATAGCATCTAATAGAGGAAATAAGATAGTTTGATGTTGGATGTTTTTGGCGACGATTGACTGACTGTTTCGATGATGAGATTACAAGACTTTACAAAAGCATAACTTTTGCATACAAATGAAATGTTTATGAAACTGTAAGGGACAAGTTCGATGACGAACAGACTCAGAACAGGTAATTTCGATCGTCATTGAAACAACCGACAAAGTGCCAAAGCACATCAAATTTCAAAACACAGTAGGTTTATCTCCTAATTATAAACTTCCAGTGACGTCATCCTATTGTTCTCCAGTGGGGTTAAATGTCATAAACAGGCATGTTATGAGATCCCAGGGATTTTATGTAATATTCCGGGGATTTTATTGATACAACTTCCAATTATATTGTGACCTATTACTGTTTCTTGCTAGAAATATATTTTGCATTTGAACACAATGTAATGAAATGTAAAATCAAATGACAAATGTTTTCTATTCCCACGGATTGAATATACAACCTTCGTATCTGTAGCCCAGTGAGTGTACCACTTGGCTACATATGCACTGATAAATCACAATGCTTTAAAAGATGTCTTTTCCAAGAACCCACATGCCAGCAACAGATATTTTACGCCCATTTCCTAAGGGTCATGGAGAGTATGTTTGAAACATAAAAATGTTGATAAATGTTGTATTAAGTTTGTTTTTTTTTGTTTATAAGTAAGATAAAACACTAATCCTCAGGTTTTTATAAGACTTAAAACTCTCATCGTCAAGGTAAAAACTCGGGGCGGATGCCGATTGGTTTTATTCCTTGGATTTCGGTTTTAATCTCATAAAAAACCCTCTGACATCTTTTATCCTACACATAAAACCCTGCAGGGATAAAATAAGACACTCGGGGGCTGCGCCCCTCATGGTTAAGTCTCCCTTCAGTGTCTCCCTTATTGTATGATAAACAACTCCCACTCATCAATTATTTTTAGATATATCTTTATTTTATTTATTTTTTATTGCTGAGGCCATGTTACAGAACTGAGGCATCTAGGTTAATGTCTAGCTAAGATACAAAAAGACTTACAATGACAATTTTCAAAATAGATCTAATTTTCAAAATAGAAGCAACATTATTCTATGATTTGTGCTATTAAGCTTTGGGTGAATGGAATGACACTAAGTGAACACAATTCATGGATAGCAACTTCTTTATTTTACTGTAATTATAGCGACATTTCAGTATAGATGCTTATGCAATTGTCAAGAAAGACTTTACCAAAATCCCACTCTTACAATAAAATAAAGAAGTTGTTATCCATGAATTGTGTCTACTTTATCATCCGTCAACTTCTAAGAAATGCCTATCAAACAATGTAATGATACTGATTATTATTTAACATAATTCAACCAGATATTGACAGATAGACTCATACACATTCACTTCCATTCATTTTATATATCAACATGGTTAATGTATAGCACAGTCTGCCAAAATCGTTTGATTCTACTGGCCCAGACATGGCATCATGTTCCATACAGTTTATTGTTATCACATGGACTAGTTTTATAGCTGATCTTACTAGACCGAAAATAATTTTACTTGACTTTGCTAAAGTCGCAGACTGTAGTATATTGCATTTTAAGTCAAATATCAAATAGAATAGAGTGTATCTCTTGTATTTATGGTTCAGTGCATTATTATTTGCATTTGTCTTTGAATATATAATTCATTTTAACATTTATGTTTTTGAGGTCCTAGATGGAATCGTGCGTCTAGCCAAAACCTACATCAGACTGTGTACAGATGGATGTGTCTTGTTCAATTGTTGGAAGGGGAAGTTCCTATGTGGAGAGGACACGAAAGTATGCACTTTTTTGGAATTTGGTCAAGGAGATAATCTTGAAACTCTGAAGGGACATCGTGGGGTAGAGGGTGTGGGTGGCTTCATCCATGCTCTTGCCAATGAGTTTGAGGTCTTCCATGATGAATGGATGAACTATGTCAGTAACAGAAGAGATGAGTACTTGGAGCTGAACTTCTACACCATTGACCAGCTAGTGTTCCTTCAGAGAGAACTCATCAAACTAGGCACAGAAGAGGAACCTTCTGTTCGTGTGTACTCAATGTTGTCTCTGATCAAGCCTGACTGTACCCAAGCAGATCTCACTGATGCCATGCAGGCAGCTCAAGATGCAGTCTTTACCAAAGACAAAGACACAGATAAAGAAATGGAAGTTGATGTGCCACTTGAAGAATCTGATCTCAAACAAGCCTTCATTAATGCCATGCTAGAAACAAACTTCTCGAACGGACTGGCAAGACTTGCTTTGGAGGCCATTGGGCCTGATGATATTGACAGTGGTAAGTTGTGCCTAAAACATGCCATCTTTAGAGTTAGACTCTTGTGGATACTTTAATACACCACTTCCAAAAATCAAAACAGATGGGAAAACAAGTTTTGGAGCCAGTCTGTTAGAAAATCTTGTGCTTTTGTTAAGAAAACATTGAAGCATATAAACTTACAAATGTTTTGTGTGATTTTTTAAAAAGAAATTCAAATCAACCCTCCCAGGCAGTCTAATTTTGTAAAAATGTTGTAAATATTGTTCACTGTTTGGTTGGGGCCTTAACATGTGATTATATTAGCAAGGTCATGTGACTTGACTTGCTCTTTGAGAATAATGCAAGTTCTTATTTTTGAAAATTGAAAGTCATAATAATGTCTTGAGAGTAACACTAAAGGCATGAATGTTTTAAAATTTCACCAGAAGTTTGTTTCAAGTAAAGTAAACAACATTTTATTATGTTGTGTAACTCAATTGTTTATTGCACCAAACATGAAATGAAAATAGCATGACCAGTAACTACAGTCTGGTTGGCTCCAAACGATGAATTGCAAGATTACTCAAAATCAGGAATAGTCTTACATGTAAATATGATATGCGGCAAGAAATACCTTGTACCCCAAAATATCTGTTGTTTGTTATTGTTATTCCCATCACTGGAAAATGTTGTTTCAGAAACTATATCTTGTTATGTGTACAAGTTGACATCTTGAATGGAGGGGGGCACAATGGTTAGAGGAACAGTGCAAACACACAGATGTTACACAGTGGTACAGGAAATGACAGAATAAGAGGGGTCGTCTAATGATAATTTTAATCGCAATCTGACTTGCTCATGTCACAGCTCTCGTCGGAATTGCTTGTGTCACTGCTGATGGTCACAACTTTTGGTGTGACTGTTGTTTGCTGAAGTCCATCAGGTGACAAGTATCTTGATAACTTTCGTAACACAATGCTGCCATGTCTCCACTGTTACATGACCAAGGTATTTGTTTACTAGCTTTTCAACATCCCGCAATTAAAACGTGTTCAAATCATCCAATGTCACCTTTGGCGATACCCCATATCAACTCTATTGGGTTCAGATTGCAGTGGTAAGGGCCAAGTCGAGGAAGACCTTTAATGTCATTGTGTACACCGTAACACATGGTCAGGTTCTTTAGATTTGATGATTTCATAGAGTTGTGGTTTTATAGCCCTAAAAGGAAAGGTCATATTCATCCGTTGCAGCCACATCACCAAATCTCCTTTAAGGCTATTAGACGTCAGGGGGTAGCTGTCTGGATCCTTCATACTGTGATATGGTTCATTGTCCATGATAATGAGGGACTTGGCAGGCAGAGCAGGGACCAATTGTTTTTTTCGGCCACTCTAGAAATACCTTGCCATTTATTTCTGTGTGGTAGTCCCAGTTGTCCCTGGCCTTGGCTCGAAAGACGAGGTCACAGGCTTGGAGAAAACCCTGACTAGCACAGCCAGCATGGAGAGCGATAAGTTTTTCACCTTTTCCCATTGATTACTTTCTACCAGACACCTTAGAGTCCCCACTGGGAACCCACTGACTGCTGGATGTTGTGGGAGTCATTTACCCGCATCTCATCGAGGAAAACAGGCTCATATATACTTCTTCACGTTTCTGCTTCATGGTTAAAAGATAATGATTTCTGAGAGACAAAGAATGTCAGATCGTTCACATAACACAGGCCTATTTTCACTATTTATGTTTTTGTGTCTGTATCCAAATGTATGAAAATGTTTCCATAGCTTGTATTTTGTAACAATTAAATCAAGTTCAGTTTCATGGTATTTCGTTTTCGGAAAACTGTCTAATTTATGAACCCGACATGGTTTTGATATATTTCCCCACCTGTTTCGCCTGATTGCTAGAGTCCCATCAACAAGCAACATTTTTCAGCTTGATTGGAGACCTGCCAGGAGCTTTAGAAGTATTTATTAATGGCAAATATTTATTAATGGCATAAAATGGTTTTCGTCTTTCTGTTTCACATTGAAATGTATCATACACCTTAAGAATCAACTGTTATACATCAGCTGAGTAGGGCATCTTGTCAGTCAACAACATATACACTCCGTAGCACATGCAGTGCTTGTTTGCGCTGTTCCTCCTACTGTTGTGCCCCCTCCTTCAAGATGTCAACTTGTACATATTTTCCAGTGATGGGAATAAATATAACAAACACAAGATATTGTTGGGTACAGGGTATTCCTTGCCGTGTACCGTATTGACATTTAATAGACAATTCATCAATATCATCAACGGACTCTAATAACAAATGAGGTCAGATTACTTACAGTTGTATTTTGATTCTGGGGACCAGTAAAATACATATTCCTCAGTTAAAAAGGATCATTTCATTTTCGAGGATTATTTGGAGACCTTGAATTCAAATGTGCAAAAGTAGACATATGCAGACAATGAAATTCAGTTTAACAAGCATTAACTGTATCAGGTTCCCATAATGCAATCCATGACATTAAAGGGTTCTGATCTCAGACAATTCTTCAGGACAGGTTGTTGCCTTTGTTGTTATAATTTCTGTGGATACCCAGATGATATCCCAGAAATCTTGACTAGTTTATGACATATGCTGCGCCACCCGTCACTTTATTGGTAGTATGAAGGCATATTGTCACATTAATCAACAAAATTGAAATACAGTTTTGTCTAAGAATTGATAAGGAAATCTAGGCATCCCTTGGGGTCGTATTAGTAATGGTGACAAAGTTTTGATGAGTTGCTTGGTATTCTGCGATTTTTGTTTACACTATTTTGACGCGTAACAGAAACTAGTAATTTCACCTGAGCATTGTTTATCATATGGTGTGTATATGTTACAGTCAATGTATAAAAAGACTGAAATTTGCACTTAGGCAATTTATAAACGCCTAAGTATTTCAATCATTTTAAACATTGACTGAAAATTTTGTCCATTTATTTTATTATCTGTTTAATACATTGACAGATTTTAGTCAAATTGTAAAAGGATCAAAAAGAATTTTAACTGCCAAAGAGAATCACATTTTACACATTGACTGTTAGATATACACACCTACAAATTCAAAAGGCTTATGAAAAAAGTGATTGAGTGTTGTCTGTCTCGCATTAAAGAACTTCCCAACAATAACGTAATATCTTAGGATGTACTGATGCTGAATCTGGTAGTGTGGACAACTCATCTTCATAAATCAACTCATGTTCATTCAATACATATAATTGTGTTGATATATCTACTCAGGATAAGGTTCTTATTCATTATAATACCCCTTAGCGCTGGGATGGGTAACTCAAGTACTCAGATTGGGTCGGTACTGAGTAGGACCCGGGTTCCCACAGGACTACCTGAACCCGTGGTCAGTCACGTGATATATTGTTTAATGACAAAAATTATCTAAAACTCTGTGGATACACTATAAGTCACTAATGTTCCCATCTTTTTCTGACTATGCACCCAATCCTTCTGACATTTATATGTTTGAATAAAGATAAAACTTCATTCAGTAGACTTCATTGTATGCATGACCAGATCGTTTTACATGTGTATCTAAATACATTTAGCCAGGGCTACGGTCAAACCTTTCCCGATCGGACAGTTTGTTCACATCTCTTGATGTCTACAGCGGGTACCTGGGTAGGGTCAGGTAATAATGGGGTGGGTACCCAGATAGTAAATTAGGTGTTGTCCCAGCCCTCATTCGCCTCTATCTTTTTAGAATGTATACTCGTATTTGGATATAAGTCTTCCACTTCAGGTAATAACATAATACTTATCAGGGATGTTCCCTTTTTCTGAGGTATTATGTTTTCCACTTCATGTAATTGATGATACTTACAGCGATCAGGGATGTTCCATTATTCTAACAGGGGAGAAAATCATATCCTATCATTACACTACTTTCTGTAGGCACAATGGGATGTAGGCACAATGGGACCTATCTCAAATGCCCAAGGGAACCTTTGTCAGGTAATCAGAGTGGTCTTACCAATAATTATACCTGTAATACATTCATTAACTGAACATCATGGGAATGACAACAAATGCACTGGTGTAGGTTTATACCATAAAAACATGGATGACAACAAGGGAGTAGTACGGGTAATTGTTTCATTATATGCAATTTAGTAGCCTGAAAAATTAGGGTAGTTGCTGCTTTAAGTATATGAACTGAACTTCATTGCATACATGTATGCTGTACACTAATGTTCATAATTTTACATACGCATTTATTTTAATGGTTTGTTGTTATTATGCTCTGCCCAAATGAAGCTTTGCAGGGGATAAAGAAATGTATGTAGAAAAGTGGTTTCGTCCATCACGTTTCATTTCCGGAGCATAACTCATGAACCATTCAATATTTCTTCATGCAACTCTGTATGACATAACAGGCATACACTGAACTTGTGCCTTGTTGCTATTCAAAAATTTAAAAAAATAATAATTGCGTTCCATGACAATGGACTTCAAACGAGGGTAGGGATCATTTCCAGAGCATAAACTGTTTATCATTTCTTTGTATCAGGCAAGTGCTGAACTGGTGGGTTTTGCTATTGAGATGGGGTTGGGTTTTTTATAGATTTTTTTGTTAATAAGTTGAACTAAGTTTCAAATGAGGGTTTCATTTTGCGGTTTAGTCATCTGTCATTATGTCAGTTGTACTGAAACCTTTTTTGGTATAATGAGGTATATGTCATATAATATACATTGTTTGATTTATACACATGGGGGGGCGGTCGGGTAGCCTAGTGGTTAAAGCGTTCGCTCGTCAGGCCGAAGACCCGGGTTCGATTCCCGACATGGGTACAATGTGTGAAGCCCATTTCTGGTGTCCCCTGCCGTGATATTGCTGGAATGTTGCTAAAAGCGGCTTAAAACCATACTCACTCACTCACTATACACATGGATGGGTGGTTCTTGTTGACTTTATCTTTTTGTTCAGTTTACATCTGATAGTCAGTAGTATACAATTACCATATGCCATGGCAAAATGGGGTTTCATTTACTGCCTCAAATAAATCAAATGTCTATTCTTAATATTACAGGTCTATTGATATGGCATTAATACATGACATGTTTATATATGAAGCTATGAAACACAGAAGTGGGGTCCAAATCAATTTCTGTCCATCTTATCATCAGCTGAGTCACAAATCAGATAATGCTTTCACTGCGGAGATGCTTTTCTTTTTATCAAACTACGACGACTAAGGGTATTTCCAAATAATGGCATCCGATGAGCTTCCACCATTCATCGTGTCTTTGTGAAGAAATTACTTAACACGCAAACTTCGTAGTATCAAAATCTTCAAAGATCACAGGTAACCAATCAGAGTTCAGAAATGCATATAGATGTACTTCAAAGTTTATTTCCTCTGTCCTTACATTTGTTAGCCCGGTCTCTTGTCACACTTAGTTGCATTAGCCAGCATGTCGACTCACGGTAGCTAATGAGCACTAGGGGGCAGTGTTCGACAGCCAGGTAGAAGCCAGAGCCTAGTACCCCTGTAAGAGAACTTCTCAGATGTATTCAGATTAGATATATCTTGGGAATTGCTGTTCCTGCAGGTATTGTGTGGTGTATGGAGCACCAGGAGGAAGAGTCTGAGGAGGAGACAGAGGTGAGAGCATCATCAGTGGATCCACCAATACAGGTCTTTGGTGGCTGGCACTCTGGGGGAGAGTCTGTTTCTTCCAGTGCTGTGTCCTGGGTCAGGAGTGTATCATCAAGCAACAGGTGAGTTTTTTATGTTCATATTCTGTTAAAACTCCATATGTGTCCCGATCCCAATTACATTCTCAGTCAATACTGAGGAGGTGTTTTTTGACCGACTTATAAACTGTCTAAATGCAAGAAATACCAGAAAGAATAAGAAGACATCGGGATACCTCATAGTGAAACAATAGAGTGTGTCGCGGTATAAAAGAAATTTGATGAAAGTGTGTAAGACAAAGACTATGTGACGCATGCACACAACTGAAGTCGTGACATGTAAGATTGAACACACTTCCTTCTCTGGTGTCTCAGTGGGGAAACGGTGTGTTACAAAAATAAACACAATATGTGAGGTTGCAGTTTAGATTCATGTCATGGAATTTTCATGTGAAAAAATAGTGACTTTTATCCAATCAAAAATCAACATTAGTTTCATAACAAAAGACCAGTTTATAAAATTCAGCTGTAAAACCTTGGTCTTATAACTCAATTAAAGCTAGGGTATTCTTCCGGAACGCCCTGGATTTCTGGGAAAAGGAATACATTCGCAACTCATCAACATGTTAAGGAACCCACTCACGCAGTAGTGTTACGTCGCAAAAGGTTTAAGAGGAAGTGAGCAAAATCCTTTAGAAAACGTTAAAAAAGGTTTCAGATGTGTTTATATGAAAGAGAACTAGACTTCATTTCAACACATGCATGGTTAGACTTATAAGAATCCTAAATATATAGGTAAGGCTAAAATATGTCATAGAGGTTGATTTGAGATTTTATTAAGAAGCTTTTTCCTCATATTTGAACATGAGCAAGTCTTTGACCCAAGTTGATTTTTGATAGATGTCGGTAAAATCGAACATATGGTAAAAAATTCATCTTTGGGTCACAGACTTGGTCTAATATAGATTTTTTTCTTGAATTTAGAAACATAAACCTTTTCCGCTCAATTTTATCATACTTATACAATTCGAAAACTTACAAGTATAAGAAAGAAAAAAGCTGGTTGTCAGTAGGGGTGTGCAATATAACCGTTATACCGGATTATGCAATACGTCTGTCAGCACTACAACCCTTTTCCAATACACTCCTGAAATAAATAATATATAATCATATATATTATATCTACTATATTTTGACATTTAGATCGACTGAGTTCCTATATAAACAGCACATGCTTTGTTCTGTTTTCATAAACATTTCATATTGATGACGTAATAGTCATTTATCCATACTGTCTTACCATCTGATGTCTGGATTATTTAAGTGAAGCAGTACTATTTTAACAGTCCAACAAATACTCTCCGTATTGCAATATATTGCAGTATGATTTATGTGCCAATTTGCCAACCCTAGTTGTGAGCTAATATTACATATTCATCCTCATATTTGAATTTTGACATTTCTAGTGGGCCCAAATGGGCCCTTATCCTACCTTCTCCTTTAATTCTTGTATGTCTTTGTATGTCTCAAAACACACACTTGATATAATGTTAGTCATAGTCAGTATGTATATTGTAAAGGTATTAAGAGGGATACAAGTTGACTATCATTTAATATCATGTATATTTTATCAGGTTTCCTTTCAACAATCTACAATACCAAGTTAGAACCTACTTGGAATGTTGATTGTCTGTCTTAACACAGGGTAATAAACTGTTTCAGGAATATAACAACTGTTGAGACTTTGACATCCAACTTGAGGTCAGTGTGGAAGACGTTCCTGGAAGCTGTATCATCCAGTGTAGCAGATTATCTCAGTCTGGAACATCTGGGCATCATCCTCAGACAGCTGGCACAAACAGGTACAAAACCTTGAGCTAACAATACATATATGGATATAGATTTACACAAGTAATGTGCATAATATAGTATTGGACTTCTGCTGACATTAGCAACACAAATAATCCTTGCAAATCCTCTACCTCTATTACATCTTTGCCATAAATCCTGTATTTTGGCTTCAGTCACACTAACTAAAATTTTCCTCTTCACTGTCAATCACACAATTAGTTGTTTCCCCATATAGCACAATTGCAACCCAAGCTATGACGTGCATAATGGCGGGAATCTCACTTCTTTTCTCTGTGTGCTAGAGTCAACACCTATTTTCATAGTTGTAACGATCTAGCATTAGGCTAAGATTATTCTTATAGTTTTCTATAAAACAGACACAGTCAGTAAATATCAATAGCTGCTAATTGGAGTGACAATCACACGCACATGAATATAAGCTGTTGTGAGGTTTGTTTGTCAGGTCGTAATGGAGTCTCCCTCTACTACTTGTTGCAAGAAGTGTGGTCGGTTTATGATCACAGGAGATCTTCATAGTATCTGCTGGAGGTGCAGAGAGGCGATATGCACAGAGGAGGCAAGATGCGAACAGTGCGCCAAAACATCTAAGAAAGCCTACTTAAAGTTAGATGAGGCTGTAACTAAGTTTAAAAGGTGTGAAGTGGCCAAGAAAAAGGTTGAAGTCATCAGGCCTATGATTCTACCCTAGCGACTCCTACACCTACTCCAGCAGAAGAATCATCTCTTGCGCTCTCCATAAGTCTGATACAACAACTATTCAAGCAACAGCAGGAGATGATGAAGGTGATGCTTTAGACACAGTGCTCAGCTTTAAACGAAGATATGGAGATTATAAAGAGTAGACAGATAGTATTGGTTTAGAAGAGTCCCCTGGTCAAGAGACCGCTTGGGTGACAGCCATCTGTGTTTGCAACATCTATAGCTGTAGGTCCTACCCCAGCCGACCATACTGACCAGCTGACCATCAAGTCAGCCTTCCGACCAGCAGGGTAGAAGCTTTCAAGCTTTACCCTACCATGATACACGGTCAGCTAGATCTTCGCGTGGGTCCCGTCAGGATACCGCAGGGCCATACTCCCCAGCTAAGACCCCATACAGTTGCCACACAGACTCCATGGTAAACCTGCCGACCGTCCAGCCGACCGTATGATCACCATGAACCGATGGTACCCAAGCCAGCCGCATGGTCCACATGGGAGCGTCCAACCGACCATCCAGCCGACTACAAGCACAGATTTGTTCAAGGGCTGTTTCCAGGTAAACCAAGAGGTTGATAATATCACAACAAATATCTGCTCCAAAGACATTCAACGGCAAATTGAGACATGTCATAGACGAAGTCAGACAAGAAACAAGGGAACGATTCCAAGCATCAACTATCAGCCTAGCTGCCAAGGCACATGTATCTACCCATCCCCAGATGCTTTACTGGGATCAGAAGGATTCCGCATATAAACAGTCTCCTAAGAATAAGTTTGTCCCCTCCCAGAAGGATTCATTCCAACCGACTCAGGGATAAAACAAGCGTCAGTCTTCTCAGGAATCTTTTTGTCAGTCCGACTACAAGACACGAGGATCCTATTGCGGGGCAGAGGTGAACACAGATTCTGACTTCATTGCTGCCCATTCTGACGTTATAGACCCTTTCGACCAGGTTATGTCTATGGACTGTGATTTACGCCTACCCTCTTTCAACATGATGATGCTGACTCCCCCCCATTGGGGGGGCATCTTCTATCATACGCCAAAAATTGGAAGCAGATTACCCCCGACCACTAGGTCCTAGACGTCGTTGCTCACAGATACAAACTGCATTTCAACAAACATCCTATCTTGAAATCCCCAGCCATCGGACACAGATTTCATCTAGTCGGAGCCAAGCTAGAGGCAGCAGATCTGGCCATCAGGAAGCTATTAAAGAAGTGTGCCATTCGGAGACTAGCGGAGACCAACAAGACCAAAGGATTCTCCGGTATTCCTACTTCCGAAAAAAATAATACAACTGTCATGAGGATGATAATCGACTTATAGACTCTCAACAAGAAATTCCTGGTAACTCTGCCAAAGTTCCGTATCCATAGGGAAGTTACAGTCGACTTTTAAGACAGGAGATTGGCTCATCAGCCTCGACCTACAAGATGCATATCTTCACGTCCCGATACACCCATCATCACAGAAATACCTGCACTTCGCAATCAGTGGTTGATGTTATGAGTTACAGGTTTTACCATTCCGGATATCAATAGACCCTTGGCTATTTACCAGGATTACAGTGCTAGTCATCAGCTTTGCACACCTCCAGCTAGTACAAATCCATGGCTACCTGGACGATTTCCTGGCTACAGACCAAGAGGAAGCTCATTTACACTAGAACATGCTATTTCTGGTCCAGCTCATGACCTACCTAGGCTTCCTAGTCAATCCCTCCAAGTCCAAGACCACTCTGGTTCAAGACATCATATACATCGGAGCGCGTTTCCAACTACACCAGGGATATCTGTGTCCACCAGAAGATCGATTTGGCAAGACGATTACGATGATTCAATCCCTGTCAAGTCCAGCAGGTCTCTGGGATGGTGGATGTCAGATTCGGGATGGGGAGCCCATATGGACGATCTCACGGTACAGGGAACCTGGAGCCCCGGAGAAAAGACCCTTCATATCAACTGCAGGGTATTGAAGGCCATCTTTTACGCCATCCTGGCATGGAAGATACTTCTCTCCAAATCATCATCTTCATAGCAATGGACAACACCACAGTAGTGGCTTACATCCAGAAACAAGAACAACCAGATCCAGCTCCTGATGACGGAGACTACACAATTGTTTGCCTCAGCAGACTCCTTGAATTGCCGGATGGAAGCGAGACATATACCCGGGAAACCTTACATCCCCAGATCTTTACTTGGATAACCACGTTATGGGACACACCACATCTAGATCTATTTGCCACCTGCCAGAACCATCAACTTCCGGGTTTATGTCAGCCCAGTTCCCGACAAAAGATGTCACCAGATCGATGCGCTATCGGTGGATTGTACAGGTCTATTTGCTTCAAAATTCACATTATGGTCTCTCCTGGACAAGGTCATCAACTAGGTAAAGGAGATGGATTGCATGATAATCCTGATAGCATCAATCTGGCCCAGCATTATTAAGACTACTAATGGAAGAATCTCTCAGGCGAGATCTGTTACGAGGATCCGCCACCGGCAGCATCAGAGGGTGAGTACACCCTTGATTATTCTGTCTATTAGGTGTAGGATGGATTAGAAGCACCTTGAGCATCAACTGCCTCCAGTAGACCGGAAGTGACATTATCACCAGAAGTGAGAACATAACCGGAAGTGATATCAGCACCTGAAATAGCAGAACAAAGGCCAATCTTATTAGGAAATGACATCTTTGGTAGAAATAGACCTTGTGAGACATCATTACCTAGTTAAAGGGATGTGACAAACCGGAAGTGACGTCAGCACCGGTATTAGTGTCACAAATCCAAATATAACAAGAAATGCCGTCATTAAGCAGAAATAGACCAGAAATTACATCATTTTACAAACAAGATCAGAAATATAACAGTAATTATAGTGAAATTATCACATATTAGACTGATTCTTGATACATTTATGATTTTCAAGTCCTCAGGGGGAATTTCAGAGGAAATTATCCGAGTTGGGATTAAAATCAGTAAACAATGGTTTCCAGAAGAGGATTACTGTCAGTTACACAGGGAATTACTAGAGGCAGATCCCACAGGGTCCCTCTTGTATATTCTGTCAGAGATGTAATAGAGGAAGAGGTTTTTAAGAATTATCGAACAATAGTTATCATTGTTAATACTTCTAAGAATACTACCTCTATTACATCCGAAGTACTCCCCCCCCACCTCCCCAATTCATCTACCTCTGGTAGTTAGATCTGGGGAAAAAGTGAGATTGCCGCCATTGCATACATCATAGCTTGGATGGTTACGATGCTATCGGGTAGTTGTGTGTAATTGACAGTGAAGAGGACATCTGTTGAAATTCTGAAAATCTTAGTTAGTGTGACTGAAGCCAAAATACAGGATTTATGGCAGAGATGTAATAGAGGTAGTAGTCTTAGAATTATTAACAATGATAACTATTGTTCGATTTTTGCTGACATTAGTAACAAATGTAGAGACTTTGACTTCATTGTCCTTAACAAACATATTGATAACAATATTACAAAACCCACTGAAACTGAAAAGTATCTTTTATATTCCAAACACTTATGACATACTAGTACCTACCTGTGATTGAACAGTACTCTCTCTGGTACCATCCAGTTGTTGTATAGAGTGTAGTTACTTAGACTGTCCAGGTTTCAGTTAGTTATTTCTTATCTCTGTCATTATAAAATATCTGGTTCAAAATTTCTCTGATATTGCCCCTGTGGCAACTGAACCAAGGAGTTGTAGGTAGGATGACAAATCCATATGCGTCAGACGTTTCACCAATTTCTGAATGGATGTTACATACATGTTATTGAAATAAAGATGTTACAACGTTTTAGATTGTTTCCTTAGTGAATTTGTAGCATTTGTTCCAGATCATCGAACCTTTAAGCGGACTATACCACCACCACTTAAACCAGGAATTTCTAACTTGATTGTCTGCCCTCAAGGTGAGATAGGGCTACAAGTGCCCATTTTATGTGTGTTATCATAAGCATATACGATCGTTTACTTACGTAAACAGTCTTGTTGACGTAATGAGCTCATACCTCAAATTTATTGTCACAAAATTTGATGCACATGATTTTCCCTTATTGATATTATGCAACTTTTCATTTGTAGCTGACATGCTGAATGCTGTTGTATACATGTACAAACATTCAGAGGAAGAGCCACTTCCTCAGCATGATGAAGTCCTTCTGTGCACGCCACAAACTACCTTTGACCAGGTAAATTTTAACTGATTACTGTTTCATACAGTGTCATTATTGCCAGATCCATTTTTTCAAAAGCAATTGAACTGAATTGTTCACATAAGTTCCACAAGTGGCTCTCATGAAGAGATGTCACTAAAGATCCCACCTCCACACCTGATGTCTTTGCTAAAGCTTTTAGTGATGACATTTTTCTCTACCAAAGCTTGACCTCACATAATTCTGATATCATCACATGTTTTATATATCAATGGTGAGAATGTTAGTCATTTGGGAAAATTATTAAAAGCTGCCACAGGAGCAAAATGTGCTTTTGATGTAGCTCCACTCTCTGCTCTCAAACCACCTATCATTAATATAATGTGAGTCCATGATTTTGAGGATACTTCCCAGTTTGGCAACATATAACAATTACGAGTAAATTGAAAAGTGATCATCAGTACCTGTGCATTATCTTTCTTTAGAATCAGATCACCATCATTACTTTTGTGGCATTTGACATATTGTGTTTGTGTATTAATGAAATTGAATCCTAAAATTACAAATTTTCAAATGGTCAAATAATGTCAGATGAATTATCTAAAATTATTAGGTTGATATCTTCCTGCGTCGAGCCTTCTTCAGCAACCCTGGCAAGTTGTATACAATGGCCAATGCTGATCTGCTGCAGTATGAGATAGAGGAGAGGGCAGAGAAGAAGCTCAAAGAGTATGCAAACAGAGAAGAAGGTACAAATCAGTTATATATTTTCACAAAATAATGTGACTCCATACAACTGGCCTCTCTTCTTTTCATAAATCTTGAAGTTAATGTTCCAAGACTAAGTAGGCAATGAATTTCATTTAAGATGTTGTTTGTTGTTGGGTTGAGTTGAGAAAATCAAAACAAAATTACTACATTTTTATTTTTTTACTTTCGCAAACTTGAGGGGAGGCCCCACTGTTAGACAGGAAAATAAGCTTACTGAGTGCAAAGGATTTGTGCTTGATATCAGTGTAAAATTTTATATTTTTATTTTCCATAAGTACCATTTCATGATTGATGTGCTTTTATCGATTGTTATGGTGTTTTCAGGTCTTGACTATCAGCTTGTGATCTTGTGTTCTACTGAGAATGAGTTCAAAGCAAGAATTGTGGCAGCTCTTGAAAGACAGAGATGCCCTCCACCTCCACTGCAACACTTGGAAGATATAAGACACTACCTGCAGTTGAAGTTTTCACAGAAGTATGAAAAACGGGGAATGACATCTGCCTCAGGATTAGATTTCGATGGGTATGAGTTTTATTCAAAAGATAGTTGTGAGATACTAAGATATGCAGTGAATTGAGGGTTCTAGGGAAGACAATTAAAACACATGTTTGGAGCAAAACTTCTAAGAGAGATCTGATTGTGGTGTAATTAATATTTGTTAAGGAAGTTTTGTTTCATTTCCAATATTTTTCAGTTCCACAGTGCGGGTGATCAAGTCCAAGAGAGCTGGTGTGGGGAAGACCTTGTACAAGAAGCGCCAGGTGGAGGCACTGCAGCGTCTGAACCCTAGAGTCCCTGCTACATCAGTGTCCATACATCTGTATGAGAAAAGTGTGTCTACAATGGCTGTGGCAGAGAAACTGCTGGATCATACACTGCAGTCTGGACAAGTCCTACCAAGAATATTCCACCTGGACATCTCATATGAGGTGAGCTACACTCACCTTTGTAGTGTCTCGTATCCTTGAATAGGTTTTAAACTAGAAGGCCTAAGTATATCTGCATTGAATGAAATGAGCATGTAAACATCACCAGTTAAACAATGTCACGTTGACTGTTGCAGGTTCAGGAAGGTGTCGACTATCTCCTCTTCAACCTGCTGGTTCTGGGCTCTATCAGCAACAACATGGGACATGTCTGGCTCAAGTCTCCCCTGGACTTGTATCTGGTGGAGACCATCCCCATCACAGATGTCAGACAGGACAGGGTATGTATCTGTCAATATCGAGAGTGAAAGGCTGTATGTAATACTGTGTATCTGGTGGAGACCATCCCCATCACAGATGTCAGACAGGACAGGGTATGTATCTGTCCATATCTGGAGAGTGAAAGGCTCTATGTAATACTGTGTATCTGGTGGAGACCATCACAGATGTCAGACAGGACAGGGTATGCATCTGTCCATATCTGGAGAGTGAAAGGCTGTATGTAATACTGTGTATCTGGTGGAGACCATCCCCATCACAGATGTCAGACAGGACAGGGTATGTATCTGTCCATATCTGGAGAGTGAAAGGCTGTATGTAATACTGTTTATCTGGTGGAGACCATCCCCATCACAGATGTCAGACAGGACAGGGTATGTATCTGTCAATATCTGGAGAGTGAAAGGCTGTATGTAATACTGTTTATCTGGTGGAGACCATCCCCATCACAGATGTCAGACAGGACAGGGTATGTATCTGTCCATATCTGGAGAGTGAAAGGCTCTATGTAATACTGTGTATCTGGTGGAGACCATCACAGATGTCAGACAGGACAGGGTATGCATCTGTCCATATCTGGAGAGTGAAAGGCTGTATGTAATACTGTGTATCTGGTGGAGACCATCCCCATCACAGATGTCAGACAGGACAGGGTATGTATCTGTCCATATCTGGAGAGTGAAAGGCTGTATGTAATACTGTTTATCTGGTGGAGACCATCCCCATCACAGATGTCAGACAGGACAGGGTATGTATCTGTCCATATCTGGAGAGTGAAAGGCTGTATGTAATACTGTGTATCTAGTGGAGACCATCCCCATCACAGATGTCAGACAGGACAGGGTATGTATCTGTCCATATCTGGAGAGTGAAAGGCTGTATGCAATAATGTGTATCTGGTAGAGAATATCTCCATCGCATATGTCAGACAGGCCAGGTTGTGCATCTGTCAATATCGAGAGTGAAAGGCTGTATGCAATAATGTGTATCTGGTGTAGACCATCCCCATCACAGATGTTAGACAGGATAGGTATGTATCTGTCAATATTTGGGGAGTGAAAGGCTGTATGTAGTAATGTGTGTCTGGTGGAGACCACCACAGATGTCAGACAGGACAGGGTTGTATCTGTCAAAATTGGGAGAGTGTATACAATGCATATATGGCAGTTTTCATATCATACATTACCCCATAGCAACACAAGACGCCCATATCAACCCGAGGGCATATACCACATCAAATTGTAAAATGTATCTCTTTACAAGTGAATGCAATACAATACATGTTCACCTTGTTTGTAAGACATCGTCACAGGAATGCTAGCCAAGCAGATGATGCACTATGGGATGTAACTCCTGTTTCTTACCACCCAGGCAGATATCGATTGTCCATTCAAAATGCATTGACAAGCCATATCAGGTGTAATACAGGTCTGGTTATTTCACCCCCTCATCTCCATGTTGGCTCTATCACACATGCAAAATACCTCATACCATTGATGGGTATATGATAATGATATTTGATCTTTATCTTCTTTTATCAGTTATCTGTGCTAGTAATTAAATGATCTCTAATGACTGATATGTGTGCTTGAGGTGTATAATATTCATTTATGTTATCTCCAGAGAGCCAGTCAGCGTTTGATACATTCCATACTGGAAGTCCTGCCTGATGTTTTCTGCTGGTCTCCTCAAGACAGTCAGCAAATACTCACCACAGACAACAAACCTGAAGGTCAGACTTTCCACTGTAACCTATGTAAAATATTTCAGTCAACAAGCCCGCTCTTTCAGAAAATTGTAGTTTTATAATATTAACTATTATTAGCAGAGCTTATTAGACCGAGCAGAGTTTGACTGTACTCGTCTTTGGAAAAGTGGATAAAGTCACAGCTTGCTACTGTAATATATTGTCCTGACTGTTCCTTCAGATCACCTCCTTCCAATTCTCAGAGCTGTTTTTCTATTAATCTCACAATGAGTTTACTTTGTGAATTATCTTTTCATTAAATAATATTAACGTATGTTGTCTTTGGAAAGATTTTTTTAAGAAATATTCTTCATCTGTTATTTTCTTCAGATTACTCTAATAATGACAGGCTGTTTGATGACATAGAGTTTCAAAGCCAAGTTTACCAGCGCCCCTTTCAGTATCTGAAGAGAATGAACATCAAAGCCAATCTAGCTGAAATCAACCCTGCTGTACCAGAAGGGTCACATCAAGAATGTCTCAACGTCCTTCTACAGTGAGTGCTGGTGCTAAAGTACTGTCGGAAATGCTAGAAAACTTTTGCCTGTTAAAGAAGGATATAATTTTTCACAGACTGTTGTTATTGAAATATCTAGTAACTACGGAAAGCCCTACCTGTGGTTTGAAGTATTTCAGTGACAAGGAGTCCTATCGACAAGTTTACAGGAGACAAATTCGAACGAAAACAGGTAGTTCACATTTATTCAAAGTCCAATGATGGCAGTCTGAAACGGACTATAGAAATATGGGCACGTGATTCCATTATAATGATAATAATGCAGTCTTCATAAAACATCTAATTCACCCACAAAAATCATTTGGAGAAAATTCTAGATGTGCATCTTCTAAAATGACAAAATGACGCTGCGTTTGTTTTGCTAACATTGCTCCCATGATGCATGTTACATTACACTTGCATAGCCATAACCATGGTAGACGATTTGGAGTCTGTACTGGAAAATGTATACAAGTTCTTTACACTTTAGAGAGAAAGAGGGAAACCATTTATTAATTTAGATGAATTATCGAACTGCCCAAGCTATGGGGTTTTCAATTCATACGATCAAGTCTACAGTATGATAAGAAAACAAAACAGGTATAGGGGTGGTCTCAAAGACAAAACTGGGACGTAAAAGGAATTAGACAGCTTTGATACAGGGTGATTGGGCGTATAGTGTATGAGCAGAAGGTAATCCTGACTTGTAGTAGAATTTGGGAGGAATTAAAGATACAATTAATGTTTCCTGGACTACACTCACTATTGCTCTCCAAGAGATGGGATTTCGATACACTGCGCGTGGCGATGACCGAGCACTTTTCAGGGGAAAATATTACATCCCGTCTATTACTATTAGGTCACATTATCTCCGAACCATTCATAACTATAACAGTCAAGGTGTCAAGATAAATTAATAACTAGGGATTTTCATAAGGAAATTATAGGAGGTGATGTGTTCATAGACTGGCTGGAACTTCAGCTATTGCCCATTTTAAACAACGTCATTGTCATTGTCCTGGATAATGCCAGTTAATATATAACGTCCGGGAATCAGAAACTGTTGCCCAAACCATGAGTAGTCTGAAGGCGACCATACAGGAATATATGACATTGTCGACCTCAGACCACAGTTCAACTCATGGAGAAAATTTGGCTGAATAAGAAACCAGTAAAGTACAAGACATATGTGCTGGCGGCACAACACGGTTACGTTTTCTTGCGTACACCAGTCAGACATTTTGAGCTCAACCCTGTTGTGCTCATCTTGGCTAAGTGTAACGGGTTCGTAGCAAGACATAGCACAACATTCAAAAGTACAGATTCATATACGTCATCAGCGGAGATAAATGCTACCTCAAGAAACCATCTGTGGAACAATGAATACTTCTGGATTACAAAACCACAACCTTCCAATACTCATCCCATTTCATAGCTCTGTACTAGTCTATCATGATTCCATGCAAATATAATGCAGTACATATCCCAAATTGCTACCCCATGAACGCATGTCAATTAAGTACAATAACAGCAATATTTTGAGACCACCCCCAACTCGGTGACATTTGCACCTGGGAGAATGCATGGGACGGTGTGAGGTCATCACTTCAGGACAGGTGTTTGGTAATTACCTCAGCTAATAGGCCATTTCATACATGCATGACAACACACAATTTCTTTCTAAGTTGATCATCATTTTACCTATAAAAGTACATTTTAAGGGTAATCACAATGGCAGTTAGGACATGCTAGATTAGGTCAATTTGCGTTATTTTGATGTATGCTCTTTTCATAGTCCTGTGACTCGTATTTATTAAACAAAGCCAGAAAAGGAGTTTTCTAGCATTTCCGACAGTACTTTAGATTGTTTTCTGTTGATGTTGTTGATATTATTATCAATTGATAAATTCAACACTTTGGAAGTGTTACCAATTCTCTTGTGGTATTCTAGTTTTCTCATCAACTTGATAATGATTCTAAAAAATGTTTTACCTTTTGTATAGTTTTTCTATGATCACTCAACAAACTTAGAATATGATTCTAAAAAATGTGTTGCCATTTGTATTGTCCCTCTTTGATTTCTCAACAAACTTAGAATATGATTCTAAAAAATGTGGTTGGTCAGGTAGCCTTGTGGTTAAAGCGTTTGCTCGTCACGCTGAAGACCTTCGTTCGATTCTCGACATGGGTACAATGTGTGAAGCCCATATCTTGTTGTCCCTCGCCATGATATTGCTGGAATATTGCTAAAAGTGGCATAAAATCATATTCACTCACTCTAAAAAATGTGTTGCCATTTGTATTTTCCTTCTATAATTACTCAACAAACTTAGAATATGAGTCTAAAAATGTGTTGCCATTTGTATATGATTACTCATATATTATTTTCAACTTCAGACACTGTGGAGTACGAGACCCAGCTTGGTCTGAGCTTCACAACTTTGTGTGGTTCCTGAATACTCAGCTGGTGGACTTTGAGAACTCCATCTTCTGTTCAGACCTCATTTTGGAGGATCTACCTGGCTTCCCTGTGTTGGTGCTGCACTTCCTTATCCAGATGTCAAGGGTAAGTGTGCAGATTAATTAATAACTACCACAAAGACTTCATGTTCTTCTCATCACTTAAAAAAACCTATATCCTTATAAAACTATACACACATATTGACCAGTGATTTAGTAGTGACTTTATATTTTATTGAATGTTTCAATGGGAGGAACATTTCATATATATATATTTTCAAGGTGACTTGAGGAATTTCAAATCTTGACAATATGCTCTTTCCTTGGAGATAAATGATAGACGGCTTAGACATGTTTCTGAACACACATTCCAACTTTGCAGATATCTTCATCAAACTATTCTAGTTTACATTTATGGTTCAGTTATTGTCCCCCGCCGCGCGAAAGCACGAAGCGGGGGATATAGTATTCACGACCGTCCGTACGTCCCACCTGTTTGTTGCCGCGATATCTCAAGAACTAAACACTGGATTGTCTTCATATTTGGAACTATGGTGTATATACAAATTCCACAGACACCAGTCAGTTTTGGTGACCTTGACCCCATTTTCAAGGTCACAGCAGGCAAATCTGCTTTTGGAGTTGGAAAACGGTGTTGACGCGATATCTCAAGAACTAAACACTGGATTGTCTTCATATTTGGAACTATGGTGTATATACAGACACCGCATACACCAGTCGGTTTTGGTGACCTTGACCCCATTTTCAAGGTCACAGCAGGCAAATCTGCTTTTGGAGTTGGAAAACGGTGTTGCCGCGATATCTCAAGAACTAAACACTGGATTGTCTTCATATTTGGAACTATGGTGTACATACAGACTCCGCAGACACCAGTCGGTTTTGGTGACCTTGATCCCATTTTCAAGGTCACAGCAGGCAAATCTGCTTTTGGAGTTGGAAAACGGTGTTGCCGCGATATCTCAAGAACTAAACACTGGATTGTCTTCATATTTGGAACTATGGTGTATATACAGACATCGCAGACACCAGTGGGTTTTGGTGACCTTGACCCCATTTTCAAGGTCACAGCAGGCAAATCTGCTTTTGGAGTTGGAAAACGGTGTTGCCGCAATATCTCAAGAACTAATCGCTGGATTGTCTTCATATTTGGAACTATGGTGTTTATACAGACACCGCATACACCAGTCGGTTTTGGTGACCTTGACCCCATTTTCAAGGTCATAGCAGGCAAATCTGTTTTTGGAGTTGGAAAACGGTGTTGCCGCAATATCTCATGAACTAATCGCTGGATTGTCTTCATATTTGGTACAATGGTGTATATACAGGCGGGGGACATTTCGTCACTTTGTGACAAATACTTGTTAATTTTTATATTTCTTTCTTTTGTTTTGTTTTGGGTTGGTTTTCTTCAGGAGGGAGGTGGATTTTTCAGCATTTTCACATTTCAAGTCATTAGATAACAGCTCTAATAGTCATTGGGTTATTTCTGATTATATTGTGGATGAAATAGGGAAAATGTGAATATAACAAGATGTCACATAAAGAAGGACGCAGTTCTCAAGTTTGGATGCTACCAATATTGTGTAGAGACTTCACATTTTGAAAACCACAATGTTTGCAAATGGAATAACTTTTAAACTTATCCTATCTCATACTTTGAATTTCTTCCTTCTTTTTCGATCCTGGTGTGGAAACAATCCAAGAACAAAGTTTCCAGCATGAAAAAACACATCCCCCAACACATCCCACTCATCACCATGGTCACCACCTTAAACAATAGGTCACGCACCACTGCAATCCGACCTGATCACCTGACATTCCCTGCACCCTCTTTCTCTTTCTAATCATTTGGTGTTAGGACGTACTAGAACACTAGAGAATTATTTTTTGTTTCTTTTTTGTGAGGTTTAGTGTATTATCTGTCTTCATATTACAACTGCTATAGACATTTTACTCGGGTATTTCACTCAGCCCGTCTTGCAAGATTGCGAACATACCTTTTCTCCTCATGACCCACACACCGTTTACTGTGACTGCCATGGCATGTGTTCTTTCAACAACCCATGTAAGCAATGTCATCTTCTCTCGAAGACAGATTTCAAGACCTACTTCCTGAAATGCCAGAAGCGTTCTGTTGATCTCCATTCCAAAGCATCCCTGAAGAAATTAGAACATGGCCTGTCTTCGGCAATAAAACCAAACTTGACAGTTTTCTCAGAGATCCAAATGCCTGCTTCATCATCATCTATCAAGACCAACTTGTCTACCATCACTTCATTGGCAATTGAAGATCTTATGATCATCATACTGATTCATCAGCCTTATCTCACAATGACTTCCAGACACTAGTCCAGGCTATGTCTATTGCTCTTGATCAGAGTGAATTTGACACAGACAGATCTATGACTTTGCATGCTCCATCTACCTCAAGGGCTCCTTCTGGACCAGATGTTACCGCCGACCAACCTCAGTCTGTTTCCGTCACTGTCTCCAAGTAGTTTTGACACGATGGAACCACTGGACATTTTGTTCTGGATTGCGGACCAACTGGGACTTAGGTAGGCTCTCTAAGGATGATCATCTATCTGGGTTTGTCATGTCTGAAGTCCTGTTGACTTTGCCGTGAAGAAGGTTTTCTCTTGGTCGGGCTCCAACCTGCATCATCCCTCGCTCTTTTTCGCCGGCATAAAGACAAGCTTCAAACCCCATGATTCAACCCATCCGACAGGGGCAGGCATGGCATTTTCTCCCTTACATCTACCTTGGAATTGGATGGCGACATCCACGTTATCAACCGAAATGTTCTTCCCACACCTCCATTGTTGAAGACTGGACCTGGCTCATCAGGATCTTAATGTCTTGTGTTCACTTCCTCTTTTGTCTACCTTCCTATCAGCCACAGAAGCTGTTGCTGTGTTAGTAGCACATGCCCGTTCGTTCAAGGAGGTCATATCCTTGTTGCGATCATCTTAGTACATGAAAAGTTCTCAATTGTCATGGTCCTCATCACTCCATGTGTGCTGTCACCACACTATGTCGCCGGCGAATCATGCAGTCCTGCCCATGGGAGGATCACTTTAAGACCCACCTCAACCAGGTACCTTAGTCCTCGCTGTTACTGTTTGCTAATAGGATCCAGGCAGTGGCCAAGGATACTCAACTACAGGTCTCTGTAGATCTCCCAAAGCTCATCTGGCAACAATTAGAGGATCAGCAATGTCCTAAAAAGCGGTGCCAACCCCACTATCTTCCGGCCCAAAGAGACATCCAGGAAGCTTACATTAATAAAAGGGGCTCCTTACGTCAGAAAGGATATCCTGTACAAAGCCATAGGGGATCCAAAGTGTCTAGTTCCAGATCCGTGTCCTTTACTCCAGGACCAGCATCTGGAGAGTCTAGTAAGTCAGTGACTGCTTTACCAGAATCCCATAGGTGGAAGACTTCAATATTTTGTTGCAAAATGGAACATGAAGGGCGACTCCTTTGCATTGAAGCTCCTTGCTGGAGGATACCAGCTTCCATTAGCAGTTTAGCCTTCCATCACCACCTGCCCAATGCAACACGACAGTATGCTGCCAACCAACTAGCAGCCCGTCAGCGTAGATGTTGATATGGGAATACTCCAGTATTGCGAATCGTTTCTTGTACCTACAGGAAAAAATAGTTTTTTAATTAATTTTTTTAAGCTATTTTATCTTTATGATTCTTCCATCGGATTTCCAGACAAGTTCCCAGAAGGAGGCTATACATACCCATCTGTAGAAGCTTATGCCTTTGTCATTAAAATCACCATCTGGTGCCGCCATTTGTTTAATTGGTGTCCTGAATCTTCTACCTGCTCACCTCTTGTCATTGTACAAGTGAAGTCTGAATAGTTGGTTGAAGACCTGTTGCGGTATTGTCAATCGTTTCCTCATCTCTGCGGATGTAATTGATAGCTTTGACAAAGCATAACAAGAGATGCCAAACTGGCCCGCCTTACATCCTTGGGAGCTTAATGTGGGTGGTTTGTCTTATAGAACTTTCCATCCCTTAAAAGGGGGGTAGGTTAAAGTTATGGTTGAATAGGCTTCAAAGCTACACAGTCATTCCCTAGATCCACATCCGGCGCGAAACCACGGAACACATGTTTTACCTGAGATCATATTGTCTCTGTCTTATTATTTTCAACATTCTAAGTTTCATGATACTCATTGGATTTAATTCATTGTTTAGAACCAGTTTCCTTGTGTATGTCTCATGGTTGAGGTCCTTTTACAGGCTATGGTATCTGCACCCCACAATCCTCAGCCATAAGTGCATAGTGTGAGATAGGACAAGTTTAAAAATGTGACACTTTTATAATAAATTGTGAATTTGTATATTTATCCTATTTCACACACAAGATGCCCATCCAGCCATCACAGTCACACCAGCCTGTACATTCCAGAAAGAGAATGAGGGTGCAGGGAATGTCAGGTGATCAGGTCACATGGTGTTGGGTCACATGGGATTGCAGTGGTACATGGCATGCGTTCAATAGGCCGGGGCGCTTTCTTAGCGCTCTCTGTGGACATTCGGGTGCAATCGAACGGTGTGTCAAGCAGAGGGTGCGGTTTTTGAAATGGCGTGATTTAGCAATATTGTTGAACATTGTGTATGTAAAGTTTTTTTGTTAAGAATAAAGATACAATAAAATTACCGTTAGTTAGACAGTCACAGATTAGATAACACAACTTTATTTTATGGCATTATCGTGATATACGTCGGACCAAACTCAGACTTTTTTAACATAGACTGTGATTGTGTTGATTCGCCGCTGATTGCGTACAGCCAAATGTCAGTGACACTTGACACTTGAGTGAGATTTCGCAGTTTGCTGCACAAGTCACTTATTAGTGGTGGATAGGCCTTGTCCGGGATCCGATATCAGTTCGCTATATCCGTTAGTTCGCTGTAGAGAGTTCATTATGTATGTAAATTTTATATGATAATATAAAGGAGTTAAATCGAGGATTTTGTAACAGTTCGTTGTATCCCTTTGTATGCATAGTGTAAGATTCAACTAAATGGATCGGTGACTTGGTGGATTGTGTTTCGTTGTACCCTGCCAATCGTTACCACTAGAATCCCCCGACGGCATGGGAGGTTGTCCAAAACAACCACTGGTAAAGTTGTCAGGGTCAAAATTGATTACTTACAGGCCACCCTGATATCCCTAGACTGCAGTAAAAATGAACAAATCGCAATGTTTTAGATTTATTTAAGGGAAGACAGACTCCTATGAAAATATCTGAAGTTACGTTTTCGACAAGTGAAGGTTTATATCGCATAATAATATATGTCAATTGTTTACAAAAAGAAATCATATGAGTGTTATTGGGACAAAACTGCAACTTGTTCACAAACAGACGCATGAAAAGGATTTTTTTCTGTGCTGAAATTAAGATGGGTTGCAAGGAAAAATACTCTGTGATGCGAGGGGCTTCAAAAATGCAACTAAAACAATTGTGTTTTCCTGGTTTGAACAAGTGACAAGTCTTCCCATAAATGTTATCTCTAACGTGGTGGTATCAAACTTCACCACTGAGTGCTTGTATGTCTAACAAGTTTGTCCAAGTCCGCCATCTTTGTCCCTCGGCGTGCCTCCTCCTCAGTATGTGCGGAGGCGCTGGAAAGCGCGCTCAGCGTGCGTTTCGTTCATTTGGAAATATTCGGAGGTGCTCGCTAGTGCTTTCTGGCACCTCGTCACCAAACGGCTTATTGAATGCACCTATGGTCTATTATTTAAGGTGGTGACTATATTGATGAGTGGGATATGTTGGAGTTGTTTTTAAGCTGGAAACTTTGTTCTAGGATCATTTCCACACAAGGATCAAAGAAGAAGGAAGAAATACATAGTGTGATATTTTTATATACAATTTATTGTAAAATGTTCAATTTTTTCTTTGCCTGCACCAAGGACTTTGCAACCAGGTCACTAGTGATGAGTGAAGAGTCACCTCTGGACCAGCTGAATGTTCAAGAGAGAGAAGAAGATCTTGCACAGTTTCAGATGAAGCGGACATGGGAAAGCAGGTTTGATGTTATATGTTTGAAAACCTTTTATGCACAGGACCGCCTCCGTGGTCTTGTGGTAGAGCGTCCGCCCGGAGAGCGGAAGGTCCAGGGTTCGATCCCGGGCCGCGTCATACAAAAAGACGTTAAAAGATTGTACTTGTTGTTACCCTGTCTGGCGCTCGGCATTAAGGGGCTAAAACAAGGACTGGTCGGCTCGGAGTCAGTATACTGTGTCTGAGTGGGGTATTCATGTTAAACTGCGGCATGGTATCTCAGTGAGCTAGCACTATAAATCGGCATCAGTCCGGACTAGTACAAGCAGCCACACACACACATACACGTGCATGCACGTCGCTATATAAGTGCAATAATCTTGGACGCGACGTTAAACCCAATTTCACCTCACCTCACCTTTTATGCACATCTAATTGTTTGGAGTAATGTTTTGGATGTTTAACAAAGTGATTATGATGATTATCCAAAATAGGTTCTTGCGAGATGATAAAAAAGCCCTCTTCCCTATGTAGCAGAGCGTAGAGTCTTCCCACAGATGACATCCTTACCATGTCAGCTTGCTGACAGAGTTAACCTCTTTGGTTATGTGGACAATGAAATCAGAAGGTCCGTGGTTCGAATCCCATCACCTGCATAATTTATGTTCATATTTTTTACCAATGTTTAATAGGATTTTGACTTTAGTCTATAATCAAAATCTAACCGTACAAATATTCAAACTGTTTCCAGCCCTCACCCTTACATTTTCTTCAACCCTGATGGCCACACCATGACTTTCCTTGGCTTCAACATTGACCGCCAGACTGGGAACATGGTGGACCAGCAGACACAGAAGGTGCTGGAGAGAAATCTTGTACCCAAACCACTACAAGAAGCACTGATCAGAAACAGGGTCAACATCAATGAGAACTTTGATCAGATGCAAAGGTAAGTTGAAGAATTATGGTAAATGTAATGGAATGTCATCATTATTGTTGAAAGCTATTTAAGGATTTTGAATAGTTGCTTTTTTGTGTAATTGATCCTATGACCTAAAGCTCTGTTTTGTGCAAATTACTGCCTATAGCATATGTGAATAAGACAGGTTATTTTGTCTAAATTTAGACTTGAGCGATTGGCTAAGCTGTGCAGTGTGATGCCAGGTGTTGACTTCGTACATGACCCTGACGACACATATGAGCTGACAACAGACAATGTCAAGAAGATTCTTGCAATTTACATGAGATTTAGGTAAGTATTTACAAGATTTTTTAATTGCATTTAATGCCAAATGTGTGACAATAATACTAATACCTGCAAGTTACATGTGAGGTAAATGATACAAGGTCTATGGTTGCTTCTACAGGTGTGGAATCCCAGTGATAATCATGGGAGAGACAGGATGTGGGAAGACAAGACTGGTCAAGTTCATGTGTGCCTTACAGTGCATGCCAGGCTCCGACATGAAAAATATGGTCATTATGAAGGTAAAACTATATGTGAGACGAGTGAAGTAAGGTAATTGGTTCTCACAGTGTTGTGTGGAGATGATTGTTGCTTTGTTGGTTGGTCATGACTAAGATCCAGTAAATTCTCCCATTGTTGATACAAAGCCCGTTAATTCTTGTGAATACTATATTATACAACACCATTGGCGTAATCCTGTACTTTTGCTATAATCACACGATAACAAAAATCTTCTGATTTTCAACAGAAATCCTCTTCACTGTCACTGTCAACTAATTAGTCGTACCCGTAATGGTACAAACAGTTTACAGCTCTTCCGGGTGCAAAGAAGTGAAAATCCTCAATTCTTTTCTGTGTGTTGTAGAGGAAAAATCAACTTTTCTAAGTCTTGTATTCTCCAGCACTAGGTAGTGTTTTCCCACTGTAGACTACGGGGTGGTCAAGTAGCCTAGTGGTTAAAGCTTGTCATGATGGAGATCCGTGTTCAATTCCTGACATGGGTACAATGTATGAAGCCCATATCTGGTGTCCCCGGCCGTGATATTGCTGGAATATTGCTAAAAGCAGAGTAAAACCTTACTTACTCATGGTAAATGAGCTAGTTTTCAGTATTTTCCAGTTGTTAGTTACATAGTAATTCAACTGATTTCAGTAAGTTGGTTAATTGTTACTCATGTAAGTATTAAAGTTGGGTGGTGTGTTGTGAGTTCCGACATGGCATCATCAGCCTCCCAGGCCATATGCAAGAAGTGTGGTCAGTTCATGGTCTCGGAGGATCCTCATGCTACCTGCTGGAAGTGCTGTGAAGTTAACTGCACTGAAGAATCCAGGTGTGATGAATGCGCCTCCCTCTTCCAAGCCAGCCTTCAACAAGCTTACTGACTCCATCAAGACGGCTAAGCGCAAAGAAGACAGTAGACATGCTCATGTCTCTCTCTTCAATATATTCTGTACCCTCTGAGCCGCTGCCTATCTATGATGCCGAAGACACCTACCCAGTCTGAGTCTGCCTTCTCAATCAACGTGTTTGAGCAATAATTTGTGAAGCAGAAATCAGCCATTGATTAAGCACTTGCTGCCTGACTGTGTTTTCTACTGAGCTGGAACAACTGAAACAAGTAGAACAGGTTCAGAAGTTGTTCATCCATGTATCTTATCCTTACTTTCAATGTGTTATATGCTTCCTGTCACTTACAACATAAAAAAAGAAAGACTGTGGTCTTTATGGGTTATGAAACTAGGTCATGAAAATGTTATATCAAAACCCAGACCCATGACAGAATCAGTGCAGAGAGTTAGCTTCATTATGTTGTGTTGTGTTAAGATTGTACGTATTGCTGAAACTCAATTTAAAGTGCTGAACACACCATACTTGTGTGCTATCGTGCAGTCAGTATGTACTTTTGGATGAATAAAAGTGGTCCTTGAAAACAAATGTTCAAATTCCAAACTGCCATGGTCCCCATAGGACTCTCAAGATTATCATGCTATTGACCTGTGTGCACTACGGAACTCAGACACTCTTCCAACTCCATCTCGACCACTGCTTGGACCCCACAAGGCCGCGGGTACCATGTCATCTGTCATTAAGCACGGAAAGCAAAATAAACGGTTATGGGATTATCCTGGGCACCGCATGGACTCTGTGGGTAACAACTCATCATTCGTTGTAGACACTTGAGACTACAAGAGCTTCAAGAAAACCACCATCACAAGAAGTGACGCAGGGCTTGCTGTCGGCAATCCAAATGGATATATTGATAGTCAACCTACCAACCCGGGTACCGTTTACTGTGTCAACTGTATCACGACCGTACAATCTCAACTTGAACCACACAGAGACCATCATCTTACCTCCACTGACAACCAATTGACAAGTTCAACCATTGGAGACAACAATGAGGTTTGATAGATGAAGCAGTAATAATGCCCATGGTAGCAGATTGCCTTTTACACCCCATCAAGACAGCAAGTTTTTGGCACCATAGAAGGGTATAGATCAACACTACATTCTGTTTTACACCAATCATCCTTTCTTAAATAGGATGTGATCTTTTCTTCTGGAGGATGTTTGATCACCCTGGATCTTCCCAAAATAGATCTTGTCCATTGTACTGTCTGCCCTCCTTGCAGACCCTCATGAACCTCTTGCTAAAGCTACCTTGCTTCAAAAGTCTAGAAAAGCTGCATTTCTTCTTACCATGGCTACAGCAAGTAGAGTTTGAGAAATTCTTGCCTTAGACTATTCAAGTCTCACTCATGCGAATTACTGGGCGCTTAATTACCATCAGATCACTTCCTGAATTCCTCAATCAATAAACTACTATACTCTTAGGCCACACATTACCCCTCCTGGTCATAGCGCGAACTGTAGACCATTTGGATTGTCTCTGTCTCTGTCCTATGCGGGTTCACAAGTATTACATAGTGGCTACAGACCCAACGGGAGACATAGAAAGAGATTGTTCATCTCTTGTAAGACTCATTCCGACAAAGATATCAATGAAGCAACAGTTTCTGGGTGGCTCGAGTCCACTATTGCCACAAGTTATCATCAAGCTCAAGATTCTACTCCCATACTTGGTTCCTTTTCAGCCCAGGAGATCAGAGCATTAGCTACGAGCCTTGCTTCATGCACATCTGTGTCAGTAGAACAAGTTATATAAGTATCCAGCTGCCAATAGGGAAATTGCAACACATTCACCAACTTCTATCTTTGTGATGTACAACCAGACTTAGTGGCAGCTGAAACTATCCATATCATCTCTCAATAGTTTTCATCCTTCTATGGAAAAGGGGTGGGATGGATGGGGGTTGGGCAAGTATCACCATTAGCATCAGAAGGTAAGTAGACCTTTATTTCCTTATTAGCTACTGAGTGTGGGATAAGCCCTGATCAATAACTTAATCAAGCCATAAGTATTGATATCAGAGTGACCGGAAATAATGGTTCTAAGTGACATCATAATTGGAGGTGAAATGGGGTTAAATGTCGCATTCAAGATTATTCTACTTATATATAGTGACATGCAAGCGTGTGTGTGCGTGTGTGGCTGCTTGTACAAGTTCGGACTAAACCCAAATTTAAAGTGCTAGCCCACTGAGATACCATGCCACAATTTAACATGAATACCCCACTCAGACACAGTATACTGACTCCTAGCTGACCAGTTCTTGTTTTAGCCCCTGAATGCCTAGCGCCAGGCAGGGTAACAACTGGTACTATCTTTTAACATCTCTTGGTAAGATGCGGCCTGGATTGACCACCCGACCTTCCTCACTCCGTGCAGTCTTATAATTGGAAGTGATGTCATTACCAGAAGTGATGTCATAACAGAAAGGGACGTCATAAGAGACTGGAAATGGCGTCATCATGATATAAGTAATACCAGAAGTGACGTCGGAGACAGTAAGAACAGGAATAAGGTCATAAGGAACCGGACATGGTGTCATCAAAATACTTAATGATGACACTAAACCCGGAATTGAAGTCAGAACCGGAAATGATGTGTTGATCAGAAATGACATCAGTTTTAGAACATCTGAAGATGTCAATAATATGAATATCAAATATAACAGTAAATCTAGTAATATCATCACATAGTTGACTGATTCATGATAGTATCTGGGGTCATATCCTCCTGAGTTGATTCATTACAAGTTATTTCCTTTAGGATTTGAAACTATCATTACAAGGGATTAATGATCTACTGTCAACTATGCCGGGAGCTTGCTGAAGGCAGAACCCACCAAACCCACCTATTCCTCTGGTATATTGTGGGAATGATGTAAATGTGGTATTCAGAAATAGTCCATCCCACCTCCCCTGTCATATAGTTGGTTGATGTTTGGAAAGAAGTGAGGATTTTCCAGCCTTTGCTCATTGAAGAGCTGTAACCTGCTTTGTGCTATTATGGGTACAAGTAGTTACTCGTATGTATAGTTGACAGTGAAGGGGACATCTGTTGATAATCTGAAGATTTTAGTTATAGTGTTATTACAGTCAAAATACAGGATTATGGCAATGATGTAATAGAGCTAGTGTTCTGAGAATTATTAACAATGATAACTATTGATTTGATTTTGGTGAGCCATGTCAGGAACACTGCTGAAACCAGCATGAAATATTTAGAACTGTGTACAAAGGAAATCTGTTTTGCAACGTACAGTGTTATACAGCAGTACACTCTACATGCAACTTACTTATTAAGAAACATTGTTGTAATTATATCACTGGTTCCATATTCGTCCATTAGTACTCAATCATTTTGATATGAAATCTTAGAGCAACTTATGTTATGTGGCTGATCTTGTTGGTATTTTAAGTTGTTGAATTCATGTCCAAAGGGTCTGCAGTGCTGTGTGACTATTTTCTAGGTGCATGGTGGCACAACCTCTGACGACATCATCAAGAAGGTCAAGCATGCAGAACAACTGGCCATTGCTAACAAGGCTAGGAACCCACACATGTACACTGTGCTGTTCTTTGATGAAGCAAACACAACAGAAGCCATTGGAATCATCAAGGAAATAATGTGTGATGGCTGTATGAATGGACAGCCACTGAAACTGTCGGAAAACCTGAAGATTGTGGCTGCCTGCAATCCTTACAGAAAGTATGTTTGAGAATATATTAAATTGTTTTTATTTGGCAAATATATCTTTCAGCATTTACTTTATGTGTTTTATTCACCATGTATAATCTGGGGCTGGTCTCACAAAGAAGTAAATTTATGTTAAAGCATAGGAGCTAGGTAGGGATGTCACGATACACGAGTCACATTATTATTAATTATTAATTTCAGGCATTCTGATGAGTTGATTCAGAGACTTGAAAAAGCCGGACTTGGCTATCATGTAGATGCTGACAAGACAACAGATAAGCTAGGTAAGCACCAGTGTATTTTCTGTACAGAAGAAAGAAAAACCTCATTATCACAATGTAAATTTTGGTTCTTTCTCAGAGCACTTGTTACATTCTAAAGCAATTATACTAATCCATTGGCTTATCAAGACAAGAAAATCTAAGTTAATACGTCCTCATAGCTCAAGCATTATGCCATTGAAAACAAACTTCTGTTCCTTTGGTACCTTGCTTTTGAATGTTTTGTTGTACTTTTTCATATGAGAGGAAATTCAATAGCCTGATTCGCATTGATATTCCTAATGACACATCCACAAGCAAATATGTCAGATGTGTTTGCTGATTCATACATGAAACATTTTAAGACAATTCTGTTGCAACAGGCCATGTCCCTATGAGGAGACTTGTGTACCGGGTTCAGCCTCTGCCACAGAGCATGCTGCCTCTTGTTTGGGACTTTGGCCAACTCAACATACAAGTGGAAGAACTCTACATCAGACAGATGGTCAACAGATATGTGAGATGATTTCACCAATTCACTATCTTTATTAATGCACACTGCAGCATGATACATGTAGTCATAAAGTACCAACCAAAATTCTCATTGAAAGACACATATATTTGGAAAATTTCCCTAACAATTGTTCTCATGAATATGAATACACTATATGAAATTATTTATAATCATGGCTGCAATGACAGCCATATCGAAAATGTCATATTGCCTATTTATACAGTCATTGAGCATGGATCAATGTGTATCATTATAAGAATTGGGCAAAATCTCAGGCTATTAGTGATTTGTCATCATATTTTCCTTTGCATACTTGTATTAATTATTAATGATTACAGAGTTTTGGGGAATGTAATACATGTTTGTGTAAATATATGTAAACTATTTTCAGTCTACTGTTAAATGTGCATTTATTTTACATAATCCAGATTCTTGAGATGAGCTACCTAGGTCTTAAGCTGTCTTTAATAAGCCTATTACTGGAAATGTTGTACACTCACTGAAAACATTGAAGTCTGATGTTTATTGCAGGTACGAAATGATCAGATACCATTACATCAAAACATGGTAAACGTGGTCAGTAAGATTCTAATAGCCTCTCAAGAGTTCATGAGAAAACAAGAGGTATGTGGGATTTTGCTGAAAATATGTTGTTTTTATAGCTCAATAATTCTGAATCGGTCAACATGATACTCAGACTATTGGCAGTGCATGCAAATAAGAAATGTATTACCTTGTATTAACTGGCCTGTGAAATCTTTTGAGGAATAGTTAGCATATATTTTTCTGATGGCTGTGTCCAATGTTTCAATATTTCAAGGAACTAAAAAGGTGCCTTCTTCTGTAGGATGAGTGCAGCTTTGTAAGTCTTCGTGATGTTGATCGGACCCTGAGTGTCATGTCCTGGTTCTACCAGCAGTCCCAGGAGAATGGAACACTATTTGAGATGATAGATGATGATCTGTGTCCTGAAAAGGACCCAGAAGAGGAGGAAGAAGAGACAGTTCAACAAAACAATTTGGTATTGATATGCACACTCATCATGTAAATTGATTTCAGCAGACAATCTTCATGGGACCTAATGGATCTTGATCTAAGATGTTCAAAAAACATATCCACCTGACTGACTACTCCTATCACAATATATAAAGTATACTTGTCACACTGGGTCTTATACACATGTAATATTGTTTATGATTACTCGTTGAAGATACCACTGATGATTACAATAAGCTGGTGTTACACAGTGTTTAATACCAAAGCGTGTGCTTATGTACTGCAGGAACTAGTTTCGCTAACAAATATTGAAAACTCTAAATATCACTGGGCTTGTTCAGTGACATTGCATGTAGAGATGATAGATCACTGAGAGGAGCTTATGCACACTCGATGACCCCAGCAACCTTGTTGCTAGGCTGATTGTTGCACGGGTGTATCTTGCAACAAAATTTCACAAATTTACATCATAGGGAAGAGCTCAAGATAAGCTGCGTATCTGCGTAAAATACGCAGCAGAAATGCAGTAATATGCAGTAAAATAAAATTCAAGCGTATCAAATACGCAACAAACTTTACAGATATGTTACAAAAATAAAACTTGTGCGTACATGTATCATCAAAATATTGTGAAGTAACCCTGCGTATTCGATTATCAAATCAGCAACTTATTTTGAAATTATAAACGGGCAATCTGTCAACCATGCCAAACTCCACGATGACAGTTACATCATGATCATTTGCCCTCACACTTTCTTGTGGAAGTATCGTGGTATTTTTGAGTATAAAGCTCTCGAACCCACACAACACCAGTTTGCAGCGACTAGATGTATAGTGGTTTTAAATATTTAGCTTAAATACCCACGTGTAAAAACTAGTGGGTAACAAAAATCCACTCAATCTTTATTCAAGACATACACGTTTAAAAAAATCTGTTATGGAAGTTTGAACTTTACCACATTTTGAGGTTTGAATTTTAAACATATGCTTACTGATGGTTTCCAGACGAGTGTTTTTCCTTAAACAGACAAATTTCCCTTTTTTTCGCGTGCTGTAACTGCGTGTCGCTTACGTTTCGCTGGTTGACAGGCCATACTCACAGTTTGAAGTCACAACTATTAATCAAATGGGATTACATGTACAATAAACAAGTTCGTCTCAACAGTAACTCAGTGTCACTTGGTTAATTGACTTCTCACGAATAAAAGGATTACCACCAGTGGAAGTGTATTGTCCGGGTAAGTTGGACAATTTTGTGTGTATTTCTGTGTTTTGTGTATGAAAATGACCATCCGGTTCCGGAAACTGAATTTCCGTATATACGGGTAAATTTATATAGTAATTATTTCGTTTTGAATGAACATCGTCCAGGAACCGAGGTTTCCGGATATCTGAAGTCCGTATCAGCGGGGCATGACTGTATATGCTTTTGCATTGTTCAATATTACAAGAGTAAAGGGCAAGGACCTCATGACACTGTGTTAGGTCAGTAGGTTGATCTTTAGATAAGAATAATATAAAATAAATTCTGTAACTTTAAAGATAAAAAAGTAATAGGAATATCATTAAATGACATTTTGCTTTCAGCCAAGTGATGTGACCAAAGCCCTGATCTTGGCACTAAGTGTGTGTTACCGAGCATCACTGAGAAGTCGGGAGGAATATGATCAACACATCTTCAGATATTTTCAGGATCCTTGTGGCATACCTGGTGGAATTGACCAGATGGTTCAAGTCATAAACAGGTAAACATCCATTTTCTCAGGTATCTTTTTATCAGTGGGTGAGTTGGGTTTAAAGATGATTTTGGTATATATTACATTAAGTAATACGTTACCACTGTTATACCGAGGCTGTTGTCTCCCACAACTGCTGCTATAGCGAAATCTACCACAGAGATCTCAATTACCTCATGCAGCACGTGCGTAGCCACCTAGCTGCCATGTGACACCCTTCACTCTTGTCTCCTTCACTTGCGTTAGCAAGACGTGTAATCCTCTGCTGAAGCGTTCCTCAAATATTCGGTGATATTTATTATAGTTATTCTCTAATAAACTGTGCTTTTATGGGGCGGTGCGGAAGCTACGCTTGGATATAATTTTCCCGCCAAACGGAGAATTTTCCCCGCCCTTTTTTCTCTATACTTCTTGTATGTTTTGGGGGTTAACATCACTTATTTCTCTATATGTTATATGTGTATGTTATATGTTCACATTGTTTGTTTATTTTCTTGTGAAAATGCTCGTTTGTGAATCATTGTGGTGCGTGCGTTGTAACCATGTTTTGCTCTTTGTTCATAGAATCAAACAAAAATGTCTGACATGGAAATGTCCCCGGTTGCAACCCCCTCTACCCCTGCTCCTCGGTGTTGCGGAGTGTGATCCCCATGATCGTTGCCCGCGGTGCAGGGTTCCTTGCGGGGACACCCGGTGCACCCTCTGCGAAGGTCTGGGGCCTGCAGAGTTTGAGCGTTACCGACTGTACGTCCAGTCCGTCTCCACCCCTGTGGTGGCCGGCTCGTCCGGTCAGGGTCCCCGTGTGGGTACCACCTCCTCTGCTGCGGCGGATCCCTTGGCGGCCCTCAGGCTGTCCGGGGATTCCGTTGCCGCATTGTTGTCTAAACTTGTGGACTCCAAGCTGGCGGCCTTATCTCAGGATAGGCCGCTGGCTGTTCCGTCCCTGGCCTCTTCGGTGGCCGCGGGTTCGGAAGCGGGGTCCACAGGTACGGCGGCGGCTGCCGTGGTCTCCGGTCCTTCCCCCGAACCGTTGCTCCCGCTATCAGTTAAGGACCACGTGGCCATGGTTTATGACCACCTCGAGGACATGCCAAAGCCCCTGCCGATACCGCGGGGAATCCACGGCTCCGTGGGTTCCTCCGAGGTGTACGACGATTCATCCGACAAGGCTTTCCCGGCATCAACCTTGCTGCGCGGGATTAAGCCTTCCCTGGAGTAGGCCTTCGCGGCTGCCTCCGGTCGGGGTCTCCCGTTACCTCCACCGTCGTGGAGAAAAGGGTCCTTCCCGGTGCATGACCTTGCCTTTCCCGAGGCTGGTCCTACCACCGAAGCCCATGTTGAGCGTTTGGGTGTCCATGCCCCACCGGCTGCCACGGTCCCACAAGGTACCTTGCAGCAGCTGGACACCCTCGCTCGACACTCCATGCTGGCAATGTCTCACAGAGACACATACCTGGCTGCAGCGGCCAGTCTGGTCGAAGGTTCTCCCACGGACCGAGACCAGCTCATTTATAAGTGCCTGCTCAGTTTAAATGCTTCTCTGGAGTACGTTGCCGGGGCTTCGGCCTTTATTTCCAGCACGTGCCATTTTCTCTGGCGCCAGACGTATCTGGTTGCCTCAGGGTTGGACGCTGCTAATCAGGAGGTGCTCCTTTCGCAGCCTTGGTCTGCTCGGACCCTGTTTAATAACGAGATCCCTGGGGTTCTGAAAGCACAACAGGCCGCTGTGTCTGCCGAGGCCTACCGGGCAATCATTGCCAAATTCTTAGCGGTGCAACAGACTGTTCACTTTTGGGAACAGCTGTTAGGGTTACTTGTGTCAGCCCAGGACTGCACCGAACAGGGTCGTCTCCAACTCCGCCCGCTGCAACGGTTTTTAATCCAGTTGTTAGCACAGGAGGTGAACAGTGCGACCATCGCCCTCCCGGATCGGCTCCGAACACATCTGGAGTGGTGGACGGTCCCTTACAATGTCTTATCAGGAGTCTCTATGCGGCCCTATCGGGCCATGTTGAACTTGTATACAGATGCCTCTCTAGTGGGCTGGGACGCCCATCTAGAGGGGGAGGTGAGCTCGGGGCTGTGGTGTGTAGACAAACTAGGTCTTCACATCAATTGTCTCGAGTTCAAGGCAGTGATCAACGCAGTCAATCACTGGAAGCATCGTCTCGTCGACGCCCGGCTCATGCGACCGACAACACGACGGTAGTGTCATATGTGAACAAACTGGGGGGAACCCACAGTCACTCGCTATTCGATCTCACGTTTCAACAATCAACTCCCGTTGTTTGTCCCGGACCCGAGGGCCATCGATCACGATGCTCTCGCGTTAGACTGGACGGGCTTGGACGCTTATGCTTACCCGCCAACAGCGTTGATACCACACATTCTAAGCCGGCTCCGAGGAGTTCGCTGTCGAATGTTACTGATCGCACCCATGTGGCCGAACAGATCGTGGTACCCCGACTTGCTGACCCAGGTCAAGCACTCGCCACTTCCACTGCCTGTGAGACCGGATCTCTTGATCCACCCTCACACCCGTCAGCTTCATCCAAACGCAGGGCAGTTCAATCTGCACGTGTGGATGTTGTCACCGAGCGTCTGAGGAGTAAAGGTTTTTCTCGTCGGGCGTCTCGGGCATACGTTAGTATGCATCGTGATTCTACCCAGAAGGTGTATAATGCACGTTGGGTTATTTTCACGAAGTGGTGTTGTAAACATCACATTCATCCGCCAGATAAGGTATCTCGTATTGCTCGTTTCATGTCTCACTTGCGAGAGACCCGGAAACTCTCCGGGGGTTCAATTGTCTCGTCCGTTGCTACGGTACGGGATGTTGCTATGGGTACCATTCTCTCCAAAGAGCAAGTGATACGGGGTATTATCAAGGGTTTCAAACAGCACGATCTTAAGAAGGGCCGGCATGGGATCTTTCCCTAGTGTTGCAATCACTTACGGAAGCTCCGTATGAACCCTTGCTTAGTGCTTCGTTCCGGCATGTGACTTGGAAAACAGCATTTCTCCTCTCCTTTGCCATCCGAAATTCATGCACTCGATGTCGCAAAGGTACGATTTGATAGGGGTGAATACACACACGGATACTGTGTTCTCATCCGCTGCAGCGATGAAATACCTATCCAGTGGGGCCGTTTGGAGTCCCCAATCGTTTTGGCAGTGACAATTGAGCCTTACGGTATGCCCTTGACAGTGCTTTGGTATTCCTATAGGGTAACGCCTAGCTAGGTGCATGCGCATCGAGTGCTTCCGCCTTGGTGTTTACTTCTGCTGGTCGGAAGGAACGCTAGCAGTCAGGATTCAGGTTGTAGGTGCTCCCCACCGCCTACTGTGGTAGTCAGCCTCGGTATAACAGTGGTAACGTATTACTTAATGTAATTTGTAGAATTTTCCTATTCGGAATATTCTATAAGTAATATGTTACCACTGGGCTGCTGCCCACCCGTCTGTCCCCCGAGCACTTGCTCTCGCAAGAGACAAGAGTGAAGGGTGTCACATAGCAGCTAGGTGGCTACGCACATGCTGCATGAGATAATTGAGATCTCTGTGGTAGATTTCGCTATAGCAGCAGTTGTGGGAGACAACAGCCTCGGTATAACAGTGGTAACGTATTACTTATAGAATATTCCGAATAGGAAAATTCCAAAAAAATTTCAGTCTGCTTGGAATACTTTACAGTGTCCATACACATGAGTTATCGCATCCTGCTCCACAATAGCGAAACCCTCTAGAACTGAACTTTCACAGAGTGCAGGCCTACCAATGAAAAGTGACAGACTGCAACAAAAAACTCATGTCTACAATACACAGGGAAATGGCCACAGAAAACAATGAGAACGTAACCAAAACCTAAGACACAGCATCATAAATCTGAGAGCACACTGCCGAAACATAGAAAAGGCAACACTAAAAAAGAGAGACCGCAGCATTCTAAAATTAGGCATGCGCAGAATAAGAGGGAAGTTGATTGCCATGTCATGAGGATCAACAAACAGCAAGTAAATTTACAGCGATAATTATAGAATATTCCAGATGTGTACCAGGAGTACTGGATCATGTGGAACAATATGCTCAGGAATAGGATTGTATTTCCTTCCATCGGTCTATTTTTGAATTTTTATTCCTCTTGAATATTTATACCTGGAACTAATTCATTGCTCACATAGGCCCGAGTGTGCGACTGGGATGGTTGCTGGGTGGCTATCTACTTCATGAGATGCTGATGCTCAGACTATTTTGGTGGCTGTTCATACAGCAAACCAGGCCTTGTTTGTATAACTCTGTCTAGATCAACAAATCTCTGCCAACCTTATCGAACCTGACTCTCCGTCATAAGACAACTGTGCTGAGGATACTCAATTTAGTCAGGACACCTAAGTTTGTATACCGAATCATCTAGTCTCCATGAAATACCTGAGGTTTCACATTTCACAAGTATCTGAACATTTCAATAGTCCAAGCATGCAATTCATATCTTTGCCTAGATGAAGGTTGCTTGTGTTCTTAAATAAATCTCAGGTAAGTGGAACTAGTCCTAGCACAATTGTTCAGTTTTCTTTGTGTAGAATTCAGTTTTCTTGGTATAGAATTCAATCCATTGAAAGCAAGAGTGGCACAAACCAGCCACTGTAAATTGGTGACATTTTTTTATCTAGCTGTCAAGTTCAGCCAGTTCAGCCAGTTCCTCAATTACATTGCCTGTTTGGTCAGAGGAAGTTATTTTCAAGGATACTTTTGTTGACAAAGATTTCCAAACAAGAGATTAAGTTCAGGTTCTCAGTTGTTCAAGGGCTCCAAGTGTGGTTTCTTCTGCAGAAGTGTCCCCTGTATCCAAAATGTGACCTTATTATGGAAATAGCAATCAGCTGTACACACACTTTCTCCCCGATCTACGGGTGATTTAGTTTTCAAAGTACTTAACTGAAAAGAATTTTTTATGCAGTAATAGGAAGACTTTGTACCTCTTACGACTACTGTTGATCAGTTCACACTCAATTTTCGCTGAAATCGCTGAAATGAATGTGAACAATATTCAATGAAATTTTAAACTAAAGTTACTGGTACATAATAGATTACAAACATAAGTCCAGATATACAATGAAGACTTTTATAACCAGATAGTGTATTAACAGTATTAACTTGCATACTTTAGTAACACAAGTAATTTGACATGCAGTGTTACGTGCTCACAGTAATGTCTTTACATTGTGAAGCTCATTGTATGCATGTATAGTGCTCACACCTGTAGTCAAAAACTGTTTTCCAGAGTACACTATTATTTTTGTTATTTTAAATCATTTTGATATTAATAGCAATATATGTATTTTGTGGTATTTGAAGATGTTTTCATGATCACACCTTGTATAATCAATGTTTTTTGGTGAAATTGTAAAGAAAAAATATGAAATGTAAAACTAATTCACCCTATATTAAAAAAAATAGGCAAAGAGTGACCATGAAAACATGTATGCATCACTTATCAAAGCACACAAATCTGGTTCATTGGTTGGTAAACATGGAAGATTTTTTGTGTTCTCTTGATAACATCAAGATTTATGAAGTTAAGTTTTGTGATTTACAAAAGAACAAGAACTGTCTGCAGATTTACCATGGTGACCACCACTAATCGCTTCAAATTGAACAAAGAGACAAATGTATCAGTATTTTACTCATCAAGGAATACAAATATGAAGGGAGGCGTTTTCCCAGGTTGATGGTACACACTGTTTATATGGTTGCATACTAGTTTGAACAACAAAAACAAAAAAGAGGCCACCCGTCTGCACTATTTTTTCAAAAGCCATTGCCTGAGAACAAATTTTAATTTTGTTCCTAAGCCTTACATTTTTGTTCTTGCATGAAAACTGGATAATTCTGACGCAAGTTCTTGATGTCTTTGATCAATTGCTTTTATCCTTTTAATGTCTTCTTTCTATTTATAATGCTTAGTTGGCTATGTGGAATTAAAAGGTGTGTTTTTTTCAGCTGTCAGAGAGTGTTTGTGGATGAGGTCCAGCTTGAAGATAACATAGCAAAGAACCAGGCCCTGAAGGAGAACCTGTTCATGATGGTTGTCTGTATTGAACTGAGGATCCCCCTTTTCCTGGTGGGAAAACCAGGCAGCTCCAAGTCCCTGGCCAAGACCATTGTTGCAGATGCTATGCAGGGCAACTCAGCCAGATCAGAGCTGTTCAAACAACTGAAACAGGTTTGTCATTTCAAGTGTATTTTCTTTTCTAGAACCAAGACCTTAACATCTTCTTTTGAGAGGAGTAAATATTTTGTCATCTTGTATCACACCTTGAATATGTTGACTGCAATAACACTCTTGTGATCAATATCAGAGTAGGTGAATAATTCCATAACTTCTATGACCAAGAATTCTTTGATTTTTCTGAAAAACAAATGTGAAAATAAGCAGATAAGCAAACTTGAAACATTGACCTCAGTATTTACATGTCAGTATCATATGATTGTAACAAGGATTTCGCTGACCTCTTGCAGGCCCAGATGGTGTCGTTCCAGTGCAGTCCTCTGGCCACTGCTGAAGGTATTGTCGGTACCTTCCGTCAGTGTGCTCGCTACCAACAGGACAAGGACCTGGACAGGTTTGTCTCCATCGTAGTTCTGGATGAAGTTGGTCTGGCAGAAGACTCACCAAGGATGCCCCTCAAGGTAAATCAGCAGAATGTTACAACATATTCACATCACTGTTTGGCTGTTTAATCTGAAAAGCTGAGGTCCTTTGGGAAATTTAGTCAAGTAAAAGAGGATCATGATTGTTTGTTGTTTAATGCCACAGTCAGAAATATTTTCAATTATGTCACAACAGCCTTTAAATAAATCAGTCATGACCGGTGATTGATAGCAATAGCAATGTCACGTGTCACATGGTTACTGGAGAGCTTTTCCCACCTAGACTTAGAATAGCTGCCCATGGGCATTACAGGTGTATGTATTGTAAAACAAATCTTGCTTGATTGTGATGCTTTGTCTGTCCACACATTTTGTTCATGTTCATAACCTGCATGAATTTCAATGCATTTTTCTCCAACAGAAAGCTGTTGTGGTGATGACTAAAATACTGTTAAGAGCTACATTCACTCACTCATTCTTACAGACACTTCACCCACTTTTGGAGGACGGTTGTCAGGGAGATGAAGCGCCAGAGCTATTCAAGAAGGTGAGAGAGGATCTTTGAGGAACTTTGTACATTGATTTGTACTTGCTCCTCTGTGTCACCTCAGTTCAATAATTTATAAGTACTTACCGGTAACAATTAAACTTTGAACATCTTGATGACATTCCAGGTTGCCTTCATTGGTATCTCCAACTGGGCCCTGGACCCTGCTAAGATGAACCGAGGAATCTTGGTGCAGAGAGAAGCCCCCAATGATTGGGAGCTGGTGGAGAGTGCTAAGTAAGTCAACTGGTAGAAACATGTTTTGGCTAATATTGACGTGGAAAAATGAGTAATACATTCTGCATGAAATCAGCGTTATAAACCATGATGTAGAATGTATCTTGAATATTGGTTTGCTAATATAACACAGTTTCAAGCAAAGGCATTTTTTTGTAGCAGACCTGTCAACCCGTCATCATGACAATTATATTTGTAGATTTCTATCATCATAAACCTCCTAGTCCCTGTTCTTAGTTTCGATTTCCTCAAATTGTCTCCCATAAAATGTTGGAGGGTTGTCAGGTTTGTTGTTATGTGATGATAATATGCCTTCACAAACGATAGGTTTTCTTCACTGGGTATGCCAGTTACATATGATATCTAATTTCAGAGGCATTTGCTCAGCTAATGAGATAGTACTCAGAAGAATCAAGCCTTTGCTGCCAGAGCTCGCTAATGCCTACAAGACAATATTCCATAGAGCACAAGATACGAAGAGAGAATTCTTTGGTCTCAGAGATTTCTACAGGTTTGTGGTTACTTTTATGCTTTGTTGACAGATAGTTGAGACATTTCTCTTCAGAACTGCTAATTGGTAAATTGATGTGCTAGCAGTTGGCTACCTGGCCTGTTGGTAGTCAGGGTATTAAAATCTGCATACTATTTCATTTTCCTGTGTTTGTTTGTTAACAATGCTCACACTCTGTTAATTCCAGCCTTGTGAAGATGGTTTATGCCTTTGCTGATAAACATGATCGAGACATTTGCTGGCATCAGTTGGTGCATGCTGTAAGGAGAAACTTTGGTGGCCTTGACAACCTGGACCCTGTTGTTGTGTTCAGGGACAAGATTGGTACAGTTCAAAAGCTGGAAGAGGTAAAAACAAATGTTTGGGTTCTGTATAATGGAATTGTGATTATTATGGTGGAACATAGTATTGTATTCATGAGGAAGATTACTTGTGGGGATTTAAACTCATTCATATACACTCAACATGTCTTTTCATGCAGTAATTATGTATTGTATATGATATTGTAACATCCCTTTATTCTTTATTTGTACTTCTAGCTCTGTTACATCGTACATGTGATACCTTTAGGATCCTGATTTTTTTTTTTATCTTTGATACTTAACTTGGTAATACATATATTACTTTCTTGCCTTGGTTAATGACATAGATTTTAGTAAATTATACTGAATTTGATTGATCTCCTTAATTTGTTCTCTGATAACATGCTTCTTGTCTACATGTTATAATGGCACAAGCCCTACCCTCCTGTTCCATCCGTAACAGAAACATCATGATGATCCTGACTCCACAACAATTGGGCTGATAGAAGATGGTCTTTTAGGTGATGGTACAAGCAGGTATGTATTTTGCAATAGAAATTGCAGTTTCTAAGTTTCAGTGTCTTAACAGTTTTTAAGAGTAGTCAGGGCACTAGGGCACATGAGGTCTTTTACCCCTGTACTTCAAACTAAAGCTTACATAAGGTTCTTAGATGCTGTCACTTTACTTAGTGTGGCTACATGTATAGGATCCTGGTGAATTTGTTGTTGTTTATACATACATTTCACATTACCTATGGAGATTCTAGTGCAGAACAGTTTCCTAGAACTACATACTGGTCATAAGAGACAAGTGAAACAGGCTTTGGGGGAGTCAAAAATAGATGCAGATCATGGATATTACTTGAATTATACTCCCATAGCATGGGTGACATCGTCTTGCTAAACTCTTTCAGCCAGTTACATACTGTAAGTTATGTGGTTTATAGTTCATTTCACTTACTCATATATTTGTGTTGATTGGTGTATAGAAGGAATAATATTGTTTTCAGTGAGAGCCGTTACCTGCTGTTGCTGACAGAGAACTACGGAGCTCTGAGCATCCTACAGCAAGAGATTTTAGCCAGACATAAAGTCATTACAATCTTTGGCTCAAGTTTTCCCAAGGACCAAGAATATACACAGGTTCATAGTTGAATCTTACTGAACAATAATATATTTTAAGAACTATCCTCTCTAAGAAAAATAGTATGTTAAACCGTACTTTGTGGCAGATACTACTTGTATTTACAGCCAATATTAAGTAGTTCTGATAAGCAATTCATCAAGTTTCTGATGACTTAAATAATATCATGTTCCAGGTGTGCCGTAACATCAACAGAATCAAGGTGTGCATGGAGACTGGCAGCACAGTGATCCTGTTGAACCTGGAGAATCTGTATGAGAGTCTTTATGATGCACTCAACCAGGTCAGTTGTCAACACTCTCCACTATATCAGAGTGGCAGAAGCTGTTTCTAACATTTATCCATAGTGTCTGTGAAGCTTCATAATACACATGGAAACTCTGCGTATCCCTTAAGGCCTGAAGTTGGAAGAGGATCCATACATATCACCTGTTAAATTTTATGATTGCAGTACTATGCCAGACTTGGAGGTGAACGTTTTGTTGATCTTGGACTTGGAACACACAGAGTAAAGTGCAGAGTTCATCAGAACTTCAAGTAAGCGCATGAACTGATTACAATACAATATGTTGCACATCTTTTTGAAATTTTCCCCCCTAATGACTTGAATGATGCACTGCACACACAAACAACCGAATAAGTTGCTGCAAGATTTGTATCAAAATAATATCTGTATTATTTTACAGACTGATTGTAGTAGCAGAAAAGCAGAAGGTGTACGAAGAGTTTCCAATACCGCTGATCAACCGCCTGGAGAAACACTTCCTGACACTCAACAACATGATGTCACCAGAGCAGATAGAACTGTCTCAGAAGCTGGAGAAGTGGGCAGTGGACTTTGTAACCTTCAAAACACCCCCACTGGGAAGGTAGGTTTTGGTGGACATGAGGAGAGTGACAATATATTATGTAAAAATAGGTGCTGCAGTTGTCCAATAGACAAACTGATAACACACATCCAGTGCTCACATTAAGCATAAACGTCAAGAGCTTCTTGGTATAACCCTCATGTTTGAAGGGAATACTTTAGGGGCCCCTAGTATCATTGAAATACAACAGCGAACAAACCTCAAGGAACCCATTGTAATTTCTAACATTGAACATCTAATCAACATCATGAAAATTGTTTGAAATATGTTTAGGAGACCAAAGAAAGGTTCCCCAGGAGATGCCTTCATGGGGTACCATCCAGACACAGCTGCCGCTGTTGTGCTTCAAGTCCTAGGGAGGGAGGACCGTATCGTCACCATTGAAGAAGAAGTGAGTAGCCCTTGAATACCGTAAAAATAATGTAGTGCAAACAGGTTACTTACCGGTAATTATAAACAGTTCTATATATATATATATATACTTCATTATGACAATAGATTTAATAATTAGAAAGTCAAATATTGAAGAGATCAATTTGAATATGAACTAAATAACTTAATGCCAAGGTCAAAGGTTATATGATGTTGACTACACATGGCATGCCACTAATTTCCAGACAAGAACTATTAGATACGTTAAACATTTAAGTCAAATTTAGAATGTAGACAGACTCTTTGTAAGCAGTTCAAGTTCAACTGGCAACTTGATCTTTCAATAATGAACAGCTTGGAAACATTACATCTAGATATTTAGCTGTGCCAAGCTCGGCTAATTATGGTTCACATAATAACACTAAAGTCTTCTGAAAACTATGTCAAGAGCCAAGTTTGTGCTGGTAGATTCAGGGATAGGAATAAGCACTAGCCCGCTAGCCAGGACCAGCTTTGCCAATGACAAAGTTATCCCAAGGGAAGCAGAATTTCAAACACTTTTTAGGTATTGTTATGAGCTATCACCATTCAGGCTAGTAGACTTGCTTGGTTATTTTCTATCCGTGAGATTCAAACCTTGTGGCACAAACTGCTGACAAAGCTAATTGTCATATAATCATGAATTTCATGAAAATTCAAGTCAAGTTTGTGTCAAGTTTGTGCTAGTAGATTCAAATGTTTTGGCACAGACTGCTGACAAAACTAGTTGTCTTATAATCATAAATTAAAATATTTGATAAACTAAGGCAATAAAAGAGATTCTTTTTAAACTGAAATTTCACAATTTGTACAGATGTTTAAAGAATGTCAGCAGACATTGTTGTGGTGTGCCACACCAGCATCAGTTGTCAGACTCGCCGAGCAGAAGCTGTATCTGGAAGCAAAGGATATCCACACACTCTACTGGCGCAACCAGAAACATGATGACATCTTCCAGTATCTTCAGTGGAAGATCGTGCAGCTAAAATGTCAGACCCTGCAAGCTCAGGTAGGACAGTACAGAACATGGGATCATGGGCATTCCAGGTTCCCAATAACTTGTGATTGTTGTAAAGGTTGATTAAAATGTTTAGTTTGATCAGACTCAGTGACCTCGATGGCATGGGATGCTGCCCATTAAAACAAACAATACTGATCATGTGATTGTTTATAAAGTAAGCAATGCATGTTTCATAATTTATAAATCTGAAGAGGGACATATTTCACTTATTTGATATGGGTTTTTTTTCATAAAGACATGTGACACTCAAACTTTCATATACTTTTAGGTAACAACTCACTCCAAGCTGCTGACAGACCAGGAGAAGGAGGACTTGAGCATACATCTGAGTCTGCCTCCCAACAACATCATCCTCCTCACACTGCAGTCCTTTGACACAGAGCAGCAGTTTGCACAGCAGATCAAGTAGGTGTCTCATGTCTTTGACAACCTCATTTCATTCATCTGTTGCCAGCAACCAAAGTTTGTCACAAAATAGAATGCATGGCCAAACCATTCAATATCATTCATTCTGTGAATTTCCTGTTTGTTCCAAGCCAGATTTATATGAATATATGCAACTATAAGAGTTGACTGCATTACCAATGTAAGACAAGGATTGTGCTTGTTTGTGTTGTTTTTCTGAAAAGGATTGCTGTTTGAATACTCATTGTTTCCAATGACAGAAACTTTGTGCAGCGGAGTGTGGAGGGTCAGAAACTGCTGCTAGTTCAGTGTGGATCTGGAGACAGGAACCAGTCTCTCATCAGGAGTGCCCAGTACTGTGTTCTGGATGAGCTGCATGATGCAAGACAGTTTGCTGTAGTCTTCATCATACAACTGCCTAATATTGCTGGAGGATGCTTCTCTGGCTTTCAGGTGAAGTCATATGTGTTAAAACTTCAAAATAGATACTTATCAACTTACAAAAAAATGAAAACAATTATAGTTCAGATTTGTTTAAAGGGCAAGTAAGGTGAAAAAAGTTATTCGATTTTGCTACAAATATGAATTATTAAGGATATATTATGTCAATTCCTAAGAGAAAATATATATTATTATTGATAGGAAGTTTTCAGATATCTAAGTGAAAGTGCTGACATCACACGCCCCATAATCGGAATCCTAAAAAAACTATCTGGGTGTGTGGTCTAAGCTACCGGTGCAGCGATGTATGACAATTGTTTTCATTGGCTGATATATATATATATATAGACTTGTTATGCTTAGCAGCTATACAGATATACCAGGAAGCAGTCAATCTACTAGTGTTGCTGGTTCTGTTAACCCTTCAAAAATAACATTGCATACATTGCTGAATGTGTGAAACAACCTTTGATATTGAAATTGTGAATAATGAAATTAAGAATTAATGTCTGTAACAAGCTTTTTACGACCAACATCCTACCATAAACAGTGACTTCCTACTTGTCCAACAGCTGGCCAAGGGATAATCCCCATCTTTTTTGTTTAAGCAATATACATCTGTACATCGCCTATTAGTTTCTTTAAGTTTTGGGAGATATTTACCAATTAGTTGTGTCATATGTGAGATGCCCCCTTAATCCCTCCATTGTTGAACCAATCACTATGCTAGGGTGAATTTGTACCCATAACAATAGGTGCTGGATAGTAGGAAGACCCCAAATAAACCACGAGGCAAACTGTGCGTCGTCCCAATCGTTAAAATTGCTTAGCACATTTTAAACACAGGTAATCCGTTTTAACCCCAGTAATGGGAATCCCCTTGGTGGCAGAATGTTTCCTTTGGGGGGCGATTTTGCCTATCATTTTTTATCGTCTGTTTTATGTTGTTTCCCCTTTTCAAACTAATTTTGCTCATCCATTTGTGATCAAGTATCTCCAAAAGTTACTATGTTGAGTTAGCTTGCCCTTTAAGGACTTAATGAACTGCATGATCTGGATATATGTATGTCTTCGAAATAGATATATTGCAAACAAAACTGCAGGTTTCTGGTGCATATATAGTTAGCTTAACTGGTCATATTTTCAAAGCCTAATGATAATATTATTATCAATATTCTTTCTTGTATATACACATTATTAGTATTAGGAGTATACTTCTTTCAATAACAGTTCTACTCTACTGTACGTTTAGAATCTGAATCTTTTTATGAGTAGGATAGATGTTTAACTTTAAGGAATGTAACAATCCTAATAAATACCTTCAGGCTGGGAAATGGCACTCATTACATCTAGATGAACTGCGACCACCAACTTCAGACCTGCCATCCATGGAGGTGCTTCACCAGAATTCACCGTCATCTATTCTTGAAGGACTGAAAAGCAATATGCCACCTACAAGTGTCCAACCTTCAGAGCAGAGGATTGAACCCATGGAGTATGAGGAAGATTTGATGGGGAATCTAGATGATCAAGAAGGTCAGAATACCAGACAGAGACATTCAGAGTTGATGGAAGTTGATGAATCTGTTAATTACCGCAGACAAGATCCATTAGAAATGGATGACATAACGCTAGAAGGAATGACATCAATGACAGACACTGTTGCTCCCTACTTCCAACACCTCCTTCTACCCTGCATCCAGTCCGCTGCTGCTCTCATCAGGGATGTAGAACTGGACACCAAACGCTCTACCAAGAGGATAGAGATCCTCCTGAAGCTCCTGGATAACACAGACAACGAAGGTCAGTGGTTGTTGATAATGACAAGTTCTTCCACTGTCAAGAAATATGCTATTGATATTTCTTTATCCCCTTGACATATGAGGGGTCACTGATCTCAGATTCATCTCCGACGATGATCCATGGATTTGTTCAAAGTGCTAAATGTCTCCTCACTTTGAGCATTCCTCTGTTGTTAACCTGACACAAAGTGATATTAATAATTTACTGCAATACCTTTATGGTTCAAAGCATTAAGTCCTACTCACTCTCTTTGGAGATGTGTTTCATATTTAGCTCACCTGACTGAAAGTCAAGTGAGCTTATGTCAAGGTCTGTTTGTTTGGCTTCCAGCGTCAACATCTGTAATCATCTTCTCAGAAACCACTGAACCAGTGAAACTGAAACTTTTCATGCATGTCCCCACCAAAGATGATTAAATTTGTTAGAGGTTCAAATCCAATTTTCATTGTGGCAAATTATATTTACATCCATTATAGATTCAGCCACATTTGTCATCACCATGTCAGTCCGTCCGCCCAGCCATCCATTTTTCATTTCCAGGGCAGAACTCCAAAACCGTTAAATATTTTTGGTTGAAACTTTCTATATAGATCAGTCTAGTGGGGAACTGTTGCCTTTTGGTGATTTAGGATCATCATTCTTTAATATATTTTTTTCATGATTGTTCATGATCAAAACAAGTTGCTTTCCGTTTCCGGCGCAGAACTCCAAAACCATTAAATGTTTTCTTGTTGAAATGTGCTATTGAGATCAGTCTATTGGGGAACTGGTGCATTTTGATGATTTGGGATTTTTTTAGGGGGTAGGGGATTTTGTTTTGTTCCATTAAGACAAGTTGGACTTAAACTGAAATGAGGGAAGTGCTTGTCTCCGGAGCAGAACTAAAAAGACATTGAATATTTCTGGAAACTTGCTATATAGATCAGTCTAGTGGTGAACTGGTGCCTCTTGATAATTTTGGATGTTTTTTTTAAATATTTTCTTTTGTTGTTTTCCTGACGACAGGTTAGACTTAACTGAAAATGAGGGAAGTGCTCATTTCTGGAGCAGAACTCTAAAACCATCAAATATTTCTGGATAAAACTTGCTATACAGATTTATCTGTTGGTAAAATGGTGCCTTTTGATGATTTGGCATGTTTATTAATTTTTTGTTGTTGTTGTTTTCATGACAAGTTGGACTTTTCTGAAAATGACGGTAGCTAGTGCTTGTTTCCGAAGCAGAACTCCAAACATATTTCTTGATGAAACTGGCTGTACAGATCAGTCTAGTAGTGAACTGGTGCCTCTTAATAATTGGGGATGTTTATTTTTATTCCCCGCCACGAAGTGGAAGGGGGATATAGGAATGGGTGCTGTCTATCCGTCCTTCCATCACGTTTCCTTTCCAGAGCATAACACAAAAACTATGAGAGATATCTTAACCAAAGTTAGCACAAAGATAGGTCTAGTGGTGAACTGGTGTCCTTTGGAAAAAAATTTGTTCCAGTGTCCATGGCAACGACTTTGACATAGACTGAAAATGGCGGTGGTGCTCATTTCCGAAACATGCCGTACCAATTACTGCTGCAACAGCCTCGTTTTCTGTGTCTGACAATGCTAAATCTGTCACGGTTGAAAGAAGTATCCAGGAACTTTAGCATCCACAAGTCTCAAGGTAGCACCTAAGAGCAGATGATTGGAAACATAACAATAACACAACAAAGTAAATTTCAAGCCCAGCCTGGTCAAGTATATACAATGCTCAGTCGGGTCAAATCAAGTAAAGGCCTAAAATTTGTAGGTTTTGATGAACATATAATTGTAGTAAACAAAAAAGAATTGGATTGCGGCATGAAAGACTGTTCACCTGGACACACCCTGTAGAGAACAGTCATAGTGATGGACTCAAGGTGGCTCACTTGAATATTCGATCATTCAATGCTCATTTCGAAGATGTGAAGAATGATAAGTTTGTCGGTGTGGTTCATGTTTTGTGTTTCACAGAAACTCACATCAATGATCACAGTAAAAGAGACCTCCAAGGATATCAAGTCTATACAGGAGACACTACACATGATATTGCTGTGTATGTTTCAACAAGTTTCAAGAACAGTGTCCAGCTATGTGATTTAATGTCATCCTGCAGTATTGAATACATTAATTTCCTTTCTTGTTGGCAAGTTCTGTATTGCTTGTGTGTATGTTCTTCCAAAAATGTCATGGACACGGTTGTCACATTCACTTACTGATTTCATGCAGAAACTTCAGGATCTCTCCAAGCAGCATAAATGTGAACATGTACTAGTTACTGGGGATTACAACTGTGATCTGAGTGAAAAACTTTGGGATTTTGAACAATTCTGAACAGCAAGATTTATTTCTTATATATTTAGGTAGCAGTTGGACTCAACACATGTTTTGTTTTTCGCAGTATTTTCGATTTGACCTTTGTGTAAAGATCTCTGCTTTTAAGATCTCTGAAAATGCATTCTTGGCTAAACATCTTCTGAAATTGCCCGACTGATGAAGCTGAACTTTAGCAAGTTTTGATAAGTGGCCAACTTTGCTGACATGTTTAACTGTTCAATACATATCCAGGTAAGCCACAGCTCCATGGCACTCTCTTTGCAGTGGAGTCTATTTGCTGGTCACATTTCTATTTTTGATTGTTTGCACAAGTTCTAATAGCTTTGGCGGTTGTCACTGACAAATATACCTATTGGGGCTAATTAAGGGAGATTTTGGCTCAGTGTTATCGGAATCCTTTTTATAAAAGTTTCCTGTGTGACCTCTTTAAGGATTAACTTTGATGTCACTACATCTGACTGCAGATGCCAAGATGTTCATGCAAGGCTTGTCCAAGCTCATCATCAGCCTCCTGAAAGAAAAAGAGGAATCACAGACTGGTATCTTGCCAACAAACTGGCTGTCTAAAGAAGCTGCCAGACCAGAGAATGTCAGAAAGGCTGGAACGTTCAGGTATGTTTATATCATTCACTATATCAAATTAGCATCTTGATAAGTGGTTATAGTTAAAATGCTGTTATTGACAAGTCTGTTTACATGAGCTATAATACTTTGTAGACGTGCTGCCATCCAGTGCCTTGAGAACAAAATGACCCCAGTACTGGCTCGAGTTCTGGCATTCCTTGATACCAGCAGGAACCTAGACTTCATGCATGCACCTGATGTTGCACCATGGACGAAAAGACTATGGCTGGCATTGCTCAACAACACCACAGTCTGTCATGACCAGTGTAAGAGGATCATCACCCCTGGCAACCAGTCCCAGCAGAGTGAGGTTGTACCACATCATTTTGGAGTCAGCAAATTGGTGTTTTCAGTTCAGATGCCATTTTTCTGGCTTCTCTTTGAAGGTGTTCAACTTGCTATTGGACAGTCAGAAGACATTGGCAATTCTTTTGATCAAGGTATATACAGTTTGTTTCTCCTTAGTCTTCTGTGTTTTAGCTTATCTTATTGTTATGACATATAGCTCTTGTGATTAGTGTTCATCTTGTAGAAACCAATACATCTACATGCTGGACTATACAGACATTATGATATAGTAATAAATTATGTATTGTCTTGCCACATCACAATTTGACACTCACAAGAGTAACCATATCGAGCAAGAAACTGACTACAACTAAAACATTGTAATTGATTTAGTTTTTGTGAGACATGTCTTTAAACAGATACACATGATTTTACAAGCTATATAGGATTATTGATGTTGTAAAGTAATGTATACTGTGTTTAACTACTTATCTAATCTATGTTTATTTGTCCTTAGATATTTTGGATTTCCATGTATTTTCCAAATTAAACAAGCTTAGCATAAAATGGAAACACTGTGTCAAAAGTTTGTTTAAACATTCTTTACCCCTTTTAATCTTTTGGTTTGCATTGTAAATATTTGGAAAAAGCTATTGCTGGTCATTTCCTGTTTGCGGTTATTTTGTTGAAGTATGTTCATTATTTTCATGATTGGAAGTGACAATCTTCTGAAAATATTGTCTATGTTTGCCTCATTTCAGACTCACATGACTCTTTGAGTTATGTGGAGAACATCGTCAACAAGACTCCGTATGGCGAAGTCCTGTCATCTGTTGTAAGAAAAGAAGAAAAAAGCGGGGTTGTGAGAGCATACCTTGAAGATTTTGTCCATACACTCTATTTTGGGAAAACAGATGAGTTTGAGGTAGATATATGTTCAGTATTATGTACAACAAGTTAATATTTGTTTAAGTGGTATAGCTGTAGTTCTGTATTGTATTGTTTCTGTTGAAGAAATCTGGTTCATATATTTCCCAGATTCTCTGTCATGCCTTTGAGAGTGCAGCCAGACAGAGAGGGAGAGACCTGGATTGTCTAGGAATTATACGAGCTGTAGTCTACATCCACGTTATCCACTCCGCTGCCAAAGAGAGGCTGCAGCTCTTCCTGGAGGTTGTCCAGGTCTGGCCGGAAGTTGTGACGGCTGTCATTGACTTGAAGGAGAGAGTAGGAGGGAACCCACTGCTCACAGATGATGAAATGGTAAACGCTTCAATGATGGGATTGCATATTGGATTCAGAATCCTAATATACAGGATGTTAAAACTCGTACAGTCACATACATGTATTTGATAACTCAAACACATTTAGCTGATAAATATCCCAAATTTGACATTTTGACTTGTTCATGTCAATAATTACTCCCTATTTCTACCAAATGAATTTGAGAATTAACTTCCATTATCAAAACACCATATGTAAATCTAACAAAATGCCCAGACATGTTGAAAGATTATTTGTTCAGTAACATGTGTTGCCCCCATGGCCAAAATGGGTATCATTATGTGACCTGGTTACATAGTTGTGTCATCATACCCTGACAGTGATATTTATATCATGCTGTCAATCACTGGCTTGTCTTTATCTGACAGACTGGAATGAGAAAAAATCAGATACTCCCGAGATTTATTTTGTATCATTACCATGTTTAGTATATGACAAGGTTTCACATGTAGGTTTTGAATTTCAAAATATTTCTATTCATAAATGTAGACTGTGCAATACTGTGTACCTAATTTACTTCAGACTTTGGATGTTCTGAGTCTGACACTTCTCATGGAGCAGCTGGAGCCAAGTAAGGATGAACTGAACACAGATAAAGGCCGATCAGACTGGATGGATCGTGTCAAGACATATCTGCCTGTGATAGGTAGAATCTTCAAGGCAACAGACACAGAGCTTACACATGGCAATGTGTGTCTCAGGGCAATGAATCATGCCAGGTAATTAAAGTTATGATAATTTTCTTATTCACAAAATTACGCCCTTTTCCCTCAAACCATTAAACAGGTTCAAATCAAAATTTATCCGAATATTTCTTTGTTCCACATCTATTCAGATGAAGTAATTACAATATGTTGAACTGTTTTCAGATGCAGTTGGATGCGAGTTATGACAATGAAACTGTTTCTGGAAAGTTTTACTGGAAATAAGAAGGTTCAGCTGGAGACGAGATGCATGCCTCTTTGGAAGGTAATTATTTCTCTCTGTAGTGTTATCAATAAAACTACAATAAATAAAATAGATCTGAAGTAAATAATTTGTAAATAATGAAAAGTATATTTTTCCTTTAAGTCATTTTATCAACCATTTGTATATTTGATCCAATTCAGTTACTTGCAGGTCATTGTGATTGAAATGTATTTGGTATTGATGTGTGTGGATAAACATATTCACTCAATTACCCTTTTCTGCAGATGCTTGGTGAACAGACTGATCTGACCAAACTAGAGTCACTTGAAAAAGTAGAGAAATTCTTGAAAATAGTCAACAAATCAGTTGTGAAGAAAATCAGTGGGTAGGTATTTTGGATCAGTGTGCTTTCAAAGGATCATAAAATACAGCAAAATGTTTTATTTTTTATAGATGCTTAATGCACACTTAACAAGGGTCTAAAGAAATGCAAATTTGAATCATTTAGGTTACTTTAATAAGTGGCATAGTGATATTATATGAAGAGGCAAATAAGGCTCTAATATGATTTTGCATTAAACCTTCATTTTACTTTGTAAAATATGTTGAATTACTGGCAAATATACACAAAGAAAAAATTAAGCACACCCCTATTTCTGAACCATGACAAATGGCAAAAATCATGGGATGACTGACCACAGGAGCTGGGCAATACCAATGTCATCGGATAGAACAAACATTTGACAACAAATAAAGAGGATATTGATGAGTTGTGATAGAAATTTACTGACAAAAACATCATGATAACACAGGTACTGTTTTTGACCTTAGACAATACCTAAAAAAAAGTATGGAGCTGCAGGATAAAGTAAACGAGTTACGTTTGATGTTACATATGAAAGTGTTCCTTAAAGTCTCTGCTTGACATGACACGTGAAACAGATCAGTAGTGGGTATAACTGCCACATGCCTGGATGATGCATACCACCCTACATTTCATGCCTCCAGTCAACAACAACCACTTCTGATGCAATGCTGCTTCCAATTGGCGTAAATCTTGTACAGGAGGATCTAGTATCCTGTATATCCCAAGCATGTTCAAGGGGGTTCAAATCTGGGCTCATTGCTGGCCAGGGTAAAGTTGTTTTTGCATTGGCCCTCATGTAATCCACGACTGCATGCGAACGAAGAGGCCTGGCATTGTCATCCATGTACCTAGGTCAAGTAGCAAGAGGGTGGTTGTCAAAATGAGGAAGGACGACTGGCCTCAAAACATCCCAGATGTACTGAGCCCCCTGTTAAGTTGCCCCTTATGGTGACCAAATCCAACCTGCAATCATAAGAGATACACCCCCAAATCATTACCGAGCCCCCTGCCGTATGCAACAGTTGGCTTAATGTTCCTGGGGTTGTGCCTACAAACTCTCATTCTTCCATCAGTGACGTGGAGCAGAAAGCAACTTTCGTCTAACCAATGGATACGTCTCAAAGTTCTCAGATTCCAGTTCTGTCCCGCAATACACTATGCTAAACGAGTAGCTTTGTGGTGATCTCTCAACAAGGGACGCTTTATGACTCGTCTAGCCCTTAGTCTTACTGCTTTCAGCCGGTTCCCTACGGTTCTGGTGCTGAAACGACAATTGGGCAACCACAGCTGTTTCAGACTTGTTAAAAAGGGTTCACGGCGTATGAGACAAAGAAGGTTCCTGTCTTCGTGATGTGTTGTCACAGGAGGTATTCCGGATCTGGGACAGTCCTCTACATCACCGGTCTGAGCATGTTTCTCGACTGAAAGGCTTACGACAGTGTGATGATACCCCAAATTCCGACCAATGGCATTACAAGACATTCCTGCATTATGCATGCCGATTATTTTCCATCTTGTGGCGTTTGATAATCGCCCCCATGCCATGGTCACACAATGTCATGGAATAACTGTTTAAAACCAAACTTCAGAAACATTTGGCTATACTGCTTTTTGAGATACTCGAAGGTAGCATGCTGCACGGGCATACCATGCATGGCACGTGAGCTCAAACAATAATGAAATATATTAGGGTGTGCTTAACTTTTTTCTTTGTGTATATTTGAAATCTAAGTAATATCACTGATTTACTTCTGATGGTTGGGGGGGCACGGGTGGCCCAGTCGTCTAAGGCAACGCGATTCGCTGTGCAGAGTTGCGTCCCTTGTGCATGCCAGAAACCTATGATTGTGGGTTCGAATCCTGGTTCGCCCCAATTATGTTTCTAGGTTTGTCAGCACCATACCCGTGCTCGTGGGTTTCACCGAAGTGGTAAACGTCTGAAACCTGCATCATTTCGGGCTTTCCTCACACATTAAGCTGACACGCCGCGATATGACTGGAATAATGTTAAAAGCGGCGTTAAACCCAACTCACTCACTCACTCTGATGGTTGACTTGGTCTTTGTAACATAATATCAGGTACCTTATTTATTTTACTTGCTGTTAATTAAAGGGCTTTTATTCTTTTCCAGGAAAATAGGTACTTGTAGTCACTGTGAATCAGAGTATGAAGCACCACCAGTAGAGCTTCCCTGCAAAGACAAGATCTGCCTACGTTGCTTCAATGACATCCAAGCCACAAGGGATTTATGTTGTCCTATTTGTAATAGTACAATCTCAAAGAAATTTCAACCTGGCAGTGGCCCATCACAACAAAAGTGAGATGTTATCCCAACAGGACGTTATACAAAATACTAGCTTCTATGAAGTTCCGACATCTCAATGCTGCAATATGTAATTTTACCTCCCCTAGTAAAAACAATAGGATTAAATTGTTTTTCATGCATGGGCTGTCATTGATGGATTTTAACAAATAAATAGATGAGTTAGGTAGGTCCAATAGCAAGCATAACAGGTGAAAAATATTTTGCTGTTCAATTATCAACATACATTTACCAATATAAAAACTGGTCTCTGGTTGATTTATGTATGATAACTTTATTTGTCCAATTAGAAATGAAGGATTTGGAAATAATTCAGCTTACTTGTAAGGTTCAATGCTCAGACGAAAGGGCAAAACTTGGTGAGGTACTTGTTTCATCTTTGACACATATTGACCTACTTATTGCAGCAACTTGATCAATTGTGTTGTACAGGGAAGTGTTCAAAGAATACCAAGAGTATCAGAAGTGCTGCAACAGCTTCCTCATGTCTGTGGTGTCCAAGCTGTGTTTTGGTGGAACAGAGCCTCCAGAGAGTGCTGTCATAGAAAGGATCTTCAGCTACATCACTCGCACTGTTGAGCAGGGGGGATCTGGCCAGACAGAGGAAAGGTTGCACACCAAACAAATGTCTGTGTTTGATGACATGATTGATCCCACACCTGTGGTTCGATCCTTTCTTCTTCAACTTCTCATACACAAGAGGTATATCTGTGATCTTTTTTAAGTCATAAGTTATAGTGTTAAGCTGGACATTCAGGTACCATATATAGTAACTATTATTTTTATGAACCTCCTCAAATAACTGCTCACTAATAACAATATTAAAATATATGCCCACTATGTTTACAAAAAGGTAATTAATCTGGATAGAAATGCTTTTGATCAAATGGATCAGTATTGGAATTACCGTGGTAGTGTAAAATCAACAACAATCTGTGTTAAAATATTGAAATTGTTACATATTAGTTCAACTTCTGAGTCTAATAACCACCCTTATATTCTAGATATTATCCCATGAAAGTTCCTTCTTTTACGTTTGGATTTGGTTTCACATCTAGGCACTGATTGCATAGATTACTGTAAATATTATAAGGAGCAAAGTTGAGAAATTACTACTTTTACACATGAATAAAAAGTCACACGAATGACAAAATAAAAAACAATCCTTCTGCCTTTGTGTAATCCTTATTGAAAGTGTTTCATCTTCAATGTTTTGATTGATATTACATAGATAGTATACAAAGTTGTTGAATAAAATTTTCTTTTTTTCAGTGAAGATATGGTGCAAACATACCTACAAGATTTTTTTCTCCAGGCTAAGAACCTGTGTGAACAAGAAAGAAGGGAGACATCCCAGGAAACTAAAGACAAAATTGTCCAGTTCAGTCTTCTTGTCATACACTGCTTTGAGGTATGTTAGCTACAGGATGAAATGATGTATGTGTACAAGTAATTAGTAGTCTTCTGATCATATGTTTATAATAGGTCCTTAAATGTTTTTAGAAATATTTTCTCAAATTTCAAAATATTTAAGTGATTTATTCTCAAAACCAGACTACTCAGAGAAGAAAGAACATGTGTCACTACAATAAGTGAGTGAGTGATTTGAGTTTAATGCCACTTTGAACAGTATTTCTGTTACATCATGGCATTCAGCTATGACGTTTATCACTTTGGTGAAACCCATTAGCATGGTTATGGTGCTGACACGTCTGGAAACATATTTGGTGCGAACCAGGATTTGAACCCACGATCATAGGTTTCTGCTGTGTCCAAGGGATGCAACTCTGCGCAGCGAATTACTTAGATGACTGGGCCTCTCCACTACAATTATATTCAGATTTTATCATAACATTTAGTTTATATGTCAGCTGCTCTTTTTCTCAATGTTTGAAAGAAAATCAAATTTTGAAGAGTATGACAGTGATCAAGCTTAGACTTTGTGTTGATGGTTTATTAATGACACCATGATCTGTACTCAACCTTCAGATTCAAAATGATAACTGTGAAAAATCTATAAGTCTATGGAAGCTAAAAACTTTGGATAATATGTCGCACTTTATTTGAATTATTTTAGGACGTTTGAATAAGGTGCTGAAGGTCATCTTCGAGTCATGTCTTATGTCTGGAAGATTTACAGTATCAAGTAAAATACTTTTGTATCTGAATGCCTAGTTTGGGATTAACGTGTATAATGTATAATTATTCCAGGACTTGTACCATGAGAAAGGGTCTCAGATAATGATATCATCAGAGGAGATGCGTACTGCTTGTTTCCGGCTGTCAGAAGGCAGAAGCTACATTCTCTCATCAGGTTTGGATATGGCCAAGCTGTTTATTATTGCCCAATGTAGATATGGTCTGTCAGTGACAGCCAAATATCTGCATGCAGTGTTTGTGAACAAGAGACCTTCTGTAGAGAATTTCAACAAACTGTTGGAAATGACTTCACAACTGCTGAGTGTCCAAGATACAGAATGGCCAAAGTAAGTATGTAATTAGCACCATGTTAATATTAGATTAAGTTAATATTGTTTAAATGGAAATCGTCTCTGTTTCAATATTAAAAAAAGGATTATCTTTGTTCAGAACCTACGGTAATTCCTTAGATTAGCTACCTCTATTTCATCATAGCCATTATTCCTGCTATTATTTGGCTAACATCACACTAATAAAATCCCTAGATTTTCAACAGACGTCCTCTTCACTGTCAGCCTCCCCACCAGTTGTTAGGTAAACTGTACCTCGGGAAAAGGCAATTCACACGTTGGGAATTGTCACTTCTTTCCTTTCCTTTCCTTTTGTTACAACACCTGACAACTTTCAGGCTATTAAATTGTCAACTTATACGACACATGAATCTCCCAACTCCATCAACGATGACTTCATCAGGTCGCTCTCGACTGGAAAGAGTGTCCCTATGACTGAGTTCAAGGACTTGATGATGGACTTATTCTAACTGGTTATTCTAAACTGGTTTGCTGCAGGGGTCCGTCATGTCTTACACCCTCTCCAAGAATCAGACACAGGTCTCCAAGTTTGCTTTGCTCACGCAACCTTGGAGAGTATCCTACGGATGCAAGAAGATCTCCTCTCTGTGCAATTATGGATGTGCAGCCAGCTCCAACTTACGCAGAGATGCCACCTGCTGGCTCAAGTTAGATCAAGAATATCTGAGCCCATCAATATCTCCCCTCAGACAACCATAATGCGACTACCCAGCATTGCTGTCGAGGGAGAGTGGGCCTGACCCAAGAGGCAGGATAGGTCACTGATTATCCCCCGCCGCGCGAAAGCGCGAAGCGGGGGATATAGTATTCACGACCGTCCGTCCGTACGTCCGTACGTCCGTCCGTACGTCCCACCTGTTTATTGCCGCGATATCTCAAGAACTAAACACTGGATTGTCTTCATATTTGGAACTATGGTGTATATACAGACTCCGCAGACACCAGTCGGTTTTGGTGACCTTGATCCCATTTTCAAGGTTACAGCAGACAAATCTGCTTTTAGAGTTGGAAAACGGTGTTGCCGCGATATCTCAAGAACTAAACACTGGATTGTCTTCATATTTGGAATTATGGTGTATATACAGACTCCGCAGACACCAGTCGGTTTTGGTGACCTTGATCCCATTTTCAAGGTCACAGCAGACAAATCTGCTTTTAGAGTTGGAAAACGGTGTTGCCGCGATATCTCAAGAACTAAACACTGGATTGTCTTCATATTTGGAACTATGGTGTATATACAGACTCCGCAGACACCAGTCGGTTTTGGTGACCTTGATCCCATTTTAAAGGTCACAGCAGGCAAATCTGCTTTTGGAGTTGGAAAACGGTGTTGCCGCGATATCTCAAGAACTAAACACTGGATTGTCTTCATATTTGGAACTATCGTGTATATACAGACACCGCAGACACCAGTCGGTTTTGGTGACCTTGACCCCATTGTCAAGGTCACAGCAGGCAAATCTGCTTTTGGAGTTAGAAAACGGTGTTGCCGCGATATCTCAAGAACTAAACACTGGATTGTCTTCATATTTGGAACTATAGTGTATATACAGACACCGCATACACCTGACAGATTTGGTGACCTTGACCCCATTTTCAAGGTCACAGCAGGCAAATCTGTTTTTGGAGTTGGAAAACGGTGTTGCCACAATATCTCAAGAACTAATCGCTGGATTGTCTTCATATTTGGTACTGTGGTGTACAGGCGGGGGATATTTCGTCACTCTGTGACAAATACTTGTTCTGACTTACAGGGAGGGGCAACTCTGCTATCAACAAATCATATCGATTTGGCTTTGTCTCTTGACCTCGATTTATCACCTACCGGACTTCAACTTGAGACCAACCCCAGGACTTGTGTGTAGATGTCTACGAGCCTATACTAACAATTGGCAGCTCATCATGTCTGACCCTAGGTTACTCGAGGTTGTTTATGTGGGATACAAGTTGTACTTTCACTAGCATCCAGCACTTGTATCCAGACCCTAGCATACCGGTAGTTGTTTCCATCTGGTAGGGACCAAGTTGGCAGCTACTAGAGAAGGAAGCAATTCATGCCAAAGCCAACTCAGATACCAGCCAAGGTTTATATTCCCCTGTATTCCTTGTTCTGAAAAAGAACACGTCAGAGATGCATATAATCATCTATCTGAATGTCAAAGACGTTCTAGTACGTCCGCCCAAGTTCCAGATGGAAACCATCAGAAAGTTCAGGACCACTATCCTGACAAGGGACTGGTCAGTCAGCTTAGAATGACAGGATGCATATCACAAAATGTCTTTATTGTTGACGGTATCTCTGTTTTGCTGTCAAAGGAAAGATAAAAGTTTTTTGTGCTCCCATTTGGCATATCGATAGACCCATGATTTTAACATTCCCTTGATATTTCTTCCACAAGACCAACACCTCTACATGGATGCATCGGGAGAGGGTTGGGGGCTTACATGGATGGAGATGCAGTCTAATGGACGTTGACAGATGTAGGCATGTCACATTCTAGGAAACTGAATGTGTTGGCCGTTTGTTGATCCAGGAGGAACAAGATCGTGTCAGTAGAGTGGTTCCCAAATCCTTTAAGTCTCCAAGTGGGTAACGAAGATTTGGGACACTCCCCATATCGTTTGTTTGTGAAGTGTCTCAACCACAAGCTCCCCATATATGTCAGTCCTGTAGATGAGTTGGGAGGGGATGCTCGCTTACTTATTTTGCCTTATTTTGTATTAACTTATACTGTAATGAATATGTCTTGCTGAAATTTGATTTACAGATTAGTCGAGAGGAGAACTGGTACCTTTTGATGATTTGGCATATTGAAAAATACTGAACATTATTCTTTTTGTATTTCATTAAACTAAAGGTATGTTATGGCAACTCAATTTCTGAATTGCACCAGACCAGGGGGATATGTCATCTCCTGATGACTGTTGTTTCAGTATAATGTTAGCCAAATTGCAGGAATTATGGCTCTGATGTAACAGAGGTACTATTCTTAGTAGTATACTCAATGATAACAATTGTTTGATTTCTGAATATAATTCTGACCCCTGATCTGTTGAGGGTCTAGATATTAAATAGACAGTATTTTATTAGCTAAGTAATGCTGTGCTTCAATATTTTGTGCTTGTACTTGGTGTTCGAATATAGAAAAGTGGTTCTCATATGTTCATTGTATTTTATGAAGACCATGTGCACAACTCTTGTTAATTTGACACTGCAGGAAATTCATTGCTTAAATAAGAACATGCATCCACTGTATCCACTGTCCTAAGTGGAAACCCTTTTCCTAAATAGGCCAATCTTAACACAACAATAGGAAAAAAGGGAGTCATAAGGAAAGATTTTGTTGTTGCTGATCACATTCTTTATGGTGTGTTTCAGGAAGTTCTTGGTGAAGCAGATATGTCGGGAGTTTGGGACTGACAGCTACCATGCTATCTGTGATACTGGCAAGGTGCCATGGCTGGCTCTGGATGTTACAGAGCAGGTGACTACTTAACTAAGATGGTATTGCAAAGTTAAGGCTTGTTTTGATGGCAACAAAAATATTTTCACCAAATCATATACATGGGGGTTGTTTGGGTTAGATATGGATTTAGGTTGAATTGCCTCCTACATCTGTCAACACATTGGTCACAGGTTTGCTTATTGATGTTCTCATGATACATTTATTGAATATAGATGGATTTAGACACAAGTCATATGTAAACAGATATGTTTGATAACCAGCTAATCAGTAATTGAGGTTAAGATCAGATAATAGTACCATAACAAGGGTTCCCAGACAATAACATCCTAAAACAATTGACTTATTTGACACAAATATAATTAGTATACCTGTTATATTTACTTATCCTGTCACATAAAGACATATTTTAAGATTGAATAATAGAATTGTGACTTTACAGCCTTGCACTCAACCAAATGTCTTATGTGTTAACTGGAAAGTGTTGCTTGTGTAAGGATTGGGAGAGTATCAGTGAGAGGTCAGAAAATGCTTTTTAGTGCAGGAATTCTGCAATTTGTAAAATGATAATCAAATTCAAATAAGCTATTTTGGCAGGGTATGTCATATGGTGAATATGGCATGTGCATCAGTATATCTGAAATTGCTCATAGTTGCATAGTTTACAGTTTTGAATACATTTTATGTTCTTTGTGTACAAGTAATCAAATACAAAATTCACTCTAAGTGTTTAAATACTTGACAGAAAAGTGCTTTAATCGTCCACCCCTTGATGTTAATTAAGGGTTCAGTTTCATGTTTGAATGCAATACTTTATGATTTTAGGTAAAGGAATGCCCAGATCGATTTGTGGTGTGTCTTGAAAACACCACGTACCAAAAAGTAAGAGAAGCTTTGGCTAAGACTCTCCTTGGTGAAGACATCAAGCACCTGAAACAACTAGTAAAGGTAATTGTTTAACATCTGATACTGTATTTCTTCTTCTTAACCTTTGATTTCTTTTAGACTCAAAGTGGTGACAATGTTTTGGAGGTTCTTGAGCATTGAATAGCCTGAAATGAATTCAGAACAGCCAAAAAATGTTCTAGCTGTTTATTTTTATTGACAGTGCTGCAGGGATTTTCAGTTCATTTCCCTGAAAGATGCATAATTGCAACTTAAATTATGGTCTATTGTGTATTTAAAATCAAATTACTTTGTACTCATTCACTGACTTTCGCATTTTTTTATGTAACATTTGGATACGTCTCTCTACCTCCCAAGAAAGATAAGTATGCATGATTGTTCAGATAGATGTTTATCTTTAGAAATATTAATATATGACTGACATTACAGGACAATGAGATGCTGTTCCTCCTGGCCATACACAGGGAAGTGACGATGAGGAACATCAACCCTCAGACACAGGTAAGATTTTACACATGCTATTATGTTTTTCTCTTAACTGTATCCCTGCCAACTGACCGAAAATATTTCCATTTCCAAGAATGGTTATGTGGACATAAGTAACATTTGTTGTCTGTAATTGAAAACGCAATTCAGCATAAGTTACTGAAACTTTTAAGTATTATTTCTTTTTTCTGTAAAATATGTTTTTTACTTAATTTAATCATATAACTTATTTGATATTGAATTACATTCGCTTTGTTATAATAAGCTTGCACTCCACCATTGTTGAGGCCGTCGGTAGCCTAGTGGTTAAAGCGTTTGCTCGTCTTGCCGAAGACCCAGGTTTGATTCCTGACATGGGTACAAATGTGTGAAGCCCATTTCTGGTGTCCCTGCGATGATATTGCTGGAATATTGCTAAGAGCGGCGTAAAATCAAACTCACTCACTCAACCATTATTAGACCAGCATGACAACGTTCACAAAGGAAAGCTTACTTATTATAGTGTCTTACTGTTTACCCATCCGCTCTCCAGTCATACTTAATGGAAGGTGGAAATGCTGGTCCTCAACATATATTACCAGACCTTGAATATTCTTTATGCTGCTTTAAAAACATTGTTGATAGTGAGAGACTCACAAATAATGGTGATACTAGCTGTTTGCTGCCTTATCAATGATAATCAAAATAAATCATGCAGGCACAATCTGTGGAAGAGGTTGCAAAGTTCATTGAAACAACAAAAGAAAAGGTTACTCAAAAGGTAAGCCTGTGTTTCTATATTTGATGTTTATCGTTTCATCTTGCAATGATGGCTTGATATCACTTGTGGTACATCCATTCATATTTTGTTGTATTTGCTTAAAGTTGATCCACTATTAATGTCCAAAAAATTCTTTTTTTATAAATTAGCATTAAAGAATAATGATATTATTACTCTGTTTATCTCAAAAGGAGACAGCTCTGAGGTTACTGAGAAATCAGCTTGGTCGTCCAGGATCTTGCTTGACTGTTCGTCAAGGTCAGAGCATGAGAGACCAGAGTGTGATGTGTCTTCTAGTCCATGCATATATTACCCTAACTCACTTCAACAAGGCAACAAACTTCATGAAACCCCTCACAGACCTCATTCTGGCACCACAGACAATGATGGTAAGAGCAGAGTTCTGTTACTTAGTTAAGTGTGCCTAAACTTAGTCAATCAGGAGTATCAAAGTAACACTGATATTTATTCCTTATATTGATTCCCCAACTTATGGGTTATAAAGAAAGACAAGTTCTATGGATGAACAACTTCTTTATTACAATTAGTGCAACGTTTCGGTGTAGATCCTAACACCTTTATCAAGCAAGTGATGGATAGTGCTGAACAACATAGGTATATATACTTATTAACATCAATGTTTATACAGTAAATAAGGCTAATTAAGATATGATAGGGAGCCAGTGAAATAGAAGCCAGTGAATTGTCTAATGGACACAGAGTCAGCAAGCAGACTGATAGAGATAATTGGAAGCCAGTGGATTATTTGGATGGACATAGGGGTTTAGCAATTAGGTGATGGTAAGCGGACAGGATGTAGTAGCCTTGATCTCTGTTCATTGCTGGCTGGATCCTTTTGAGGTAGATGGCTTCTGGGAGTTTTCTGATTTTGTAGTCTGACTGATTGTTGGCCAGGATCTGGATGTTGTTCCACTGGATGTTGTGGTCGGGGTGGGTTTGGGTGTGATCGGAGATGGCTGATTTTGAGTCATATTTTTGTACTGAGGTCCTGTGCTCTTTAATTCTAATGGGTAGGGGCCTGGATCTTTCAAAATCCGCCAATTTTTCAATCATCTATCAGTCTGCTTGCTGACTCTGTGTCTATTAGACAATTCACTGGCTTCTAATTCACTGGCTCCCAATCATCCCAATTGCTTCCGTGGTTGTTTACCCTGTCCCATTAGTCATTCACTGGCTTCCAATTATCTTAATCAGCTCTCTGTGTCCATCAATCAATTTACTGTATAAACATTGATGTTAATAAGTATATATATCTAAGTTGTTCAGCACATACCAAAACAGGAAAAAGGGCACAGCCCCAGGATTAGACCTAACTTCTTACCAAATAATTAAAAAACTCCCCCTAAAACTACTCCAGGCACTACTCAAACTATACAATCTCATCTACCTAAACGGACAGGTTCCTACTCCCTGGAAACAGGCCCTAGTCATACCAATCCCTAAACCTAATAAACCAGCTAATCAAGCTAACTCATATAGACCAATATCCCTAACTTCAAACTTATGTAAAGTAATGGAATCAATGGTTAAAAATAGATTACAACATTACCTAACCCAAAAAAACATCATAAACCCAGATCAAGCGGTTTCACTCCTGGCCGCTCAACCCTAGATAACCTCACCCGACTAGAGCAAGATATTAAGACAGGACAACTAAATAAACAATATAGCACAGGCATCTTCTTAGACTTCTCTAAAGCTTTCGACATGGTATGGCACGACGGGCTAATACAAAAACTTCAAAAAATAGGACTCAAAGGTCAGATAATAAACTACATCCAGGACTTCCTGACCAATCGTAAAATAACCGTGGGTATAGACCAAACACTATCAGACCAATGTCCCCTAGAAAATGGCACTCCCCAGGGCAGTATCCTCAGCCCCACCCTCTTCAATATAATGATAAACGATCTATTCGAGGGCCTATCCCCTAAAGTAAACACATCGAAATTCGCGGATGATGGAGCCCTCTGGATCCGCACTAAAAGCATTAAAATGGCCCAAAATTTACTCCAAATATCTCTTAATAAAATACAACAATGGGCTGACATATGGGGCTTCTCCCTTAACTCAGAAAAAACAACAGGAATAGTATTCAAACATAAAAACATGAAACCCGCCTCCCCAATCCTCCAGCTAAACAACCAAACAATCAAATTTCAAAAACACAACCAAATTCTTGGGACTTATTTTCGATGAACATCTCACCTGGGATGCTCACATCCAAAACCTAACAACTAAATGCAGTAAAGACCTAAACACCCTAAGATGCCTAACTGGCTCTAACTGGGGAGCCTCCAAAGATACCCTCCTCTCTCTCTACATATCACTAATTAGATCAAAACTAGACTACGGCTGCGCCATATACAACACCCTATACAACTCTCTATCTAAAAAACTTGACTCAATACAATATCAGGCCCTCAAACTAATTACACGCACCCAACATGGCACCTCCTACACTTCACTTCAGGCCTTAACAGGAGAAATGCCACTAAGTCTACGCAGGGAACAGCTAAGCTTAAATTTCTGGGCCGCGTCCCAATCAAACCCTCTCATCCGAAACTTAATAAACCAAAATATCAGCCCCAAAAACCAAGCTCTAGCTCGTAAACACCCCTTACTTACCCCAATATCCCAAAGAATAACAAACTATCTCAATGAACACCAAATTAAAAAATCTTAAACAAAACTGCAAACAATCAAATATCTTCACCCCTAAACTTAAAATCCCCAAAATAGACACAGCACTAGCTAGCCAAATAAATAAACAAACCGACCCAAACATAGCTAAAACCACCACACTAGCATACATACACGAAAATTGGCCAAATTGGTGTCACATTTACACGGACGGATCTTCAGATCCGACCTCCAAACACACAGGTTTCGGAGTCCATACCACACAACCAACTAAAACCACACAATCCTTCCGACTCCCAAACAACCAATCAATATTCACGGCAGAACTAATGGGCATGGCCTCAGCCCTCCATAATCAAGAATAAAAAAAACACAAAAAAATCCTAATACTTACCGACTCCCTAAGTGGACTGCAAGCCCTCCAAAACAAAAATACCAAAAACCGACCTAAATTAATAAATCAAATACTTAAAAGCTCCAACGACCTAACTAGGGCAGGCAAACAAATAACCTTCTTGTGGATACCCGCCCACGTAGGAATATACGGTAATGAAAACGCCGATAAAGCAGCTAAACTTTCCCTCAAAATCCCAGAAATAAGCTTAAACTTACCAATCTCAAAATCAGAAATTAAAAGCGTAAACAAGCAAAAAATGGCATAACCTTTATCTAAACTCAAATAGCCAAATCAAAAATGTACTCAGCAAACCACTAACCAAACCAAAAATTCTCCATCCATCAAAAAAAATCGACAGAGTAATCACTAAACTCCAAACCGGACACACCAACATAAATAACCACCTAAAAAAAATTAAAAAACACACTACAGGTAACTGCCCCCACTGCAAACAACCAGAAACCCCAGAACACGCACTCATCCACTGCACACACTACCTAACACATCGAACCGCATTACAAACCACCCTCAATCTAAACAAGGCTCTCACTCTAGAAGCAATACTAAACCCACAAAATAAACTAGAAAACTTCAAGGCCTTAGGCGTATTCTTAATAAAAACGGAACTAATAAAACGCATCTAAAATCACAATAACCTACCAAATCAAAATCAAATAAACAAACAAACATCCACCATACCCAGCTCCCTTAGTTCTCCTCCCCAACCCCATCGGCATCTATTCCAAATCTCAAAATTCCCAAATTCTATATAAGAAACCCCTAAACCCCCCTCTTGGGTTGCACAGACTACTTTCGCCCCTTTCGGAAACACATCAAATGGCCTGGCCGGGCCCGTGTGCGAAATACGCATCAGTCGGAAAGCGCACGTTAAATCTCCAAAGTAAGTAAGTAAGTATGTTCAGCACTATCCATCAATCTCGGCTTGGACACTCGCCCCGTGCAGACATGTCCTTCCCTGCTCTCCAGCTCATTAGCCAAAATGAGAGACATCGCTTTGTCACTACCGAGGGAGCTTGTCTCCATCCTGGAGCCCTTGCTGGCTTACCGGGTTGGGGACTACTCCCTCAAGACTTCCTACAAGTCAAACTCCTCCACCCTTTCCATCACCTTTGCCCTGGGTCAAAGGAAGATACCTCTGGTCAAAGCCAAGGCTAAGACCAAGCCTCAGAAGGAAACAACCCAGGCCACAGCCCCCCCTGCACCCCGCCCGGTGCAAAAGGCCAGGCCCGCCAAGAAGGACAAGCCCCCTCCAGTTCTCCACATGGAGATAGAGGATACCCTGCCCTCCACACCCCTGCCCCCCCGCAGCAGCACTGGAACTCGCTCCCCTCGAATCCAGAGGGGAGGAGCCCTTCCGCTCGCCCGAGGGTACAGGCCACGGAAGGAAGAAAAGGAAGAGGAGAGACATCCCCTCACCCGAACCTTCCCCCCGACCAGCCACCACTGCGTCGGCAGAATGCCAGACACCCACACCAGCACCACCCTCTCTAGCCGACAGTTTCGCCCAAACAGCCACTCCAGAACTGCCCAGCATGAACACCAGCCAAACCCAGACCACACCGGTCGAGGACCCCCCAGGGGGAAAAGGCTTCCAGGAAACGTCTTTAGAGAAGGCGGAATCAGTACTTAAGTACTACGAGGAACACCCCGACATCCACACGATCATCTTCACTGACTCGGAGAAGGTATAAGCTAAGGAAGGGGCTCCGCTCATCGTGGTCCAGGAATTAGATGATGAGGAATTCGAACACGAGATCCACAGCTTCTCGGACCTATCCCACTTCTTCCAGGACGCGGACTTAAAAACCAACAGGCATCTCATCGCCAAAACCGCCGCCATGCTCACCAAGAGTCTCTACAAGTCTCCTCTCCCCACGGAAGAAAGATTCACAGCAAGACTCCTTGCGGGCCACCACAAGTAAACTTCCAGCCAACGCTCACCAGCCGACGCCGTGCCTTCCCACGCTTGACACACACACACACACACACACACACACACACACACACACGCACACCCTCTCTCTCCAACCCATGCCCAAATTTTCCATATTATTGTTTATTCTATTACCACCCACTCCCACCCAGCCAAACCCCCACCCCCGGCAGCTTTATTAGATTAGTACTGTAAAAGTTACATTTTTTTGGGGTTGCACTTCTTTATTTATTCATTACGCTTTTTTACCCCAATAGTATAAGTGCAACCCCGTGTGCAAAATACGCTTGAGTTGGAAAGCGCACGTTAAATCTCCAATGTGATGATGATGAAGCACTATCCATCACTTGCTTGATAAAGGTATTAGGATCTACACTGAAACGTCGCACTATTTGTAATCAAGAAGTTGTTCATCCATAGAACTTGTCTTTCTTCATCACACCAACTTCTAAATGCCACTGAAAGTAGTTATGGGTTATGGTTTCATTTATTTCCATAGATTCATATCACATCATGTAAATGTACCATAGATGTTTTGCCCATAAACATGAAGAGTTACTGACTATAACCTGTTCACTTTCACACAGAACAAGCTTTTTCCCACAATGCCACAGGATGACACAGATGTCATCAGACAAAGTTTGGCAAGAGAAGGAACCATTGTCTTCTTTCGTACGTATACTTTGAGAAAAACTGGTGTGTTAAAGAGGAACAACTGTGTATCATCATTTTTTTAATCTTCCTCTGTCACAGAAGTGTAAAAGTATTGGTCAGATAGAAACCAGGTCTAAATTTTAAGAGAACATTAATTTGTATAAGAATGTTACATCTATTGCCAACACTTAAATATCAAAGACCTATTCATTTGCATTGACATTTTGGAAATAGAAGTATTAACTATTTAGGTAGTAATACATATTCTTTGTTTTATTGTCTTTCCAGAATGTCCTAATGGACACCCATATGCAATTGGAGAGGTAGGCACCATTTGCAACAAAATGGTCTAAATAGGATAATTAAAGAATCATTGTTGCTTTGTATCTTTACCTATTAGTAAGGTTATGTAGCCTGTAGCAATAATACCTGAAAGTGCTGCATCAATAAAACTTTGTATGTGCCATATTTCCCTATATTGATAACATGCAAATTTGTTCAAGAGATTTCAATCAGATTTTAACATTTTTCATATTTGAAAAGTCTAGTTTTGTCTTTAAATGCAGCTATGTTTGCTGATAGTGAAGGAGTTTGCTTTATGTAATCTCTAAAGTATCAAATTTCATTTATAAAAATTAAACATATTAGAAACCTAAAACTTTAAGTGAACGATCATATGTATGACTTTAGGTAGAATCAAGTTTGTTCAAGACATCATAATCTGCATTTCTATTTTACAAAGATGTTTTATAAATCCTATTCATTACTTTGTTGCTTCTGATATTTTTCAGTGTGGTAGACCTTATACTGAAGCGACGTGCAATATCTGTGGGTCAAAGATTGGTGGACTATCACACATAGCAGCAACCGGAAATACACAGCATACTGGGTAAGGAGATTATTTATGATCACAAATATGGCTCATATGTAATTTAGTTTGTCAAGACTGACAGTGAACATTTCTAGGTACTGTGAAATCTTTGTTAGGCTTAAAAAATAAAAGAACTGGTTATCAGGCAATGGGTTTTGAAAATATAGTGCGGGCGGGTGGTGTCTTCTTTTGTTTGTTCAAACTAGTATGTAACTAAATAAACAGCTGTGTACAATCAACCCGGGAAAGGGCCTCCCTAGATAATTTTAAAAAAAAATGGAAATAAAAACAAAACATGCGGCGAACTTTATGATGATGAGGGCAAGAACCAAGACTTATTTTTTTAGCCTTAATGATCAGTATCCATGCAGGCAAAGTGGTTGGTTGCCAGTATTTAATTCTTTATCATGTTTTAGTGACCAGACCCGTCCTGGTCATGTTCTGGGAAGAGCAGCAGATAGAACCAGTGCCTATGCTGGAGAACGTAGACTGGGAGGAGCTGTCTGTGCTGTTCTGCGTTTCTTCACTCATGCTGCATTACTTCTGGGAGCAGAGAACAATCCGCAGGCAAGTTACTGCAGGTTTATGATGTACACCAGACGTTAAGACAGCTACCTATATTTGAAGTCTTTTTAATTTGCTGGATCTCTGTTAGTCTCTAAATCTGTTTAAAACATTTTGTTTCCTGTTTGTACATTTCAAATTCCTGTTTTTCCTTCATGGTGAAATGTGTCGGATATCTAACATCAGTTATCATTTGAACTGGTAAAAGAGAGTTGAACATGTGAGAGTTGTGTCATAGTCTGCAATTGATGAATGTATTTCCCCTAAACTATTGCAGGCAGTAGCAGCTCTGGTCTACCCCCAGCTACAGCAGGATACCAGTCAGTTTTTCTTGGAGCACCTCCAGAAGGACCTTCAGATCATCCATCTGGCCACAGGGAAGAGTGTGGATGATGTCTTCCTCCTCCTGCACTTCATCTGTCATCAGATTTCACAGTCAGGTGGGCTATCAACAACATTGTAACAGTAATGAAGTCTTATACGTATGTTGCAATTCTATCTTTCCTTAGAAGTTAGTGATTATTTCCTATTAACATTCCATATTTTCATCTTTGACAGTACATCCCATGAAGTAAATCTTTCTTTAGTAATAATTGAAATATCTGCAGTATGTGGCCAGTAAACAAATGTCAAGATGTTCCAGTAAAAATATCTCTATTTTCATTTCACAGAAGTATACAGACGCATGGAGCCACAAGAACTGGTCAACAAGCAGGTCAGGGAAACCTGGGAGGAACAGTTTGCAAATTCTTTCATTGGCCCAGTGTTACAGGTAGGATTACAGTTTCAATAACTCTAACCAGTTGTGCTTCAACAAATCTAATGCATGTTATTTTATCGGTTCATCTTACACAACTGAAAGAAAATGAAATCTAAACATATGTATTCTTTTCTTCGCAGGATCTTGACAACTGCCTGAATACATGCAATGAGAGAATCATGAAGGACAAGAGAATAGGTACTGTCTCATTATATGTTCAATTAAGTAATGGAGAAACCATGACACCGAAGGAATGGTATGATTGTATAACCGGGTAGGCACAGAAAAGCCGAGGACCTTTCTTTTGTAGTAAGGCCACTCAGCAGGTTTTACAATTGCTCCCCAGGTTTTACAATTGCATTTACAATTGCATTTACAATAGATACTCTAATAAGCGCCCACGGCGATATTTGCTGATATATTGGCCAGTGAACAAGCCCAATCTGCATCCCTTCCCATTGATCAATGTACACAAGACTTATTGATTCGGTATAATACCCACACGTGTGTTACATGCACCCTTACTTATGGGCAATTAAAATCTGAAAAAATATATCTGTCGTACATAAACATTTCAGGCTGTCAGCATAAACAACGAAATTTATCTTTCAACAATGCTTTTTTTAACCAAAATAATATTCTAATAAGAGCCCCCTATTTCTAATTTTGAGAGCGCCCCGGGCGCTTATTACGTAGAATACGGTAATTAATAAGAGGTTTCACAGGCAGAAATATACAAGCTATTCATCCAATATTAATTATTGATGGGATAAGTTTTATTGTTTGTCACTTATTTGTATATCTTTTTTAGGTCAGGACAAGCTGATGTCTATTCTGTATGAAGTAGACACTTCCACTCCCCAGCAAGTTGACTGTCTCCATGAGTTCCCAGCTGTCTGGAGGTACCGGTCACGTATCACCCTGGAGCATTTCCTGCGAGAGTTCCATCTGAAAGTAGAGAACAGCAAGGGCAAGAAATCCAAGATGGAAGTGCTCAGCCTTTTCAGACAAGAGGTATGTTACTGTAAGATAAACAACAGTTAATCAGTAACAGGACTTGCATTGTTGTTCAGAAAAGCTTCTGATCGATGGGTCGAATTGCAGATTCACATCAATTATGATCCTTGGTCTGTCATCACCATGCCAGTGGTCAAGTGACATACAATTAATTAAACCAACCTCACTCATTCTTTCATAATTCTTTGTTTCAGCATCCATTCTTACAAGCACTACATCACATCCCAAATATTCTCCGACTACAACAGTACCTAATGGCAAAATACAGGCGGCGCCTTGATAGAGTGGAAGCTAAAAGAATTACCATTGCTGATGCTGCAGAGGAAGGTATTCATATCACTATTATCCCTATAATCATGATGAATTTAACCATGTGTTGAAATCAAATTGAGCATCACACTTCAGGTGAATATCAACTGAACTTCACCACTGTTGGTTCCAGGAAGCAACTCTATTGATGTCCTGGAACATCTGTCAAATTTCACAGCAGCCTGGGAATGTGTCAAGGAAGGACTACACAGTTATGGTTAGAATGTTTCCTTCTAAGACACTATCAAAAGGTATAGATGTAAAAATGGCTTACATGTGAACGTTATATTTTTTCTCGAAGACAGATAATGTAATTTTATGTAGCCCTGTTAACATTTACAAAAGCATTGCTTTAAACCAATTTTGGTGTGTGTATATTTCTGTAAAATACTTTAAGAGGCAAAATTAATACAATATTAGTTAAGGTAGTGTTCCAGTGATGCAAGCTACAGGTCAACCTTCATTTCAGGATGTTGGACAGTCCATGATGGTCTGATACACCTGCCTGATGCCTACAAGAACATGAGGATAGAGGAGAACTCCCCTCTAGCCGTCCTTCTGCCGTCCACTCAGGGACCCGGTATCTGCTCCTACATGATGCTGGAGTTCCTCTTCAGGAAGCACAATGAATTCATGGAAAAATACTGCAACAAAACAAAACAAAAGTTAGTTATCAAGTACCAAGAAACTATGATTGTTATGGAAGTCTCACCTTGTTACAAATATTATTTCACTGTGGAACTGCACACTGCCATCTTTGACATCAGTTGTCTCTGTAAATTACTGCATTCTCTTCATCCAATTTACAAGTATATTCTCCAGTCTCATCCATATGACACCCACACTCTTGCCTTTGAGCCCCAGGGGAAACATTTTTCTTGTCATTGTAGCTATATAAAAAGGGCATAAGCATGTAACCTTGTTGACTGTATGTCATTGTCCACTGACAGAATATATTATCATTCATGCCATCAGCTATGGTTTTTCTGGTCCAGACACAATATCATAAAGGCTGCCATGATATAGATATAAAATTGCTGATCATGGTGTAAAACAACATTCACTCGTTAACACGCTCACTCATTTATGTAGGGGTAAACAAAAGAGGCAGATTTATTTGGTAAAGGGTTATCAGCCCAATATACAGCATAAACTACTTGTACAACATAAACTTCCTGGAGCTCCATATTGCTGTATGTGGTGGGAGGATGATAAATACATGGATATAGAGAGGTAATGGAACACATTTTAAAAGCTGAGAACATAAGCTTAGCAAGACAACTGTTAACATTGTAACTCTTTGATGTAGACAGCTATTACTTGTAATAGTATTTTGGTATGATATTTGTTTAATCGAAACATAATAAAAGGATATTAAAGGCAAAGGTTATGCTTTGGATAGTAATTGACTTTGATACAGAAGATAGAAATGAATTTCTCTTTGCATGTATTTAACTGTCTGCATATATTAACAGATATTCATTGACACAAACAGGAGGTAAATGTTTTCAATTTAATTACTTACTTAATACATCTATAAAATTCTAATGTATCTTGCAACACTCTCAAGGACTGTAACTTTATTTGCACCTTTGCTATGATCAAAATTAAAGTATCAACAATTAAAACATCGTCATTAATTAACTTTCTTCCAAAACCATAACACATGACCTGATATGTGGAAATGTTCATGGGTTTCTCACATCTTTCTTCCACCGCTGTCATATTTTCCCAGTGCAAGTGGTCATACTTGGGATGGCTGAGCTTGACCCTGTATGTTGTAGGTATGAGCACCTGCCTGAGGTCAACATGAGGAAACTTCACAGTAACCACCTGGTCAGCTACCACCCTGACCGTGACCTGCTGCCCCTTGTCCTGGCCAACTGTAACTACTCCTTTGAGCTGGGGAAAGGCACCACCATTGAGTATGACTTTGAAGGATTTGAGTATCAGCTCAAAGAAGTCATTTTACAGGCCAAGTCAAGAGTGGAGAAGAAGTCGCATATCATACCTGTGAGTTACAGTTGCAAATATAGATCATAAAAAGTGAAAATATTTATGAAATAGAAATAATTGATGTGATTGGTAGAAAAATGTGATGGTTTTTAAAGTATACAAAAATATTTCTAAAAGTCATACCAGAATATATCCATTTCAGATTGACACTATGGTGTACAGAGCTGACACAACCAATTCTGTTGTCTTCAAGACGCTGAGAGACAGAATAGATCAGGTACCTACATGTCTTTGTTTTTACTTTTTACTTTAGTATTCATCATTAATAGATTTCCTTTAGTCATAATTGCTCTGTCCTTTGGTTATCAAAATAATACTTTTCCAACAATTAAGTTTTCTTGAGTTTATCATTTGCCACTAACTTGATAGTCTTATCAAGACAATATCTGTGTCTTAAGTGATGTAACATGGTTCTGACAAACCCTTAAAGTACTGGAATTTCAGTGTTGATCTTGAACAAAAGTAAATGAAAAGTACTAGAATTTCATATTTGGTTCTAGTTTATTTGATTTGTCAAATGATTGTTGTCAATTTTCATATGTTCACATACAAGTATCGTCATTCCAGTGACAGTGAACTATAGCTTCATGCATAGTTTCAGCAACATGATTAGAACTTAACAATTTAATTTAGTCATGGTGAAGTCCATGAGTTTCATCATGACATTCACGTATGAACCATGTGTAGGAAACCTGTGACGAATAGGTCTTCAGCAACCCATGCTTTCTGTAAAAGGTGACTATGCTTGTCGCAAGAGGCAACTAACGGGATCGGGTGGTCAGGCTCGCTGCCTTTGGTTGATGCATGTCATTGTATCCCAATTGAGTGGATCAATGCTCATGATGGCAATCACTGGATTGTCTGGTCCAGACTCGAATACTCACAGACCACTGTCATATAGCTGGAATATTGCTGGTTTGGGGCACTAGCCTAGCCTAGCCTAGCCTAGCCTAGCCTAGCCTAGCCTAGCCTAGCCTAGGAACATTATTAAGGCTGTTTAGTGTTTATTAGTTTATTAACAAACACTCTGGCACAAAATTCAATGTAGGTAGTCAAATATTATCATTTTCTTAACATTAACTTTCAGACTGCCTTACTATCAACAAATTAAAAACAACCGGTTTGGGTTTGGCAGGGTGGTGTGTTTAATGTTGGTAGTCAATAGTTTGAAACTTGTTTCAGCACATTCTGTCTTCTTTGCACACACCTAGAAGCAAAAGTATGTTGATCAGACCGTAACTCTAAATTAGGAGCCATCAGTCAGAAAATGGTAATGGTTTTGCCGCCAACCAAAAAAGCTATGAATTTTATAGTTTACATGTTCCTGTGATAACACATCAATTTGTCAAATGTCTAATTGTTTCTAATTTCTGTATTTTATGTCAGTTAGTTCTGGAACCAATCAATATAATCAAAAGTCCTGAGGTACACAGTTTTGACCTATACTCGACATGGCCACCAGACTATGGAGAGAAAAACAATTTTAAGGTATTTCATTAATTTACAGGACATATATCTGACTTGTTTCAGGAATCACTTTCTCCAGCGGTGAAGGTACAAATTGTGTCTGAACTCAAGTCCAGCTTGCCAGACATCTGTGACTCTATCAACAACTTGGACATCACCACCAGCTTCCTCAAGTCTCTGGGAGGAGATCCAGACAAGTCACTTCAGACTTTCATGACAGATGTGCTCAAGATGAAACAGACAATAACTAGTCAGAAGGTGTGTAATTGCAGATAGGGCAATAGGAATGTCATAAAGTCAAAAGGTGGCCCCCATATCTGCTTCAACAAGTAATGTGTAACTGAAGGTAATCACTCTATCACTAGGGTCCTATTTCACAAGCAAGCATAGTGCTATGCTATAAGACTGCCTTGTGAAACAGGACCAAGCTATGTGATTGTTATATTTGTTTATCATGTGGGATGATAATGTTCTGTTTATTTTGAGAGAAAAAGACTGAGATGAACATTTGAACAAAAATGGGATTCATTCACTTCTGGTAGGCTTGATCAATATTTTCTCATTAATTTCAGGCCCGACAGTTTTGCAGATTCAAGCATATACAGTCTTTGTGGCTGTTGCTCAGTTTTGAGAAATCAGTTGTCTTAGCTCAACATGCACAGGTGAGAAAACAATCTGTTTATTTTCATACAAATAATCACTTTTGCAAATATCTTCCAGACAAAGCTTTTTTATTGTTTAATAAATAATGTGTGAATTTGAATTCTCTATAAAGGCACCTGATGGGAGTGATTGCTGAAAGTAGGCTTTTTTCTATTTATTATCTGTCAATTAATACAGACTTTAGTTATGTCCAGAATCTTTCCTGTTTTCACTGGAATTTGTTGTTTCATAGTCATGCATCTATCATTTAGGATGCCTTTGACGATTTTGACAATGAACTGAAAGAAGGTCTCCCAGATGATGCCAGAGCTCATCTTAAACAGTTTTGTCAGAACAAGAACCTAGAAAAGCTGGAGTACCTTTTGCAGCAAATGTTTGACTGTCTTCTGCTGAGAGTAGCTCAACCAGTTGACCCAAATGATCAGGAAGCCATCGACCTGAAACGCATAAGGTGAGCAGTGTTGAATGTTTCTTATTCTGAATGTGTGTTGCTGATGATTTGTCTTTTTCTGAAAGTGTAACACACTGATGATTCGTATTCAGAATGTACATTAGGATGATGATTTGTATTCAGAATGTTAGGTTGAGTATGTCTTCCCTCGCATTGTATGTTAGCCTTGTGCGTCTTCATTATTTTGAATGTATGCTAGCCTGATGTGTCTTCCATGTCATAGTATGCTAGCCTGATGTCTTGTTCTGATTGTGTTAGCCTCGTGTGTCTTTTTATCCCCAGCCGGGCCAGAAATGGCCGAAGGGGGATTATGTAGTGGCGCAGTCCGTCCGTCTGTCCATCCGTCCCACAGAGGGTTTTTCGTTTCAACTAATTTTGACAGAGTTACTGCCCCTGTTTTACGAAGCTTCATTTGCCTTATTGTGAGAGAGGGTACTAAGCTTATGAAATCAACTCCTCCTACAGTTTCCAGAGAATACCCCGACACTCAACACACAAGATGTCGAAATGTTGATGATACGCATATTGCAGTCCCGTTTCGTTTCAACTAAGTTTGACAGAGTTACTGCCCCTGTTTTACAGAGCTTCATTTGCCTTATTGTGAGAGAGGGTACTAAGCTTGTGAAATCAACTCCTCCTACAGTTTCCAGAGAATATCCCTGACACTCTACACACGATGTCGACATGTTGATGATAGGCATATCGCAGTCCCGTTTTGTTTCGACTAATTTTGACAGAGTTACTGCCCCTGTTTTACGGAGTGTCATTTGCCTAATTGTGAGAGAGGGTACTAAGCTTGTGAAATCAACTCCTCCTACACTTTCCAGAGAATATCCCTGACACTCTACACACAAGATGTTGATGATACGCATATCGCAGTCCCGTTTCATTTCAACTAATTTTGACAGAGTTACTGCCCCTGTTTTACAGAGCTTCATTTGACTCATTAAAAAAATTCATGCGGGGGATGTTGTCCTCTCAGAGCACTCTTGTTCTGAATGTGTGTAAGCTTGATGTGTCTTCTTCTGAATGTGTGTTACCGTCTTATTTTGAATGTGTCAGCCTGATTTATCTGCCATCTCATTGTGAGTTAGCCTGATGTGTCTAATTTTGAATGTGTGCGAGATTGATAATTTCTTTCTCTGACTGCATATTAGATATGTAGGGTCAGAATGTTTTGGGTTTATGTCTTGTTTTGAATGTGTGCTGGCCTGATGAATGTGTGTAAGGTTAATGATGGGTCTTGTTTGAATGTGTTAGATGGTTGATATTTTGTATGAATTTATGTTTGCAAGAGGATGACTTTATTAGAATGTGCTTGATGTTTGCAAAAAGGGTAAACAAATGCTCTACCAGTAGCATCTGCCGCTCACACAATCTCATCGTAAGGTAGTAGTTATATTGAGTCACAACAGAAATTCCCTTTGACTAGAATAATTAAATTGTGAATAACATGTATGATAAGGTAACTGAACATACTAAATACAGTGGATATTTAGCCTAAGTCAAATAAACTTTGACCAATTTCATCAGGAATCAGTCAGTATTCTTCACAGATGGATCTCTCACATGTTGTTTTATTCACTGGTATGTTTATGAATGCAGTAGGTATTTTGTATATGCTTCACCTTTGCATGTTAATTTCCTCAGTCTGCGAGACATCCTTCAAGGTGACCGAGATGCTCCGCTGTACTGTAAGGAACCTGATGAGACACTGACCGAGGAAGACATCCTCACATTCCCAGCAGACATCTTGGGGAAGCACATTCCCGACACCTGGCTGTCTGTCCTCCGGGAACTCACACAACGCAGAAAGGAGTTTCAATAGTGCCTCAACTTCTGTCAATAGTGGATTGTCATACTTATGTTGTGTAAATGTTGAATCTAATAGAAATTATGAATTGTGGCAGTCCTCTGGTAACTCACACAACGCAGGAAGGAGTTTCAATAGTGCCTTCAGTGTAGGTCAATAGATCGTCATACATTTGTTGAAGTAGAATGAAGATGTCGATCACTTAATATTACAGACTTATATTAATTCTTGACATAACTACTTTCGGTTTGTTTATTATCTTTATATTTGAATTCGCTGATGTTACAATTGCTCTCATGTATATATTCTTTTTCATATAGTGCAGTAGTTTTCCACTTTTTGCTTTTCATTTTGTGATGTGTTATAACCAAATTGTTTTGAATACTTGTATCTTGAAACATTTTTAATGAAACTATACGTATCATGTTATGTATGATTTAATCACTCGATATATATTTTCTAGACTTTTTCCTATTTAGAATATGTATATGACATAAATTCAAATGATTTTGATAGTGCTGATGGAAAAGAAATATGTCCTTGCTCTTAGTACTTAGTACTGCTTACTCTTACATATTGCATAATAACATATATTCTGGAATGAATGTTTTTGTTCATGCCAGAGGTTTAATGTAGGTTACAACATTGTAGATGTATACATATGTATTTTCTTTGGTGTGACATTCTGCTGTGCCAAGATGTACCAGTATTGATCTGTAACATGGTCTACACACTATGCTATAGAATACACATTTCTTTTTCTTACCTGATCTTAATACATGCAGCTGTGTACAGAGATTCACCTAAAGAAAACACTCATGCATTCTGTGTTGTCAGAAATATGTAACTGATGGATCTGTTCCCTCTACATGATCATATTAGTAACTGCACCCTTTGCTATGTATATATATATGCAGAGATTTAATTCATATTTGTTGTTAGAATCATATATAAACTTCTCTGTCATTGGTGTTTGAAGGTGAACTTGTATGAGGATTTGATCAGCATCTGTCTGATTTGCAATATGTTGACCTTCTTATACAGATTACAATTTCTATATGGATTGTAGATGAATGTTTACAAATTATTATTTTGTTGAGTACTGAGGTAAGAAGAAGACATTTTACCTGAACAGAGTCTTAATAACCAAGCTTGATGTTAATAATAATATTATTTAAAGAATCTTTATTGATTTTTTGTTGTTTTGAAACATGTCAAACAGTAATAAACACACAAATGGATGTTCAGTAAATACTGTAGATCAATATTATATCAATGACAGGAATATGATATGAATGCATTCTGTTGTGTCAAGTTGAGGAGAAAGGGTTATTTATGTGATGTTATAGGAGTTGAAGATACTGCATTTTCAATGTAGAACTATATGTTCCCTGTAGATTTGATGTCACTTAGTTGACTTTCAAATCCAAACTATAATACTTTCTGCCCAAATGGATACTTGAAGTATTTTGGTAACTGCAACTCTGCTTTCTGTAGCCTACACTTGTACATACATGTATAATCATTTCCAAATGACTGAGACAGAAGAAACCTATGTGCTAGTCGATCAATTTTCCTGTATTATTTCCAATATGTTTGATAGTTGACTGCACTCAGAAAGTCAGATTATCAATCGTTTTGTGAAAGATTTATCCAGGGTATGATTTATTCAGGTTAACTGATAACATGTAATAATGTGTATATCACTCACTCACTCAGACACACACACACACAATAATATTAAATAACATAAACACCATTTTATAATCATGCTTTTGTTTGCTTCACATGTACCGGTACGTTTTGTAGGTGACAGCTTGTTTGTTTTTTTAAGTAATGTGTCAGTTTTGATTTCTTTCCTGTATTATTGCAGTTTGCTTCATTCAATGCAGCACATCCAGAATGTGTTTTTTTCACCAACCACTGGTGAATAAAATGTACAAAAAGTAATGTTGTTTATCTTTGTATTAGTAGATATATATTTTCAAAGCAAGCTTTATGAGCAGTTGTTTAAAGTGGTTTATATCATCCAGTATGTATGCTATAGTAAAACATTTCATGTGTTGCTTGGAATATTTTGACTTTGAAGTTACAGCTATGATCTGTCTTTCAAAAAATGTTTCATTTAACAGGACCTCATAAATTCAGTATATTGATAATGAGATGTATTTAGATGTCCTTTTATAGAAAAAGTGACAAATCAGGTCACAAAACTAGGTTGATATCTTGATTTGTTGAGAGACTGTGTTACAGTAGATAGAAAACTAATTAATCTAGATGACATGACCATCACACACGAGGTTCCCCGACACAAACTGCTGCAGTAGTTATTATAGTCGAGGAACTATTGTGATTGGCTGAATGTCAAGGATCAGGATGTTAGTAAATAGGTGAAGTGTGTATATATGTCATTTTACAATCAGGTTTCATTTGTGTACATATAAATTCATTAAATCAGATTTGTTTTATTTGATTCTTTAGTTGCTTTTGACATCCCAGTTTAATCCTTTCTCCTCAACGGATGATTTAATGAGGCAAATGTTTGAAAGTTTGAAATATATTTTTGTTTATCTAGTGTCCATTTTCATACCATTCTCTTAAACAGTGAAATCATGAGCACTTTACAGAAAATATATCTCTGTATTTGGAATATGATTATTGAAGGTCATCTTTTGAATATATTTTACTATAGCTTAGAAATACATTTGCTCATACCTGTACAACAAAATATATTCATGGTGAAGTGAGGTGAAATTCAAGATTATTGCACTTATATATATGTGTATGTGTCTGTCTGGCTGATTGTACTAATCCTGGCTAAATCCGGGGTTTTTTTGTGCTAGCCCACTGAGATACCATGTGGCAGTTTAACATAGCCCACTCAGACAAACTATAATGATTCCTAGCCGCAACATGTAAGTAAACTGTGTATAGAACTGAAGTTTCTGTGGTAAAGCAAAAAGCAATGATTGCATGACATGGTACCTCTTAATTGTGAAAAATAAGGATGTTGGAAAGGCTCGTCATTCTGTGATGTTAAGGTTAGAAATATGTTTATCACATAATATTTTGTTTGTTTATCTGCTTTTTAGGTGTTGGTTGTATTTGTTTTCTATTTAACAATAAAGAACTCACCTTTAATCATGTTATTACAGTTTGTAACACAGCAGTCATAGTATTTAAGACTTTGTTATGATCGGAAACCAGAATAATAATAGTTTTCTCAGAAGACATTTTGATTCTGTGCTCTTTAGGTGAGGAATGCATGACATGATTTAATAAAGGCTTATAACTGGTTTGTTTTTGTCATGATTTTTTACTTTTATTTCAATGAATATGTTTTAACTGTGTGAAACATAAACTTTCACTTGGGTAAAACATATCATTGTTGTTAATTGGATCCCTTTAGGTTGATCCTGCCTGTCCTTGTTTAAGACACTGACTATTTGTAAAAAGGCATCATTCACAACAAGTCTCTCACTCAAGGAACCAGATTAACATCTGAATGAAAAAGCACAGCATCAAAAATACACAAAGATGTTTAGCAACAATGACTCCAGATCTAAGCGGCAGAGATGGCACCAGATGTTATTGGCCAAAAATATAAAGAAAACAAACAATAATTTGACAATTGATATGTGTTCATTTCACAATAACACACAACATTCCCAAATACCATTTAATACACTTACATTTTTCGCATGTGGAACTCAACATTACGTGCATGTGCTCATGGCAGACCAGGCCCACAGTATCCCATGTCAAGCAGACAATTTAGACTGTAGCAATGTGTGCCTTGGCTGGCTGTGTTTCATTAATCTCCCTATGACATGGATCATAGGAATGGTTCAGTCAACTCTTCCAGACATTCAATATTCATACAAGCAAATTTGGTTTAGTTATGGCTACATGAACCAATGCCTTTGATTTTGATCTTACTATTCAATTAACTTTAACTTTTTCAAGAATTTAAGTGCATAACAATGCTGCAGATCTCTTATTTGGGTCTTTCAGGCAAGGTTTCTTCAGGTTTTCCATGGCTTTTGAACACAAGGTATCAGTTATCAACAGAAACCCTCTTCAGGGTCAACAAGCGTATAGTTGACAAAGTCATCTATATCCACCGCCCATTTTAACACGTTATGGTCCCAAATCAGGTAACTGACGCAACATTTCTCTTAGCCCATGTCAAAATAGCTGCAATGGAAATTCTAAAATAAACATTTCTAAAACTCCTTAATATCAAATGGCACTAGTTCAGTATGCGCTTTATATATAGACATGCAATGTTTGGCAAGGAAATATTTAACAGTTTATTTGTTATACTACTTAAGTAAACCAATCCTTTATTAAAACTTAAATCCAACTTGTTGTCATGGAAACATAAAAAATTCTAAAAGTGCTATATATATCAAAAGGCACCAGTTCAGTATGTGCCTGGTGGACATGCAAAGTTTTGTAAGAAAGTATTTAACGGTTTTTGAGTTACACTCTGGAAACGAACAACACTCTGAAAACGAACACCACCCCTGTAGAACCTAAGTCCAACTTATTGCCATGGAAACGTGAAAAATAAAAATTTCTAAAATTCCTCAATAGCAAGAGGCACCAGTCCAGTATGTGTCTGGTAAACATGCACAGATTTTGTTGGAAAGTATTGAATGGGTTTTGAGTTATTCTCCGGAAACAAACTCTACCCGAGAGAACCTAAGTCCATCTTGTTGCCATGGAAACGTAAAAAATAAAAATTTATAAAATTCCTAAATAGCAAAAGGCACCAGTTCAGTATGTGCCTAGTAGACATGCAAAGTTTTGTAAGAAAGGATTTAACAGTTTTTGAGTTACGCTCCGGAAACGAACAGCACCCTTATAGAACCTAAGTCCAACTTGTTGCAATGGAAACGTAAAAAAATAAAAATTTATTAAATTCCTAAATAGCAAAAGGCACAAGTTCAGTATGTGCCTAGTAGACGTGCAAAGTTTTGTGAGAAAGGATTAAAGGGTTTTTGAGAAACGCTCCGGAAACGAACACCACCCTTATAGAACCTAAGTCCAACTTGTTGCAATGGAAACGTAAAAAATAAAAATTTATAAAATTCCTAAATAGCAAAAGGCACCAGTTCAGCATGAGTCTGATAGACATGTAAAGTTTCGTAGAGAAATATTTCACGGTTTCTGAGTTATGCTCCGGAAACGATTTCGGGACGTACACACGCACGCACACACACGCACGCACACACACACACGGACGGAACCCATTTCTATATCCCCCGCCAACTTCGTTGGGGCGGGGGATAACTATCCTTAAGTAGTTGTACCCATATTAACACATAGTTGCCCACAAGTAGGAAAACCTCACTTCTTTCCAATACCTGATAACTAGATGCAGATGGCTTGGGACATGACAGGGTGTACTTATGATGTAATAAAGGTTATATTCTTGGAATTATTAACAATGACAACTTACTGTTTTGATTATTCTTGTGAATACCAAACCTCTATTACATCATTGCCAGAATATCCCAGAGAAACTGGTGGGTTCTTAAATCTGTTTGTTTGTTTGTTGTTTAACTCTGCACTCAGCAGTACTCCAGCTATTTGATGGTGGTCTGTAAATAATTGAGTCTGGACCAGACAATCCAGTGATTGATATCATGTGCATCAATCCACGCTATTGGGATACAATGACATACATCAGCAAAGTCATTGAGCCTGGCCAACTTCCGTTAGTCGCCTCTAACCACAAGCATGGATTGCTGAAGGCCTATTCTAGTAATCCCCTTGGATAATTATAGTTGAACGTGGCTATACCTATTAGATTCAGCTGTCCAACTGATGCTTCGATTCCTAATAGTTAAAAGATTGCATCAAATTTCCCCAGAGGATTTAAATTTGAATGAATGACATTGTATTGGATTGTATAAAAAGTATCGCAGAGCCGTGAATGCTCTGGACGGAGTTGACACCGCTCTTGTAGTATCTGGCATGGGACTCGGTGTAGCGGGTATCGGTTTACTATCAACTATAATCGCCGCGCCTATCGTGCTCGGCATGGAAATAGCAGCTGGAGTCTCGGGACTGGCAGGAATAGCGATAAAATTCATTTCTCGTAGGTTGCAAAAGAAAGCATTAAAACACGATAGTATTCGGATACTCGCCGAAGCAAAGTTGAACAGCATTGAGGATCATATTTCGACAGCAATGGCCGATTGTAAGATATCCGAGGATGAGTTTCGTTTAGTGCGGTCGGAACTCACCAAATACAATGAAATGAAGCAGGAGATTCGATCAAAATCTCGTAAGACCAGTGGTATTAGCGAAGACGAGAAAAAAAAGTTCATAGAACAGGGGAGGCAACAAGCGCGTCAATTATTCCGTGCCAAAACCAAAGAACTGGTTGGAGATTAAAAATAGATTGCTTACTATCGTTTGATCACATTTAGACAAATGCTTACATAAATATATATAATAATGGAGAAAGCTATTAAATGGAAAGAATTACCACAAGGTTTTTTATTATATCAGTGATGTCAAACCAACCAAATACGGTTATCAATTGTTTCTTATCAATTTACAAGAAGAGTGTAGTTATATAGTCTGGTCTCCTAGTAAAATGAACGAAAAACTTAATAAAAATGTTGAATATCGCTTTATCGATAAAAATAATAAAGAATATTTTTATTACCATTTAGACTCATCTAAAGCAATGATTGGCCCCAGGTATTGGTGAGCTAGAGCCAATTTCATGACTATCGTTGAATCGCATCATCATTTTCACATAAAAAATTCCATCTGTAGTAGCAGTATAGGTATATGAATCTGGCTCCAGTGGAAGTGAGCCAGAACCCTTATTACCTATAAAAATTTGTATCATAGACTCCAGGTGGTGGTGAGCTGGAGCCAATTTAGCTGAATCTTATGACTATCGTTAAATCGCATAATCATTTTGACATAAAAAATTCCTCCTGTAGTAGCAGTATAGGTATATGAATCCTGCTCCAGTGGAAGTGAGCCAGAACCCCTATTACCTATACTACTGGGTCCTATTTCACAAGCAAGCATAGTGCTATGCTATAAGACTGCTTTGTGGAACAGGACCCAGCTACGTGAGTGTTATATTTGTTCATCATGTGGGATGATAATGTTCTGTTTATCTTGAGAAAAAAAGACTGAGATGAACATTTGAACAAAAATGGGATTCATTCACTTCTGGTAGGCTTAATCAATATTTTCTCATTAATTTCAGGCCCGACAGTTTTGCAGATTCAAGCATATACAGTCTTTTTGGCTGTTGCTCAGTTTTGAGAAATCAGTTGTCTTAGCTCAACATGCACAGGTGAGAAAAAATCTGTTTATTTTCATACAAATAATCACTTTTGCAAATATCTTCCAGACAAAGCTTTTTTATTGTTTAATAAATAATGTGTGAATTTGATTTCTCTTATAGGCACCAGATTGGAATGATTGCTGAAAGTAGGCTTTTTTTCTATTTATTATCTGTCAATTAATACAGACTTTAGTTCTGTTCAAAATCTTTCCTGTTTTCACTGGAATTTGTTGTTTCATAGTCATGCATCTATCATTTAGGATGCCTTTGACGATTTTGACAATGAACTGAAAGGTCTCCCAGATGATGCCAGAGCTCATCTTAAACAGTTTTGTCAGAACAAGAACCTAGAAAAGCTGGAGTACCTTTTGCAGCAAATGTTTGACTGTCTTCTGCTGAGAGTAGCTCAACCAGTTGACCCAAATGATCAGGAAGCCATCGACCTGAAACGCATAAGGTGAGCAGTGTTGAATGTTTCTTATTCTGAATGTGTGTTGCTGATGATTTGTCTTTTTCTGAAAGTGTAACACACTGATGATTCGTATTCAGAATGTACATTAGGATGATGATTTGTATTCAGAATGTTAGGTTGAGTATGTCTTCCCTCGCATTGTATGTTAGCCTTGTGCGTCTTCATTATTTTGAATGTATGCTAGCCTGATGTGTCTTCCATGTCATAGTATGCTAGCCTGATGTCTTGTTCTGATTGTGTTAGCCTCGTGTGTCTTTTTATCCCCAGCCGGGCCAGAAATGGCCGAAGGGGGATTATGTAGTGGCGCAGTCCGTCCGTCTGTCCATCCGTCCCACAGAGGGTTTTTCGTTTCAACTAATTTTGACAGAGTTACTGCCCCTGTTTTACGGAGCTTCATTTGCCTTATTGTGAGAGAGGGTACTAAGCTTATGAAATCAACTCCTCCTACAGTTTCAAGAGAATACCCCGACATAACTAATTTTGACAGAGTTACTGCCCCTGTTTTACAGAGCTTCATTTGCCTTATTGTGAGAGAGGGTACGAAGCTTGTGAAATCAACTCCTCCTACAGTTTCCAGAGAATATCCCTGACACTCTACACACAAGATGTCGACATGTTGATGATACGCATATCGCAGTCCCGTTTCGTTTCGACTAATTTTGACCGAATTACTGCCCCTGTTTTACGGAACTTCATTTGCCTTATTGTGAGAGAGGGTACTAAGCTTGTGAAATCAACTCCTCCTACAGTTTCCAGAGAATATCCCTGACACTCAACACACAAGATGTCGACATGTTGATGATACGCATATATCACAGTTCCGTTTCGTTTCGACTAATTTTGACAGAGTTACTGCCCCTGTTTTACGGAGCTTCATTTGACTCATTAAAAAAATTCATGCAGTGGATGTTGTGCTCTCAGAGCACTCTTGTTCTGAATGTGTGTAAGCTTGATGTGTCTTCTTCTGAATGTGTGTTACTGTCTTATTTTGAATGTGTCAGCCTGATTTATCTGCCATCTCATTGTGAGTTAGCCTGATGTGTCTAATTTTGAATGTGTGCGAGATTGATAACTTCTTTCTCTGACTGCATATTAGATATGTAGGGTCAGAATGTTTTGGGTTTATGTCTTGTTTTGAATGTGTGCTGGCCTGATGAATGTTTGTAAGGTTAATGATGGGTCTTGTTTGAATGTGTTAGATGGTTGATATTTTGTATGAATTTATGTTTGCAAGAGGATGACTTTATCAGAATGTGCTTGATTGATTATGTGCCTTCTAAATGTATGTTAGGCTGACGACATGTTTTGTTTTCAATGTTCATTAGGTTGATGACCATGTGCCTTATAAAAGTGTATCCCATTAAGAAACATTCAACCATATTAAACTAGCTTATTTATGAAGTTGAAGTTGAAAAGGATATCAATATTGACAACCACTGATTGTGTGGTACAAAACATGTTTTAAAATAAATAAATGAATGGAGAGAAATGAAAGATATAGTAGATTAAAAAGCTTTTAATTGCAAAGCGTCAATGCCAAAGATGAATCAGCCTGGACTATCTGTTGAAACATATTCCATAGGGTGTAAAAGGCAAAATAGTGATGAAAAGTACATGAATGGATCACTGAAAATCAGTGATGACACTAGATGTTTGCAAAAAGGGTAAACAAATGCTCTACCAGTAGCATCTGCCGCTCACACAATCTCATCGTAAGGTAAGGCTTATAGCCCAGGTAGTAGTTATATTGAGTCACAACAGAAATTCCCTTTGACTAGAATAATTAAGGTGTGAATAACATGTATGATAAGGTAACTGAACATACTAAATACAGTGGATATTTAGCCTAAGTCAAATAAACTTTGACCAATTTCATCAGGAATCAGTCAGTATTCTTCACAGATGGATCTCTCACATGTTGTTTTATTCACTGGTATGTTTATGAATGCAGTAGGTATTTTGTATATGCTTCACCTTTGCATGTTAATTTCCTCAGTCTGCGAGACATCCTTCAAGGTGACCGAGATGCTCCGCTGTACTGTAAGGAACCTGATGAGACACTGACCGAGGAAGACATCCTCACATTCCCAGCAGACATCTTGGGGAAGCACATTCCCGACACCTGGCTGGCTGTCCTCCGGGAACTCACACAACGCAGAAAGGAGTTTCAATAGTGCCTCAACTTCTGTCAATAGTGGATTGTCATACTTATGTTGTGTAAATGTTGAATCTAATAGAAATTATGAATTGTGGCAGTCCTCTGGTAACTCACACAACGCAGGAAGGAGTTTCAATAGTGCCTTCAGTGTAGGTCAATAGATCGTCATACTTTTGTTGAAGTAGAATGAAGATGTCGATCACTTAATATTACAGACTTATATTAATTCTTGACATAACTACTTTCGGTTTGTTTATTATCTTTATATTTGAATTCGCTGATGTTACAATTGCTCTCATGTATATATTTTTTTTCATATAGTGCAGTAGTTTTCCACTTTTTGCTTTTCATTTTGTGATGTGTTATAACCAAATTGTTTTGAATACTTGTATCTTGAAACATTTTTAATGAAACTATACGTATCATGTTATGTATGATTTAATCACTCGATATATATTTTCTAGACTTTTTCCTATTTAGAATATGTATATGACATAAATTCAAATGATTTTGATAGTGCTGATGGAAAAGAAATATGTCCTTGCTCTTAGTACTTAGTACTGCTTACTCTTACATATTGCATAATAACATATATTCTGGAATGAATGTTTTTGTTCATGCCAGAGGTTTAATGTAGGTTACAACATTGTAGATGTATACATATGTATTTTCTTTGGTGTGGCATTCTGCTGTGCCAAGATGTACCAGTATTGATCTGTAACATGGTCTACACACTATGCTATAGAATACACATTTCTTTTTCTTACCTGATCTTAATACATGCAGCTGTGTACAGAGATTCACCTATAGAAAACACTCATGCATTCTGTGTTCACTCAGAAATATGTAACTGATGGATCTGTTCCCTCTACATGATCATATTAGTAACAGCACCCTTTGCTATGTATATATATATGCAGAGATTTAATTCATATTTGTTGTTAGAATCATATATAAACTTCTCTGTCATTGGTGTTTGAAGGTGAACTTGTATGAGGATTTGATCAGCATCTGTCTGATTTGCAATATGTTGACCTTCTTATACAGATTACAATTTCTTTTTGGATTGTAGATGAATGTTTACAAATTATTATTTTGTTTAGTATTGAGGTAAGAAGAAGACATTTTACCTGAACAGAGTCTTAATAACCAAGCTTGATGTTAATAATAATATTATTTAAAGAATCTTTATTGATTTTTTGTTGTTTTAAAACATGTCAAACAGTAATAAACACACAAATGGATGTTCAGTAAATACTGTAGATCAATATTATATCAATGACAGGAATATGATATGAATGCATTCTGTTGTGTCAAGTTGAGGCGAAAGGGTTATTTATGTGATGTTATAGGAGTTGAAGATACTGCATTTTCAATGTAGAACTATATGTTCCCTGTAGATTTGATGTCACTTAGTTGACTTTCAAATCCAAACTATAATACTTTCTGCCCAAATGGATACTTGAAGTATTTTGGTAACTGCAACTCTGCTTTCTGTAGCCTACACTTGTACATACATGTATAATCATTTCCAAATGACTGAGACAGAAGAAACCTATGTGCTAGTCGATCAATTTTCCTGTATTATTTCCAATATGTTTGATAGTTGACTGCACTCAGAAAGTCAGATTATCAATCGCTTTGTGAAAGATTTATCCAGGGTATGATTTATTCAGGTTAACTGATAACATGTAATAATGTGTATATCACTCACTCACTCACACACACACACACACACACAATAATATTAAATAACATAAACACCATTTTATAATCATGCTTTTGTTTGCTTCACATGTACCGGTACGTTTTGTAGGGGTTTTTTTCAGTAATATGTCAGTTTTGATTTCTTTCCTGTATTATTGCAGTTTGCTTCATTCAATGCAGCACATCCAGAATGTGTTTTTTTCACCAACATGGTGAATAAAATGTACAAAAAGTAATGTTGTTTATCTTTGTATTAGTAGATATACATTTTAAAAGCAAGAGCTTTATGAGCAGTTGTTTAAAGTGGTTTATATCATCCAGTATGTATGCTATAGTAAAACATTTCATGTGTTGCTTGGAATATTTTGACTTTGAAGTTACAGCTATGATCTGTCTTTCAAAAAATGTTTCATTTAACAGGACCTCATAAATTCAGTATATTGATAATGAGATGTATTTAGATGTCCTTTTATAGAAAAAGTGACAAATCAGGTCACAAAACTAGGTTGATATCTTGATTTGTTGAGAGACTGTGTTACAGTAGATAGAAAACTAATTAATCTAGATGACATGACCATCACACACGAGGTTCCCCGACACAAACTGCTGCAGTAGTTATTATAGTCGAGGAACTATTGTGATTGGCTGAATGTCAAGGATCAGGATGTTAGTAAATAGGTGAAGTGTGTATATATGTCATTTTACAATCAGGTTTCATTTGTGTACATATAAATTCATTAAATCAGATTTGTTTTATTTGATTCTTTAGTTGCTTTTGACATCCCAGTTTAATCCTTTCTCCTCAACGGATGATTTAATGAGGCAAATGTTTGAAAGTTTGAAATATATTTTTGTTTATCTAGTGTCCATTTTCATACCATTCTCTTAAACAGTGAAATCATGAGCACTTTACAGAAAATATATCTCTGTATTTGGAATATGATTATTGAAGGTCATCTTTTGAATATATTTTACTATAGCTTAGAAATACATTTGCTCATACCTGTACAACAAAATATATTCATGGTGAGGTGAGGTGAAATTCAAGATTATTGCACTTATATATATGTGTCTGTCTGGCTGATTGTACTAATCCTGGCTAAATCCGGGGTTTTTTTTTGTGCTAGCCCACTGAGATACCATGTGGCAGTTTAACATAGCCCACTCAGACAAACTATAATGATTCCTAGCCGCAACATGTAAGTAAACTGTGTATAGAACTGAAGTTTCTGTGGTAAAGCAAAAAGCAATGATTGCATGACATGGTACCTCTTAATTGTGAAAATTAAGGATGTTGGAAAGGCTCGTCATTCTGTGATGTTAAGGTTAGAAATATGTTTATCACATAATATTTTGTTTGTTTATCTGCTTTTTAGGTGTTGGTTGTATTTGTTTTCTATTTAACAATAAAGAACTCACCTTTAATCATGTTATTACAGTTTGTAACACAGCAGTCATAGTATTTAAGACTTTGTTATGATCGGAAACCAGAATAATAATAGTTTTCTCAGAAGACATTTTGATTCTGTGCTCTTTAGGTGAGGAATGCATGACATGATTTAATAAAGGCTTATAACTGGTTTGTTTTTGTCATGATTTTTTACTTTTATTTCAATGAATATGTTTTAACTGTGTGAAACATAAACTTTCACTTGGGTAAAACATGTCATTGTTGTTAATTGGATCCTTTTAGGTTGATCCTGCCTGTCCTTGTTTAAGACACTGACTATTTGTAAAAAGGCATCATTCACAACAAGTCTCTCACTCAAGGAACCAGATTAACATCTGAATGAAAAAGCACAGCATCAAAAATACACAAAGATGTTTAGCAACAATGGCTCCAGATCTAAGCGGCAGAGATGGCACCAGATGTTATTGGCCAAAAATATAAAGAAAACAAACAATAATTTGACAATTGATATGTGTTCATTTCACACTAACACACAACATTCCAAAATACCATTTAATACACTTACATTTTTCGCATGTGGAACTCAACATTACGCGCATGTGCTCATGGCAGACCAGGCCCACAGTATCCCATGTCAAGCAGACAATTGAGACTGTAGCAGTGTGTGCCTTGGCTGGCTGTGTTTCATTAATCTCCCTATGACATGGATCATAGGAATGGTTCAGTCAACTCTTCCAGCCATTCAATATTCATACAAGCAAATTTGGTAGGTGGCCAATTTAGTTATGGCTACATGAACCAATGCCTTTGATTTTGATCTTATTATTCAATTAACTTTAACTTTTTCAAGAATTTAAGTGCATAACAATGCTGCAGATCTCTTATTTGGGTCTTTCAGGCAAGGTTTCTTCAGGTTTTCCACGGCTTTTGAACACAAGGTATCAGTTATCAACAGAAACCCTCTTCAGGGTCAACTATCCTCAAGTAGTTGTACCCATATTAACACATAGTTGCCCACAAGTAGGAAAACCTCACTTCTTTCCAACACCTGATAACTAGATGCAGATGGCTTGGACATGACAGGGAGTACTTATGATGTAATAAAGGTTATATTCTTGGAATTATTAACAATGACAACTTACTGTTTTGATTATTCTTGTGAATACCAAACCTCTATTTCATCATTGCCAGAATATCCCAGAGAAACTGGTGGGTTCTTAAATCTGTTTGTTTGTTTTTAACTCTGCACTCAGCAGTACTCCAGCTATTTGATGGTGACCTGTAAATAATTGAGTCTGGACCAGACAATCCAGTGATTGACATCATGTGCATCAATCCACGCAATTGGGATACAATGACATACATCAGCAAAGTCATTGAGCCTGGCCAACTTCCGTTAGTCGCCTCTAACCACAAGCATGGATTGCTGAAGGCCTATTCTAGTAATCCCCTTGGATAATTATAGTTGAACGTGGATATACCTATTAGATTCAGCTATCCAACTGATGCTTCGATTCCTAATAGTTAAAAGATTGCATCAAATTTATCCAGAGGATTTAAATTTGAATGAATGACATGAATCAAGTAAAAATATGTGATAAACCTCCCTAGAACTACCCTTATATTTGCTGATATTCTCACTTGTAACATCAGATGCTGTAAAACCATCTGTCAGATTGTCATTTTGGACTTGATGATGTCACTACCAGCTTTTAAGTCAATTCTATTTCTGATGACCTCACTTCCAGCATAAGTGGCATCACTTTCAGACTTGATGATGTCATTTCCGGTATTCATATTGTCATATCCTTTTCTGACGTCACTTCCAAGTGGATCATATATCAAATCAAGATCTTGTTTATACTTCGGTGACAGCTAGGCATAACACATTACTGGTAATCCAGGATAACCAACTTACAAAATGTGTTTAGACAAGCAGGTGGTGCACAGAATTTTGGCAAACATATCTGGTTTGTTACGGGTACTGTCCGTTTGGCTCCATATGAGAACGAGGAATTGTAAAATAACTCAAAATTGGAAATAGTCTATTAAACTCCTACTGTTGTGCCTCCCTCCATTCAAGATGTCAACTTGCACACACAACATGATAGTTTCTTTTAACAACTTTTTCCAGTGATGAGAATAAATGTAACAAACAGCAGATACTGTTGGGTACAGGGTGTTCATTGCCGTGTACTGTATGGACAGTTAACAGACTTTTCCCGATTTTGAGTTATTTTGCAATTCATCGTTCCCATTTGGAGCGTACATTGACAATACCGAACACAACGTATAATCACAATGAAACTTCACATGATGCATGAACACCACATGCAGGGTTTTACGTGACGCACAAATGTGCAACCAGTACGCACAAATGTAGAGAATGGTCCACAGGGATGCACAATAACATTCACTGTACCTACAGCGCATCAAGAGCATTTATGGGTGTCTTTTATCTCAATCAATCATGACCACTGTCTACATGACCATTGATTCATTCCAGGCTCTAAAGTAATTATCTTAACGTACAGTACACTACACCATTTCATAACTTAACAGGACACTCATATTGCCTGCAAGGACCCTTAAACTTGATTATTGGGGGTCCCCTGAATCCCACTTTTGTAAAACCCTGGTGTGCACACTGAAGCCAAAGGGGAACTCGCATTCACTTGAGCTAATACATTTCAGCTACTTTTAAGCACAGTGAGGCCCTTACATATGCCTCTAAGACAGTATCTTGATGAACAGACATAATGGCAAGGGAGGGGTCTAAAATATCAAAATCCTCTCTCAGTGTGTGGGAGGAAGGGGTCGTCTGCAACATATACTCCAGACCCCTGGACCACAACCACCACCATCCCCCTTCAGAGTTCTAGATCCGCCTATGGCGAATTGTGGGTAAGATTGACGTCAAAGACCCAAGTTGTCCGAATGTTTAGCAAATCTCAAAAAGTGTAATTTCTTTACTGTGGGACAGGTGAAGTTCCAATGAAACCCAGCATGGCAGATCTGGACAAGATCTCGTTACAGCAATTGCACTACGCAATGGATTCATATCTGCTCCTGTTATCAAAATGAGAATTCCGTAAAATAACAGGAAGGTGGATTTCATCATCTACCCTTCAAAACGGGCTCTGTGCAGCCCGCCTGGAAGCGAGGCCTGCTGTGAAGGGTGTGACCCTAACAGCTTACTGTGGGCGGCAAAGATTAGGGTGGGCTAGGCAACATCATGCAGGGACGGGTTGTTCAACAAATCCAGGGTTTGCTTCCGATTCACTTTTGGTAAAAAACGTTGGGGACGTAGCAGCGAGTGAGCGAGCCAGGGCAACAATTCTTGACCATGGGGCTGCTAGTGTCATGGTGTGGGGTGTATCACACATGACAGGCGAACTGATTTGATTATTGCAAATGGACACTTGATTTTGCGTCCTGCCACTGTCTCATTTGCTATTGGCAGAATTTTTTAACTGCAAGATGACAATGCCAGACCACATCGTGCCCAGGTCTTTACCGATTATCCCTGACGATACAGATGTTATAAAGTACAGGATTATGTCAATATATGCCTATAAAGGCGACAAAACAGCAGAGTCAATTGTACTATACTGAGTCAAATTAAAAACTTCACATTTTTAAAAGTAATCCCATATATGATATACAACGGACAAATGTATCAGAGAAGGTAATTTTTAATCATTAATGTCCAAAGAAGGATTTTAATTAACGATAGTAACCATAATTTGTTCCAAGCACCTACGGTATTCTGTAATACATGTAACATCAACAGTTTAAATCATAAGCCCCAAGCACGAGAATCTGATGGCACACAAGTTCAGTAGCGTGTATAGCCACCATGTGCGTTGACAACTGCCACACAACGCCTCCGCATGGACCTTGTGATGCTTGTGAACACGTGATTGGGAGGACGACGCTATTGTTGCTGCAAAATGGTGCCAAGATCTTGCAAATTCTGTGGTTGGATCTGGAGAGTGTGCAGACTTCTTCCAAGAGCATCCCAGACATGTTCGATGGGATTGAGGTCGGGAGACCTTGACGGCCAGTCCATGACGTTGACTCCCGAATTCTGAAGGAAATTCCTTGTCAAAATTGCTGTGTGGGGTCTGGCATTGTCGTGTTGGAAGATCAAACCGGATCAATGTGCTGCCATAAAAGGCAGAAGTTCTGGTGCCAGTACCTGGTCGCGGTAAGCAGCAGCGTTGAGGTTGCCACGGATGACAAGAAGCCTGGAACGTGCATTGCCACAGAAAGCACCCCGCACCATGACATCGAAATCTGTCAACTTCCTGGACACAACACTGGGCGTAACGTTCATGACGGCGCCTCCACACCCTCGCAGTCAGAATCGGCCTGCAGTATGGCCGTCATGCTGGAAGGTGAGCAGTTCTCAGACGGTTTCGAATAGTTTGCACACTCAGTCTACCCCTAAACAGTTCATTTCTGGTTGATGTAGCCGTCAAAAATCGGTTACGGAGGTGACGTAAGACAATCTGACGATCCTCTGCATGTGACGTCACATGTGGTCGACCTGGCCGAGGGCGATCAGCGGTGGTACCCGTTTGCTGTAGACGCATCTGTAAATCATAAACAGTCCGTCGACTACAACCCATCGTCCTTGCGACTTCAGCTACGGACGTTCCCATCTGCAACATGCCGATGGCACGTTCACGTTGCACATTTAAAAGGCTTGGCACGACAAATGGCCGTAAAGACTTTTGTTTTCTTGTGTTTTTCTTTTTTTGTTTATCATGTTAATGACTGCTAACAAGTATGGCTGAAAACACGTGCGGTATTATGACCAGTTGCACATGAAAAAACAGTTTTGCCACTATAGTGCTGTGCACATGATTTTGATCGATTCACCTGCACAAAAACGGATGTTATCTGAAGACAATACGTGGCCATTACTGTTTAAATACAAAATAAGGGCCAACAATGATAACTGGTCAAAATGTTAAAATTTTAGGATTGTGAAGTTTTTAATTTGGTTCAGTATATTTATAACTATATCATAAGCATGTGATGTTAATGATTTGAATCACTATCAAATAGTCATAATATCAGCAAAAAGGTGAGTGTATCCTGCCCCACCTGCGGCACCTGTCACAAACACATGCAAAGGCAAGTGAACTGTTCACCTGAAAAAA